CACCCTGTTGTCATTTTTGGTTGATGGTTTTCACCTGTATCATTACAAAATTTATGAACTGTTTATGGTTTTAAATTTTATGTGGTCCAGCATCTATTTTATTTTTGCCTGTAATTCCCCTTTGTGACTGTGTTGATTTACTGTCATGTTCCTCATTTGGACCAGAGCATGCCAGGCACTTCTGTCTTCCCCTGCCTCCTGAAGTTTGATCAAACACATGCTGGTAGCTTCAAGAATACTATCCAACCATCTCATCCTCTGTCGTCCCCTTCTCCTTGTGCCCTCCATCTTTCCCAGCATCAGGGTCTTTTCCAGGGAGTCTTCTCTTCTCATGAGGTGGCCAAAGTATTGGAGCCTCAGCTTCACGATCTGTCCTTCCAGTCTCACATTTACTTGGGGGCATATGCTACTGGCAAGATTACTAGTCATCTATGGTCTTTTGTGGGACACCTGAAAAGAAAGAGGACCATCTCTCTCTTCTTTTTCTCTCTGAGGGACTAGCCACCATGAGCAGGGCATGTTTAGGCACACTGTGAACACAAGTGCTGTTTTGGACAAAGCATGTGAAGAGCAAGTTTCTGAGTGCAAGAACTGAACTCCAGTCACCCCACAAAGCAAACTTTCACAAAAGTCATATCCATATATCAGCACAAGGCATTTAACAAAACTTGGATCCCTCATTCTTTTCTAAGCTCTTTATCTCCAATACACTCCCTGTCAGTTAGTTTCAAATTTAGGCGTAATCCAAAGGGATTTTGCTGTTGGCCTCCAGGTTCTGTATGATGGTGTTGGCACTGGAGGGTGCTAAGAAGGAAATGTGAAAACAGCTGGGAATGGAAAGAGTTCTTTGGTCAACTGTTGCACAGACTTGTTCACCCCACCATATATGACCAAATCCATTTCTTCAAGGAAGTAAAAGGAGCCACACCACCGGCTCCCCTGCTTCTGCAAAATCTTGCTCTATTTAGGTTATAAATCCAGCTGGCTTCCATTCCAATTGTAGACAGCAAAAAAACTCCTACTAAAGTCAAGATTATAATATAATCTATCATTTGAGAGCATATAAAAAATGGAAAAAGCAAGCCCTTGTCTCAGCCCACATCTTCTTTCCTTTTAAGAATGCTTAATTTTAAAAAACATATTGTTTGTTTCCATTGTTTAATTAGTTTCCATTGCTTTAACCCAAAACAGTGATATTACTTGACATGAAAGGAGCATAATGTTCACAGAAAATCCTATGAAAGTTCAGGGCTGAGTGGTAAAGATGAATCAAGACTACTATTATTTAGAATAGTGCTTAGTATTCAAAGTACTTCACATACATTCACTTGTTAAAATATTTACAACTCTCTGTAAGGTAGATCAGTATTGTTAGTTCCATATCATGGGTGGGAGACGCGAGTTCAAGAGTGCTTTAAGAATACATGGTGAATTCATGGTTGACACAACATTTAAACCTAGGACTTTCTTATTCGAGGCATAGAGTGATGCCCAACTAAGTCGTAGACAGAGTTGGGACTTAAATTACTTAATTCCAATGATTTCAATGGGAGTATTCTGCGTATAACTAGTGATGGATTACCATGTAATCCTATGCATGCTTCCTCAGAAATAAGCCCCCCTGTGTTCACTGGGGCTTACTTCCAAGCAAGCCTATGTAGAATTACAAATTTACTAAGAAAGTCTCACTGAATTCAACGAAGCTTACTAGTCCCAGGTAGGTGAGTATAGAATGGTTCAACAACATATGGTATGTTGAAAGGATGGCGAACAGGCACACAAAGTGAAATAAGTGGCAGAAGATAGAAAAAAGAGCACTTGTAAAAGGTGTAGTTCCCCTTTTGTCAGCTATAAGGAGCAAGTTTTAAGTTGGGATTGATACAATAAATTAATATTGATTGCCTTATATTTACAGTGCTTTAGTACAAATTTGATACGTATTTATGTGAATAGAACTAAAGGAATATACTTTTTAATGCTTTCTACATTTATGCTCTTACTATGAAGAATGTATTATAATGTATTATATGTTGTATGTTTGTTCGTGTATGAATAATTTAAAATTATTTAAAAGGAGGAAGAAATAGGTTAGGTAGCTTTTACCACATCGGTTTTGCTCAACCCTACTCATTTCCTTTTCTTAAGTGCTGATCTCTGGCCACCTTTCTTCCAGATCTGAAGAATCTGTTCAAAGCTCTGTTGCAAAAGAGCTTTGAAGCCCAGGCTGGTCTGAGTCAATTTTGCTGTTTCGTTTTTTGTATTTTTCCATTTTTTAGTACTGTATTTTAAACTGTACACCCTTAGCAGGAAAATGCCATATATGTGCAGTAATACATAAGTAAATAAACACTTTCTATGGAAGAAAACATTATCCTAAGCCATAAACTGTACTCTTTTTGACACCTGTTGAAAACATTCTTGTTTAGACAAGTCTACCAAGATGCTAAGTAAGTTGAGATAATTTTAATTTTAGTATTTTAACTTTTGTAGGTTTTAAAGCACTGTTGCATTTTTAATTTTTTATCTTTTTGTAAACCATTTCATGAGTTTCCCAACCTTTCAATCATGCAATACATACATTTTATTGCATAAAACAAGAAAATAAACAAGTGTCAGCTCCCTCTTCTTTTAAAAAACTGTTCACAAAGACATCTCACAGCAGCCTGAATTATCCCCTTTTCGCTCTACAGTGAAAGAAGGACCTGCCTTTAAAGGTTTCAGGTTCTTTCTTCAAATAATCTAAGACCAGGGTTTTTTAACCTGGGGTTCATGGATTGAGGAGTTTCAGCAAGTTTCAACTGGAAGCCAACAAACCCCCCAATACAATAAGATAAATTACCATACTTTTCAGTGTATAAAACTAGGGTTATTTACTTTAAAATAAGGTTTAAAATATGGGGCTGTCTTATACAGTGGTACCTTGGGTTAAGTACTTAATTCATTCTGGAGGTCCGTTCTTAACCTGAAACTGTTCTTAACCTGAAGTACCACTTTAGCTAACAGGGCCTCCCGCTGCTGCCGCACCGCCGGAGCACGATTTCTGTTCTCATCCTGAAGCAAAGTTCTTAACCCGAGGTAATATTTCTGGGTTAGCGGAGTCTGTAACCTGAAGTGTATGTAATCTGAGGTACCACTGTACACGGATAGTGCATATGCCCATTTTCTAAATTTGGGGTCCCCAAAAGTAGGGGGCATCTTATGAGGGTGTCTTATACACATAAAAATATGGTATGTGCAAAATTTTGTATTTTTGTGCATTTTTTCTGAGATCCATAGCTTTCATCAGATTCTCCAAGGGGTCCATGACTAAGAAAGATTAAGAACCACTGACCTAGACTTTCAAAGGAAAGAACTGAGCATGTTCTGCATTTCCATACAAACAGTCCAGTACAGAAGTTAATTCTGGGTTAAAAATCCAGCACCCATAAATTATTGGCTTTATTTTTAAAAAGCAAACTTTAGTCCGTATGTTTGCAAAGAGAGGCTTGAAAATGTGATGGGAAGTGGGAGCGGCTCTCAGAGAGCTGGGATTCAAGTAGAATTTCCAGACTGGTGCTTCTACGTTCTATATAGGACCATACCTCTTCCCCTAATTAGAAACAGCAAAACACATTATGAGCATATACAAACATTTGTTTCAGTTATTGAATTATTTTTCTTGATGTAGAATTTGCCTTTATTCTTTTGAAGTGCAGTATATACATTAACCCTGTTAATGAGTTTCACCTGATCAGTCTCCTTAGCACCAGATCCAATTAGCCCTGTGAACTCTCTCAGTGACCTCAAGTTCTCTCCAGATACATTCAGAAGCCAGCCTTGCTGTTGCTGAACTGAGATTACAAACTATGATCACTGGATTTTAAAAATAAACTTTTTGGCGTGTGCACAGACACACACAGTTTCCCGCCACTCTGCATTTAATTATCAGTAGCATTCGGAACAAATTGGTTAAACCTGTAGCATATCATGCAAAAAAAGCATGTTAAGGTTAAATTGTGATCGATCACTCACTTAACGTCAAAGTGTCCATGTCTAGTTATTGGCAATATATTATGTGCATGTGTGGTATGAACATGAACTGGCAGAGAATGAGTGCAGCTGTGAGCAGCAAAAAGCAGAGGGTGGAGCCGAGGCCAAGAGGTATCAGAGGTGTGAACTCAGTTCCTGGTGGGTGTATAATCATTCTACACAGACCCTCAAGACGGGCGGGCGGGCGGGGGGATTTGTTGCATAGAGAATGGGCGAGGAAAAGCAATTTAGATGACGTTATTTGTACTGCAGTCTTTGCAGAAAATCACCTCCCAGGTGAATGAAAGGGTAGTTTTCCATGAGAAAGGGAGTGGTACTTTAAGACATCTAATTCACTGCAGGAATGCAATGCAAAAAGCATTCTTGCTTTTGTACCACGCATGAGGGAAATGGTCAACACGGACGATGTGTAAAGTAGAGGGGTCTGTAAGAGGGAAGGAGGGAGTCAATGCAGGGTCTGGATTTGCTACAACGCCACGGCCTATGCGGCGGGTGGGGCGCGGCGCGCATCGTACCCCAAGGCCTCAGCGCTTGGGGTGACTCTGCTCCCGCAACGCTACACGCAGCACCACAGGATGGGCAGCCCGCTACACGCACCGCGCTAGTGCATGTCCTAATTACACCAGGCACGCAGAGAGGGAGGAGGGCGATGGCGCGCGCGGCAACTGCAGCTGCTTGCAGATGCATGCGGCGCAAGTGGGCGGGGTGCTGCTACATGCGACACATGCACCCCAGCGGGAGCAAAGGCTGCAGCGCTGCTCGGCCGCACGGCGCGCGCGCATTACCACGGCCGCTGCACCTGACCCCGCGCGGCGCCACTCTGGTCCGTGCTCGCTTTGACCTCGGCGAGGAAAGGAGGAGCAGCAGCCGCCGCCGCCGCAAAACGGGACAACCGCAGCCGTCCAACGTCCCGCCTCTATTCCAATACGCTCGGGTGACAAGCGTAAAGACGCCCAGCACTGGAAGGGCTGCTTCCCATTGATAGGCAGAGGCAGCCAGCCAATCCGAGGCCTCGCAAAGGGTCGGTGAAGCGGGAGGAGATGGAATTTCGGACGAGAAGCTTTGCGAAGGTTGCTATGAGCCTGGCTTGGACGGGGGCGGGTCTAAAGGGAGTGACCAATAGGCAGCGAGGAAAAACGCCGATAGGCGGGCGAGGCGACCAACGGGGCAGCCCAGCAACTTTCTTTTTCTCCCACCCTATTGGTGGGCGGTGCCAGAGAGGAGGTGGGGAGAGCTCGGTGTGGCGCTAAAGGCGCCGGGAGCGGGGGCGGGGCGGGTAGTGCGGAGTCGGTTCGAGCGCGCGCGCGCCGGGGGGAGAGGCGGCTCCGCAGACAGCGGACCAGCTTGAGCGGCCGAGAGGACGGCGCGGGCACGCGCGCGCGGAGAAGAGGTGAGGCGTGCGGGGAAAAGAAGGAGCGGGGAGGAAGCAGGGGAAGCTGCGAATGCCCCCCTCTCTTTCCCCCTCCCCCACATTTTCCCGCCTAGCCTGGACGAGATGGGGAGGGGGGAGGCGAAAGCAGCGGGGTCTCTGCTCCCACCTAGACGGGGGGGGCGGTCCTCCTCCTCCCCGCTTGCCTCGCCTTCATCTTCAGGCGTCCTCCCCTCCCACTCCACCTTCTGAGGGAGGTGCGCGAAACGAATAGCCCACGTCCCCCCTCCTGGGAAATATGGGGGAAATATGAATGGGGCTCGCCTGTAATGGTCTCCCACCTCCCGTCCTTTCCATTCCCCTCCCTTGCAACGCGCTGCATGCGCGCCGGTGCAGACGTATCCAAAAGGGCTGCCTGCTCGGGGCCCGGGTCGCCGAAAAGCGCACGTGTCCCTTTGTTTAAGGGGTGGGTGGGATTGCTTGACGGCGTGGGGTAGGGTGAGCGGTTGAAGCCAGAGGGGTAGGCATCGGTTTAGTCCGTATGCGGCTGAGGTTTCGGTAGCATCCATCTCTGGGGGCCGTATATAGGGTTGGGGTTAGGGGCGCTACCCTCTCCCGCCCTCCGGTTGCCTTTTGTGTGGCCGCTAGGAAGGCGCCGGTTAGCCGTAACCCCGCTTTTCCAAATAATTTCCCTGCCCAATGAAGAGGTCTTGACGCCCTTCCGTGGGTTGGCGGCGTCTGTTTCCTTCCATCTTCCCGGTAAGGACTGGGAAGTTGTCACGCAGCCCTTTTGTGGGCTTCACCGTGGGTGCTGGTCACAACTGGTTCCAAACTTGGGAGCTGCTACCACTTAATTTCGAAACTACCGGCCAGTTCACAACAAGCACGCAAAACTGCTTGACCTAGTGGGCTACGTAGCATTGTTCTGTTCCTCATGTGAGATGCTCCAGGTGTATGTAAGATGCTTCAATGTCCTTGAAATGGCTGCACGGAACCTCTAAAACCTCGCCCCACCCATCGTTTACTCTACTCTTTTCTTATTCTGGTCACTGTTGTCTGATGATGTGAAAAGAGTGATGTAGCCTGACAAGTGATCTTTTCTTAACACTTAGTGCTGGTTTCTCTGAATGGCAAACAACAGAGGTCCTATCCAACTGTGTGACAAACTAAGGTTGCCCAGGTAACCCATTTGGGAGCACACACACCCCTCCGCCATGTGACTGTATTCTTCCAGACCTTAATGTTGATTCCTTCTTTGCATTGCTCTAGAAACTAGCTGATGCACTCACCTGGAATATTGGTTGTATATTGGTTGCACAGTGTTGGTTGGCTACTTTGTTGTATTACAATGACACCTGGGCCTGCTTTGGAGTTCTAGCTTTAACCTAGAAAGGAAAAATAAATGCCTATCAATTTGCTGTGTATGTATGTATTATATATGTATGTATATAAATGTATGTATGTATGTATATAAATGTGCATAGGGCAGCTGGAAGTATAGGGCCCCGCTAGAATAATACTGCTATAGATGTCTCCATGTGTTTTCAAAGGTGCCATCTTGATTTCAGTCAAATTTGTCTGTAGCATCTGTAGAGCTACTGGCTCTTACTTTGGGCATGATTTATTTGGGTTCTAGTTTCAATTGGAGCAACCTTACTTCTCCTTATTTTCCTTCTTGGAACCTTCTTTTGAGCAGTTTATTCTAAAGCACTATTTCTCCTTAGCTCTGCTTACTGTAGTCATTTCTTGGTCTACTGATGTGAATTCATCTGGTCTGCAGCAAGTAAGGCAGGCTGCTTCATGGCCCTCTGGTGGATTGAATGACTTCACACTTTATTCAGCTATAGTAACTTATCAGTCTGACATGTAGGTGTCTCCCTTGAAGGAGAATAGACTTGAATGGGTTGTATTCAACTAACTTGTACTCAATGTAGACCCATTGAAATGAATGCCCGTGATGAAGTTCGGTCCATTCTGAGTAAAAGTTAGTTGAATACAACCTAATGCATGCATAATTCTTAAAACTGCCTCCTTTAAAATGAGTGTTGGATTGTTGTACTGGTGAGAGGCTTAGGCTGGGTTAGGACTCTTAGTAAAAATTGTTCCAAGATGGTGGTGAACAAGTCAGCACAAAGCAGCCACCCAGCAGAGAAAACTGTGACCTGTTTATCTAGAGCAGTGCAGGAAATGTTATTAGCCTGCATGCCGGAATCCATGGCAATATTTGTAAATGAATGTTACGTTGGGCAACTTTATTTTTATTTTTTGGTAATCTTTACAAAAATGTTGTCCATTATAATAAAATGATTTATATGCTAAAAAATAGGATAGCAAACACTTGCATTTGGAAGGCGTCCTAGTAAAACATAATTGCATGATACCTACTTAACACATCATGAATTTTATCTTTCATGGGAAGAATTAACATTTTAACTTGCTTGACCATGTTTTTAGACAAAACAGGGTTGGGTTGGATATAGTAGTTATGCAATGCATCAAATAAATCAATGAAGCAATATGTTTCCTTAACTTTAGATAGTGTCCTCTTCACTGTTAAATTGGATATATTTCAAAACATCACCAGTTGCATCAAATCTGAACATCTGCCCTTTGATTGCCTTACTGTTCCAGGATCAGTAAAACTTTGGTTCAGCTCCAGAGCACATCCAAGTGAATTTGTTGGCTGGCATTTTGTGTCTGTAGTAAGTTTCAGGTAACTTATTATTAAAGGAAATGCACAGCACAGAACTTCATTTTACTTGGTCTCTTAAGTTTCTGCCTAAATTTCTTAAACTTGATTCTGTGCTGACAATATATTTCTAAATGCGTGTCTTGACTATGGCAGAAATAATGTAATTTCATTTAAACTGCTGTAATTGATTATTTTCAGAAGTATTACTTATTCTGCTTTGGATCAACATTCCCATGTTTATGTTCCAGTATTACACATAGTCTCAACATTTATTTTGCAGTCATAGCTACTAACATGCATTTTATGTCACCTATGCTTAAGTGCCATGCTTAAGTTATGCTGGTCACTATTTCTAGACTTATGACCAAGCTGATCTGAGTTTAGGAATTTTATTCAAGTGATTCGCCTGAAGATTTAAGTATGGCTGGTATTACAGCATTGGTGGGGAACCTTTGCTTTTTTTGGTCAACAGCCACATGCTGGTAGTCGAAATGGATATGCCAAAGCCAAAAGTACACAGGACCAGGGGGCGGGCCCTTTCCTTTCTTTCTCTGGAAGCACAATCTCTTATTCCCTGCCCAGCTGGCTGCTAAAGGAGGAACTGATTACTTTTCCCAGAGAAGCGGGTAGCTTTTGTAATTAGGCTCAGGGCTGTAGGTTACCCATAAGGAATAATTTTGTATCAAAAGAAGGATTGGAGCAGTCATAGGCAAACTCGGCCCTCCAGATGTTTTTTTGAGACTACAATTCCCATCATCCCTAGCTAACAGGACCAGTGGTCAAGGATGATGGGAATTGTAGTCCCAAAACATATGGAGGGCCAAGTTTGCCTATGCCTGGATTGGAGAGTTAAAGATAATAGGTTAATTGGGTATTTATCTTCATTCAGGGGAAAAGGTGCTAGGAGGAGAATACAGTGGTAGAATCATAGAATCATAGAGTTGGAAGAGACCACAAGGGCCATCGAGTCCAAACCCCTGCCAAGCAGGAAACACCATCAGAGCACTCCTGACATATGGCTGTCAAGCCTCTGCTTAAAGACCTCCAAAAAAGGAGACTCCACCACACTCCTTGGCAGCAAATTCCACTGTTGAACAGCTCTTACTGTCAGGAAGCTTTTCCTAATGTTTAGGTGGAATCTTCTTTCTTGTAGTTTGGATCCATTGCTCCGTGTCCGCTTCTCTGGAGCAGCAGAAAACAACCTTTCTCCCTCCTCTATGTGACATCCTTTTATATATTTGAACATGGCTATCATATCACCCCTTAACCTCCTCTTCTCCAGGCTAAACATGCCCAGCTCCCTTAGCCGTTCCTCATAAGGCATCATTTCCAGGCCTTTGACCATTTTGGTTGCCCTCCTCTGGACACGTTCCAGTTTGTCAGTGTCCTTCTTGAACTGTGGTGCCCAGAACTGGACACAGTACTCCAGGTGAGGTCTGACCAGAGCAGAATACAGTGGCACTATTACTTCCCTTGATCTAGATGCTATACTCCTATTGATGAGGCCCAGAATTGCATTGGCTTTTTTAGCTGCCGCGTCACACTGGCTCATGTCAAGTTTGTGGTCAACCAAGACTCCTAGATCCTTTTCACATGTACTGCTCTCAAGCCAGGTGTCACCCATCTTGTATTTGTGCCTCTCATTTTTTTTGCCCAAGTGCAATACTTTACATTTCTCCCTGTTAAAATTCATCTTGTTTGTTTTGGCCCAGTTCTCTAATCTGTCAAGGTCGTTTTGAAGTGTGATCCTGTCCTCTGGGGTGTTAGCCACCCTTCCCAGTTTGGTGTCATCTGCAAATTTGATCAGGATGCCCTTGAGTCCATCATCCAAGTCGCTGATAAAGATGTTGAATAAGACCGGGCCCAAGACAGAACCCTGTGGCACCCCACTAGTCACTCTTCTCCAGGATGAAGAGGAACCATTGATGAGCACCCTTTGGGTTCGGTCAGTCAGCCAGTTACAAATCCACTGAGTGGTAGCATAGTCAAGACCGCATTTTACCAGCTTCTTTACAAGAATATCATGGGGCACCTTGTCAAATGCCTTGCTGAAATCAAGGTAGGCTACATCCACTGCGTTCCCTTCATCTACCAGGCTTGTAATTCTGTCAAAAAATGAGATCAGGTTAGTCTGACATGACTTATTTTTCAGAAATCCATGCTGACTATTGGTGATCACAGCATTCCTTTCTCGGTACTCACAGACTGTTTGCTTAATGATCTGCTCTTCCCCGGTATTGATGTCAGACTGACTGGGCGGTAATTATTTGGGTCCTCTCTTTCCCCCTTTTTGAAAATAGGGACAACATTTGCCCTCCTCCAGTCTGCCGGGACTTCGCCGGTTCTCCAGGAATTCTCAAAGATGACTGCCAGTGGTTCTGAGATCACATCTGCCAGTTCTTTTAATTCTCTTGGATGCAGTTCATCTGGCCCTGGAGACTTGAATACATCTAGACTAGCCAAGTATTCTTGTACTATCTCCTTAGTTATTCTGGGCTGTGTTTCCTCTGCTGAATCATTTGCTCCAAATTCTTCAGGTCGGGCATTGTTTTCTTTATCGGAGAAGACTGAGGCAAAGAAGGCATTGAGGAGTTCAGCCCTTTCTGTGTCCCCTGTTTGCATTTCACCATCTTCTCCTCTGAGTGACCCCACTGTTTCTTTGTACCTCGGGTTAAGTACTTAATTCGTTCTGGAGGTCTGTTCTTAACCTGAAACTGTTCTTAACCTGAAGCACCACTTTAGCTAATGGGGCCTCCTGCTGCTGCCGCACCTCCGGAGCATGATTTCTGTTCTTATCCTGAAGCAAAGTTCTTAACCTGAAGCACTATTTCTGGGTTACCGGAATCTGTAACCTGAAGCATATGTAACCCGAGGTACCACTGTACTTGTTTTAAGTTGATTGCGCATCTCCAGCCAAAAATCCCCTGAACTAAGGTTCAGACTGCTAAATGGTTTCTCGGAGCTCCTGCTTATAATTCATCTTTACGCATCCCATTGAAGACTTAGATAGGGCCTGCTGGAAGACAGAATGAAAGGAAACATTTCTTCTACCACTCTAGTCCAGGGTCACTTGAAGGACAGTAAACAACATGCTGAAGATATGGTATTACAGTATAGTTCTTCCAGATGAGAAGGATGGGGAATACCCCTAAGTTCCTCAGCGTTTATCAGGCCTGCTATGGATGGAATCTTTACTTTTGTTACATTGGAATTTTGCCCTTTGAAATCTCCAAGCCCCCACTTCTGTTCAGTGTTAGAAACTCAGATATATAAGCTAGGTGCCAAATGGCACCTTAAACCTAGGTTACAGTCGCCACAATGGATTTGATATCCTGCTTTATCACTACCTGAAGGGAGTCTCAAAGCAGCTAACAATCTCCTTTTCCCTTCCTTACCCACAACAAACACTCTGTCAGGTGAGTGGGGCTGAGAGACTTCAGAGAATTGTGACTGGCCCAAGGTCACCCAATAGCTGCATGTGGAGGAGCAGGGAATCAAACCCGGTTCACCAGATTACGAGTCCACCGCTCTTAACCACTACACCACACTAGGAGGTTGGGCCAGATGACCCTCGGGGTCTCTTCCAATGCTACAATTCTATGATTCTGTGATCTCAACTACGTTGCTTGACTGTAGCTTCCTCTTACAACAGTTCACTTGTCCCAGTATGCAAGAAGTAGAAAAACACACAGTGGAAATTCACTCTGGACTAAGGCAGAGGTTTTTAAACATGTGTTTGCCATCTTTGGTGTCCAGAAATCTCAAGGTAGTTGCAGTTGGACCTGTGCCAGTAGCAAAATGTGCCTGGCGCTTGGGGAATTTCGAACACTGCTTCTGTTTGCCTACCATCTTCCAGCAGAGCCTAGCTGGCAACTCAGCTGGTTTATCCTCCTTCAGAAGTTGCTGATGCTTCTTATTATGTATTGGACAGGTAGTTGTGAAACTACTGAATGCACTGACAGCTATGGAGCTGTCATGGAGTGGTAATCCATTATTTCTGTTACTGCACCAAAAACAAATTGTACAGTACTAAATATAACTTTATAAAGTAAAAGCCATTCTATACAGAAACTGGTATCCTGTATCAAAGTACTTTGGCATAGGAAAATGCAGTGTAGTGTACATGTTTAATTGAAAATAAGCCCCGTAGAGTTGAATATTTGTCCCTAGCTTAAATGTTTATAAGATTGCAGCCTTTGGTTTGACTGGACCGTTAAGTTCAATCAACTGGAGTTTGTCCACAGACAGCTTTCTGAGTCATGTGGCCAGCATAACTAAAACGCATCTGGTGCAATGGGACAACGTGACGGTAGCCAGAGCACATGGAAACGCTGTTTACCTTCCCGCGACTCTGGTACCTATTTATCTACTGGTGCTGTTACGCTTTCGAGCTGCTAGGTTGGCAGGAGCTGGGACAAAACAATGGGAACTCACCCATCGCTTGGATTCAAACTGCCGACCTTATGATCAGCAAACCCAAGAGGTTTGGTGGTTTAGACCACAACGCCACCTTTGTCTTGGTGGGCTGCAGTGTCAGTGCATTGAAAGTAAATGGGAAAAGCAAGCTGAGATGCAGATACTTGCATGGCTACAGATGGGGCTCTTATTAAGCAAAGATGAGCATTACATTGGAGCAAATATGCTTTCTTACAGAAATGGCCTGGTTTCATAGGATGTTTCGCTTTCATAAGCACCCATTTCTGCAGAATCTGCTAAATCCCCTATTTGGGTATACATCCTTGAGATTATTCAGTGCTCTAGCTGTAGAATCTGCTGAGTTTGAGAAACCAGCCAATTCAGGTTCATGTATTAATAGTGACTGCTACTTCTGTTTTCATTTTTCCCCCCTAGGTTGCAGTTATTTGTTAATTCCCGCATGATGGCGCAGAGGATAGGACAGGAGGACCCTGAGAGATATCTCTTTGTGGACAGGGCAGTAATCTACAACCCTGCTACACAGGCTGACTGGACTGCTAAAAAACTTGTGTGGATTCCTTCAGAACGTCATGGCTTTGAAGCTGCAAGCATCAAAGAGGAGAGGGGAGATGAAGTGCTGGTTGAACTGGCTGAGAATGGGAAGAAAGCAGTTGTCAACAAAGATGACATTCAGAAGATGAACCCTCCCAAATTTTCTAAAGTGGAAGACATGGCAGAATTAACCTGCTTAAATGAGGCCTCTGTTCTACATAATTTGAAGGACCGATACTACTCTGGGCTCATTTATGTAAGTAATAATTATTTGACTGGCCTTTACTGGACCATGGAGCCACCAACAACAGCTTCCTTATTGACTGAAATGTGAAAAAGTACCTGTATCATTTTTAATGCCAGCCTGATGTTATGTATAACTTGTAACTTGATCCACAGTGTGGTTAGGGTTCTGATAATCGCCCTACTTTTTCTTATTAGATAGTCTGTGGCTCTTGGTACTTTTGACTGTGGGGTAGTGATAAGGTGACCAGGACACACAAAACATTTTTGAATGCTTCAGCATTTGTGGCCAGGAAGGCTTTGGAACTTTGGTCACGAACATCTCTTCATTGTGTGACTGGAACCTTTTCTTTCCAAGCTTCTTTTGTTCTTCGATTTGGGGTGGTAAAAAAGAATGATGAGGTTTTCGCCCCTGGGCTTGGTCATAGTTTTGGGGCATAGACAAGTAGTCAGTAGCAGTCAAGAGAGGTGGCATGGGTGAAACATTGCTCTCCTACCTTCCCAAAGCATCACTGTTGTTACTGAGAGGGGGAGGGACAAAGCAGCAGGGAGCTAATCTGACTCCCCCCAATGCTGTGGCCTTGCCTCCCCCTCTTGGGTAACTGGCAGCAACATGCAGTGTTAGGAAAATAGGAGAGCTGACTTGCAAGCTGCTATTGCAACTGGTGAGGATATGCAGCCTTGACTTTTTCTTCCAAGGCTGCACCTGTCCTTAGAATGCTTATTCAGTGTTTGGACATGGTCAGGAGCTGAAGTGAACCAGCTGAAGTTGAATCTTGGCAAGGTAGAAGTGATGATGATAGCTGGCAGGTCCTGTGGCCTTTGGGAGTTTAGGATTCCTGTTCTAGATGTGGCTTACTTCCTCCTTGTCAGTCGAGTTTAGTAATCGCTATGCATATTCAGCTTTGTTGGCTGGATTTCAGCTAGACATTTCTGCTTGATGGTTGGCATCTCTTATTGTTGGATAATTCAGATTACCTTCAAAGGACCAGACACCTGTAATGTGCGCTTGTGTGGGGCGTGCCCCTGAAAACAGAATTTTCCACAGGCACAGAATGTGGTAGATTATCTAGGGCTGGGTTTGTTGGAACCAAATTATATCTGTGCTCCGAAGTACATATTGCATCTGTAATTGTGTCCTGTGCACAATGCAAGGTGCTAGTTTTGACTTACAGGCATGGCTTAGGTATGACAGTAATGGCCAAATAATATGTGTTTTATTTGACTGAAGAAAGGAGCATTGTGCCTATTTTTTCCTCCTCTTTTCACTCACATGCCATAATATAAAACTTTTAGAGTTTCTTAAACCACCGTCTCCCTTTATATCTGAACCTAGAAACTGCTTTAATAAATCAGACTCTGTGTGGCAATAGTTGAATGATATCGAAGACAAGTGGTCTTCACTGGTGGCCCCATACTCATGGAATACAATCCCCCAAGAAATACACATGACTTCCTCACTAGCTATTTTTAAAAAGTCTCACCATTTTTATATTTTTATGTGTTTTGCCTTGGTACCTCTTTCTCAGTCTTACTCCCACTCTGACTGTCTATCATATTCCTTGCCAGATTGTGTATGACAATGGACATTGGGTCAATTTGCATTGGTGGACTTCTACTTCAATGTGCCCCATCTTTCAGAATCTTAATTGGCTGCTTGTTTGGCTTTACCAAATTAAATACAAATATGCCCCCTTTTAAAATCACTCAACTTTCCCCCATTTTTCAAAAAATAGTAACAGTGGCAATATTTCCTCAGCCCACCTAAATAACTCCCAAAGTCACCCTTCCACCCTTTACATGGTTTTTGGATAACAGTAAATAACTTCACATAAGCTTATAAATTCCTTCTCCCCTCCCTCCAATACTAAATGTAGTCAAACTATAGCAGTCTGCTGCATCCTACATACTCTAATAGCTGATTCATGCTCTTCCCCTTCCATACGTTCATATGTCAAGACACAACAAGAAAACTTGAAGCTTCAGGCTCCCTTCTGTCCTTCACTAATATATTTCTTTCTTTCTGCTCTATTTTCTCAAGACAGAAGAAAAAGCAAGGTAGAACTACAAAGGGGGGTGGGCGCAGCACAGTATCTAGAAATAACACCACCTTTGGGTCCTGGGTTTATCCATTGGTATATCCTACATTTATCCAATGCACATATTAAGTAGGTAGTAAAAGCTCAAGGGGAAAGCTGTAGCTCAATGGTAGGGCACATGCTTTGCATGTAGAAGATCCTCAGTTCAATTCCCCACATCTCCACTTCTTTTAAAAGGGGGTAGCAGCATTGGAAAGACTTGATTTTGATCTTTAGGTGACTCTCAGTATAAAAATTCTAATGGAAATGTTTAAAATTTCAAAATCTGAATCTTTCCATGCCAGATCTGAGATTGGTAACTTATTTTGAGGTCTAGTTCAAAGTGAATAACTATAATTCAACAAAACAGTTACTGTGTGGCATGTTATTGGCACTGGCCTAGATCTTAATTTCTACACCAAGAAAAAGAAGTCAATGTTAATAATACCTGAAATGTTTAAATCACAGTATTGAGTTGAGTCATATTATACCACATATTCTAGGCAAACAGCCTATGCAGCCTTCTGTTTTAGAAACACCTGAAGTGAAGAAATTCATATTTAAATTGCATTAGGAAAGGAAAATTTGTGCTTGAGCTATAAAATGGTATTTGAAAGAGGAGCTGTAGCCAAATGCAACGTGAATCAGGAAATACTGTACTGCGGAAATTTGCCTTCTACTTTTCAAAATAAACCATGAAAATCAATACAATGCAAATTTACTTTGCACTGTGTTTTGTATCAAGTGGTTGATTTGGGCGTTTTTTGTGAGTTGTCTTAAGGGCTGCCCCCAGAGAGCTGAGAACGTGGTAGACAGTAGGGGGTTTAGGAGGAAGTGATGATGAAATTATGTGGGGTACATAAACTTTACTTTGTGACCAGAGGCCACTTTTGAGCTTCTGTAGGATGACTAGAGACTTGATTTTATTTTTTTAAAAAAACAGAATTCTTGCTTTGGCTATTGTGATTGTACCAGCTACTAATTTCTCTACAAATTCTTCACTTTGCAGAAGTATAGATGTACCGGACTAAACTGCTAGGATCAGTGTAAAGGACATATGCATTCTGTGATAATGAAATTATAATTAAATTGGATATAATATTTTCCACTGCTTACATGATAAGCAATTGAAAACCCTCCCAAATTCAAGCAACTGATAGCTTCCTTTTCTTGAAGAACAAGTCTTAGGTCTTATTGTTCAAAAGGGGCTAGGAATGCTGGAATGTACTCTTGACAGGGTTCCACAAATATCCACACTCCAATGATAACTGTGACAGATTGTACCATATTTTCCTTCAGGATGCTTTGTGGGCTTTATGTAGATTTCAAATTACTAAGCAATACTGTCTAGTGTTGTAGTAGCATTAAGTTTCAAAAACCTGCTGATAAGGAGGCAGAAATAAGTATTCCCCCCACGCTACCTCAAGACACGAATTCACTTTTTTTATGTGTGTACTATGATCTGTTTTTCATCTTGTTCAGTACTATTAGGTTAAATCTTCACACTAACATGAGTTGTAGAACAGCGCACATGATGGTCTTCTCTTTTATTGCTTTTTTTAAAATAACGTTCCCATTTCTAGGCTACTTAATAGTATGGCATAGATAAACTAGCCTTGTACTTATGGAATTGAGGAGCCCGCTAGCAGAAAATATTGTTCTGTTCCTCCTTGGGAAGTGGCAGCTGAAGTGAGGACCCCAAATCCTAAGCAAGTTGTAGAACAGTGCACTACTGAGGAAGGGGAATATAGGACACAGGTTTATATGCTGCTACTGCTACAGATTATATATTGTTCCTTCACTTGAGAAGCAGAATTTCAAAAAAGATATTTGGGCCTGTGTTTTAAGATGGTCTAATATCTTTGGCTTAAAATCTAGCAAGACTCTGACTTGCAGCAAATGGGTATCTAGTTATGCAAAGAGGTACCAGCATCAGTCTTGAGGCTAGAGCTTTTCCATTATCCATGCCCAGACTGTGGTCATAGTATACAGTAGGCTTGCAACTTGCACAGGGTTATTTTCAGAGGGAGTGTGCATAAAGCTGAAATCATTTATAATCAGAACAACCACAGATTTCCCCCCCTCCATGTGACCACCCCTACCTTTCTGAAGCTGGTGCGCCGAGTGGGTCTTGCCCCACCCGGAAGGCAGAGAGAGCTTTTAAGCCCTCTACATTGCTTATTAGGCTCTGGGAAGGTCTCATGCAGGTTCTGGAGGTTTCTGTGAGATGTCACCAGCCCATCCAAGATCCAGTAAGCAAAGTGGAGAGCTTAAAATCTTTTTCTGCACCAGCGAAATGCAACACTCTTTCTATGTGCTTGGTTGTCATCTGAATTTTTCCTCTGCTGGTTTAAGTAGGAGGGCAAGTAAACATTAGCTCCAGACCTTGTGCTGTTCTCCCCATCCCCGACGTTGACATGAGCTATAGCAGTAAACTATCTTTTGCAGCTGAAGTCTTCTAAAAGACCCACCAAGTACCTTTATTTCAATAATACTGTAGTGTGGAACATGTCTCCCCCACTTGCTTGTTTGTATCTATGCAGGAGTGAAATGTGTGTAAGCTAACAGGACATTGTGTATGTTTCTGAACAAAAACAAAGCATTGAGCATTGTGTGGTTAAGGACAGGATGGATAGGAATCAGTGGCTCAGTTTGCATGTCACGCTAAGCCAAATTATGGCAGTATGTGAAAGAGCAAGCATGTTTAGAAAATAACAAGCATCTTTCTCCTCTCTGCTCCTGCTAGGCATGTGGTTTGACAAACCACAAGGTGTAAACCAAAAGCAAACCTTGGTTGCAGGACAAACCATGGTTTAGACAATCAATGAGCCATAGTTCATGTGTAATTCTAAGCCAAACCATGGCTTATTTTCCAACAGAGCAGTAGGAGTGAATTAGCCACTATTTTATAACTCTACACCTGCATGCTTTCCTGTTCACTCTTATCCACAATTTAGCATCGTGAATTAAACCAAAGATAATGGGGGAAAAGTTTTATTTATTTAACAATCAGTTAAAAAAAATAAACAGTAGTACATACAGGTTAGGTTAATGCAGGTTGGGAGAGACTAATCAACTTTTCTTCCCCCTCCCTGTAGACATACTCCGGGCTCTTCTGTGTAGTCATAAATCCTTACAAGAACCTCCCAATTTACTCCGAGAACATCATTGAAATGTACAGAGGAAAGAAACGCCATGAGATGCCTCCACATATTTATGCAATATCTGAATCAGCATATCGATGCATGTTGCAAGGTAAGATGCACACTTTAAACGTAAAGTGTTAAGTATGCAGCTGGGAATCATTTTCGGTATCTGCCTTATTCGTATGCTACATTTGCACCTTTCTGTCGGTAAAACTGACCTGTTTATACTTTCCCAATGACTTCATAGGTTATTTGATATATCCATACCATGGCTACCAACGAAAGTTATTAAGGTAGCTACCAGTGTATTTAAAAGAATGTTACGAATCACATTGGAGACATCCTAAATATGGATTTCACAAATTTTGCTTACTGCACAGATGTTTCAATCAGTTTGTATGCCATATTGTTAAACAGAGAAACACCCAAATAATGCACTATAGAGTAAAACGTTACTCTACCTACCACATCTTGCTAAGTTCTCAATTACCCAAATACCACTGTCTGACAAGTTCTTCGATGCTGGTTAAATTAATTAAAACCTCAGATGAATTATCTCTCCCCCTCCAAGCTTTTTAGTGAGAACTAATTCTGAAACTGACAATGGGGAGAGAGGGGTGAACCCTACTGTGAAGGTGCAGATTTTCAAACTTCATATTTCCCTTGCTACTTGAGGAGTTGGATGCATGGCTTCTGTTTCACGCATGAGATGCTGTGAAAAATGGCTACAAGAAGATTATGCTACAGCATTTTCAGAGTTTCTGCACACTTCAAAGTGTTGAATACGTAGCTGGGAATCATTTTCAGTATCTGCCTATCCATATGCTACATTTTTACCTTCCTGTTGGTAAAACTGACCTGTTTCACTTTTCCCTTGGCCTTCATAGGTTGTGGTTATATGATATATTTATACTCTGCCATCTTAAGAACTTCAGTTAGTAGGCAGCCAATATACTTAAAATAAAATGGGGAAGACTTTTTAGGGCACCACACATACACAAACACACACAGAGAGAGAGATCTAGTTCTTGGCTTTTCCAATTGCCGTTGTGCAACTGAATCCTCTGACCTGGAAATGTCCTCAGAAATACTAGATGTTAAGTCCTTTGCAAGTCTGGGCTACTCCACTGTTCAAAGCCTATTGCCGGTACTCAAATATTCTGCCTTTTTATCTATCCTTTCAGGGTTATGAAAGAAAACTTTGACTCGACTTAACTGTTCAGGGGTCTTTTATGTTTACCTATTAAAGAAAACTACATGGAAGTAGTGGATATCACTTTGAGATACTGGTTTTCACCCTGATGTTTATCATTTTTATGATTTTTAAAATTGAGTTGTATTTGTCATTTTCCCATGCATTCTCTCAGTTTGGAGAGATCCTTTTGGAAAGCTTCACAACACTGCTTTGTTTTAACCACCCTTAACAATTTACCACCATCAGCAAACTTGGCTACTTCCCTGCTGACTCCCAACTCTAGGTAGTTTATGAACAAGTTGAAAAGCACAGGTCCCAGTGCCGATCCTTGGGGCAGAGGGACTCCACATTCTACATTCGAAGAGATGCTTAGTACTTACTTACGGAAGACTTTGCAGACTAAATGAAACCACTTGCAGAAAATTTGCCCCTTGGGGGCTTCCACTTCTCGCTAATCACATTGTTATCCCTGGAGTTTGTCAGCAGAATCTTTTATGAATGGTTAAATTGCCTTAATAGATATTAATGCATTAAAGACTGTTAGCATGATGTTTAACATTAATTGGAGCCCTCAAGTTTTGGCCTCTCTCAAATGGGAAATGGGAATAAATTTCAGGCAATAGGCTTTGAGGAGATAATTCTGTTCCATGACTTCACTGCCAAGTGAAGAAAGGACTGGAGAATGGAGCACTTGGCAGCTGTTGTGCTTTAACACTTGGCATTATTAAAACTACAGTTGTTGCTTCTGGTACATGAAAGGCAGAGCATTGAAAAGCTGTGCTCTCTGCCTCCAGGACTGGGGACACGTGCGTGATTTATTTATATATCAAGCAATTTATATACTTCTTAACTACAGTCGTCTCTTAAGTGGTTTGCAAGAATACGGTGCAAAAAAAAACATGGTCAAAACTATAAAATCAAACCTCAATTGCAATGCCTGCTGGAATAATAATAATAAAGTCTTCAGCAGGCAACAGAAGTTTTTTGGGGGGGGGCAGGGAATGGTGGCGCCGCCGCCTGACATCATCTGGAAGGGAGTTCCATAAAATGGGGCCAGTAATACTAAGTGTACAGCTCCTGTTGGATACCAACTATGGATTTGAGCCACGGTGGACCACTAAAAGTGACTCCCACGCAGACCTCAGTGATCATGCAGGGGCACAAGGAATTCGGAGAGAAGCAGTCACACTGCTCTCTAGGTATCCAAGCCTTTAACATAGGTGGGAGTAACCACTGAGGGAGAGCTTGAAGAATCTTTGAATTACATTAGGGATGATTTGTGCTACCCTTTTAAAGGCAGGCTTGACTAAGCTGCTTGCGTCTTGAGGACAACTTTTTTTTTTTTAAATAACTTTTATTTTGCTTTAAACAGGTACATATAAATATAGACAACCAAAATTACAAAGGAAAATTCCTTAATAGTAATGGGGGGGAAAACTTTAAAAACTACAAAAAATATCAAAGTACCGTATTTTTCGCTCTATTGGATGCAGTTTTTCCTCTCCAAAAATTGAGGGGAAATGTGTGTGCGTCCTATAGAGCGAATGCAGGCTTGTGCCATAGCTGCGCGCAACCCCTCCGGCAGGGAGAGGCTGCACGGGGCTATGGCTTCTTTAGCCCTGCGCAGCATCTCCCGGCAAGGAGAGGCTGCACGGGGCTAAAGGGGAAGCCAAAACAGCGAGTGGGATGGATCCTGCTCGCTGTCTTGCCTGCTTCCATAGCTGCGCGCAACCCCTCGGGCAAGGAGAGGCTACACGGGGCTATGGATTCTTTAGCCTCACGCAGCCTCTCCCGGCAAGGAGAGGCTGTGCGGGGCTAAAGGGGAAGCCAAAACAGCGAGCGGGATCCATCCCGCTCGCTGCCTTGCCTTCTTCCATAGCTGCGCACAATCCCTCTGGCAGGGAGAGGTTGTGTGCAGCCTGTACGCTGCTCTTTGGGGCTGGGGGGGAAAATTTTTTCCCCTTGATTTCCCCCCCTAAAAACTGGGTGCGCCCTATGGTCCGGTGCGCCCTATGGTGCGAAAAATACGGTACATAACACAGAACATAAGCAACTATGGAAAAGATAAAAGAAAAGAAAAAAGAAAAATAGAAAAAAAGAAAAGTAAAAAGGAAGATGAGCCAAAGCAGGAAGGCTCATCTATTGTACACTTTGAGGACAACTTCTGTGCTTTTAAAATTTGTACCACTGTGTTCAGGGTCATTTAGGCCGCTTGTTCTGTTTGGGGGAGTGGAGGAGCTTGGGAGGGGGTGTTTCCATCTCACACAGTGTCTAGCTTCCTGGGGGGAAATTAAATTTGGACAGTGTGCTGGTGATTACTAGATTTTCTCAGAATTTACAGGAAAGATGAGAAAAACCAAAATTCTACTAAAAAAATGGATGCACCCTATTTTGAATCTGCATATCAAAATTGCGAAAATGGAGGGGGTTTCAGCTTGAGCATCTGAAAATTGGCTCTCTGGTGTAATAGGGGAAGTATCTGCACTTTGAAGTAGGCGTGGAGGCCTCAGGTTTCTTGTGGCATATATGATGTCTAGAATCCTCATCTAGCATAGGCCGCTATGAAAAGAATTTAGTTACATCCAGAAAATCCACCACAGAATTTTGGAAGTCATATTTGCAGCTCCCCAAATTTCCTTACAGGTTCGATCTGGATGGAGTTCAAAATGTGTTGTCAATTGTGGGGGGTTTCCTTTCTCCATTATTCAGTAGTACTAACATACAGGTGAGGTTTGCTAAACTCTCTCACTGGCCTAACTCAATTGTTCTGCTTGTTCTTGTAAGTTTGGCTTGATTCATACTGTATTGATATGCTTGTTCTTCAAAACTATTCAGTTCTTACTGTATTCCTAGCTTTCCAGCTAGCTAGTTTGCAGAAGGGCCTACGGTGTTTGGGTTTCTTTTCTTTTCTTTCTTCTTCATCGTTTTGCCATTCTTCCTGCTTTATCTTCCTTGCACTTTGAATGGGTTGCAGTTGTGCTTCTGTCAAACTGCCAGCCCTGCTAAAGCCTCACTTAGCTCTTCATGGGACTTGGAAAGACCCAAGAGTTGGTAAACAAAGTCTGCTTTTATAAAATTTAATGATAGTGTTGCAGCGGATTAGAACAAGACGGGTTTCTTAAGTGTGCAGGGAAGAACTGGAAAATGTCAGATGAATTGTGTCTTTGTCATATGCAGGAAGTGGAGCAGGAGTCTGGCTATTCTCTTCGAACTGCTGCATCAACTGTGTCTAACAGTAAATTCAGTCAACTTGAATGTTCGTTTTCAAGGTCTTTGTGCCGTGCTGTGTGTGGGATATCCAGGAGCAGGGGCTGGGAAGCTACGGCCCTCCAGGTTTTGTTGGACTCCATCTCCCAGCAGCCCCAGGGGCACGTTCAGGGGGGTGATAGGAGTTGGAAACCGACTACATCTGTAGAGCTTTGGCCCAGAAACTGATAGCCTTATCCTCTATGAATTTGTCTAATCTTATTTTATAGCCATCTAAGTTGGTGGCCATCACAGCCTCTCGTGGGAGCAGATACCATAGTTTAGCTGTATGGTGTGTGAAGGAGTGCTTTCTCCTTCAACATTCAGCTTCAGTGGTTGCCCCTGAGTTCCTCTGAGTGGGAGGGGGAAAAATTCTAACCACTTTCTCCACACTGTGCATACATTTTCACACTTCAACCATGTCCCCTCTTGCTTTTTCTCGAAACTAATCTTTCTTCACGGGGGAGTTTCTCCACTGCTTTTCTTGATCATTTTGGTTGCCTTTTTTCTGAACCTTTTCCAACTCTGCAATTATCCTTTTTGAGGTGAAGTGACCAGAAACGGTACACAGTATTCCAAATAAGCATATGATATCTCACAGTGTTTGATAACTGGAAGAAATCTTGGAGGTACACAGACGAGAATGAGGAGATAAGGGAGTGTTCTCTAGGAATGCAGGAAAAGCAGGCTTGCTTACTTTGAAGATAAAAATTCATGAAGGAAGAAAACTTCAGGCCGATCAGGTTTGAAGCCAAAGGTAGAGGTTACAAACTAGTGGAAAGCATCCCTCCCCCCGCCCCCTTTTCAGGATAAAGAAGCATTTTATGCATTTGCTTTGCTTCATTGCCTTTTTCAAGATAATGCCTCTGGGTGGAATTCACTGTGACATTTTTCTAAGTGTGGCAAGCTGAAATCTCCCTCTTCTGCCCCCTGTTCTTGGGATTCTCCCCCACCCCACAAAATTCCCAGACAGTTTTGGGGGGATGCTGAGGGGAGTAGGAGGGGAAAGTACCCTTGCACAAGTCGAAGTCCTTATGCAAGGCTTCAATGGATGGGGCTGGTTAAATGAATTGCATCCTCTTGTCTTTTCTGCTTCAATAAACTTTGATAGAATAGAATGCTAAAAGATAAATTTGGTAGTACCTTGATTTAAAAATTCCTTACATAAAATGGTTAGCATAAAGCCCTAGCTCATGTGATGTTTGCCTTGTGCTGACCTTAGATGCATGCTCTTAAAATGCAGAAAGCAGCAGCACGTAACACTGTGCAGAGCTACATCTCTACCACTGCTTGAAGTACTTGCTTTTATGTGGAGGTTGTAATATTTTGCACACTTGGGAGTAAATCCCATTGAATTTGACGGTAGCTGTGAATAAGCATGCATTTGATTGAGCGGCACTCGATACCAAATTACAGATGATAAGTTCTTGTTCAGTCATTCATGCTTGCTGCAGGTTGCGAACGTGCATCCCGCACGGATCACGTTTGCAACCCGAGCGTCCACTGTATAGGATAATTTAAATGATTATACTAAACTTAGACCTTTTCTTTCAGTGAATTATGATACAGTAAAGCTGTTAGATATACAGAGTTGCCCACAAGGCTGTTCTGTTTGCAAAACGGCTAGGGAGTTAACCTGTAGTGGCTGGTGTGGCAGTGTGGGTGGGGGTGTGCTGCTCACCTGACTTCCCAGTACTTCATTGCTGCTGGTTACGTAGAGGGGCAGGGCAGTGGAGAGTTTAGTGGTGTACAGGTGCAACAGCAGAGGCAATCCTGCCATGCTGAGCTCTCCAGTGCCTTGTCTCCCCCCTCTCAATAACGGGCAATGATACCTGGCATTGGGAAGATGGCTTAACAGCGCATTACTACCTGTGCTGCCTTGCTAGATGCTACTGGACTTAACCGTTCTATTAAACATTAATGCATGAAATCTAACTTAAAGAAGCTTGTAAAAAATAAGTAACTTTGATAAACTTAGTCAGGGTACAAAATTTCTTAACTGATGTTCTTGCGTGCATGTCCAGTAATACACTTTGAACATGAATTAACTCCAGAGTTCTCTTTATAAACTAACTTCATTTTTCAAAACGAGTTGTGTTCAGACAAGTGTTTCTGAAAGTTTTATAACTAGGTTTAAAAGTAATAGCTGCCCTTGTATAAACATTGGCATTACTTTTCTGGCGTTTGTGTATGTCTGCTTTGGGCATGCTGTATTTAGAGGATGGAGTCTGTTAACTCTTACAAAAACAGTTTAATGTTGAATGAGTTTCCTGTAAACTATATTGCCAAGCTGGGGTCATGATTAACTTAGTTTCATTGGCATTGTTATTAATAGTTATTTTTCAAGCTGTCCAGTATTTTCACACACACATACTTCTCTGTATTGGTTTAATGACATAGTACAGTACTAGGAAGGTGGGGGATGTATTGTGTTCCTCCAAACAGTTCATAGCAATAGTATTTATTCAGAAGATCCCAGGTTAGGCTGAGAGGTAGTGACTGGCCCAAGATCACCTAGTGTGAGGATCACCAACCTGGTGCCTGTGGCTTCACAGGCACTCACAAAGGTCTTCATTCATTTTACCTGTGGGTGCTGTGTTGGTGACCCTGTATGATGCGGGAGATGGGAATGGCAGAGTGATGCAAAATAATTGCTGGAACTAGAAGGGCCTGCACTGTTGCATTCTGGTTGGTTTGGAAGGAAGTTTGTGGGTGAGAGAAGTGGCAGGGGTGGTTTTCCTACTCGCCTTATGGCCCAGCTTGCTTGCTGCCTACCAGCCATGTGGAGCTGGCAGCAAACACTTGCTTCCTCCCATGAAGGAGCTTGCACTTCACTTATGGAGATATTCAGTTGGACTTTACTTCACCTGAGTTCTATAGCACTGCAGATTAAAATGAAAAATGATTCGTTATGAAAGGCTGTCCTTTTTATTACCCTATTACAGACACACGAGGTGCACAGTCAGTCTTTGTTCAAGAAACAGAAATGTAGAAACTATAAATAATTAAAAAGAAGGAAATAGCTTATGATGAACTTTAACAGGTAAATCCTGTCAGGTAAATTCTCATTTAAATTTCCCCCCACAAAGCTTTTCTGATATCGTTCTCCTAGAAGCATACATCCTTGTGGGTTTTTTAAGTATTGAAAGGCCAACATCTCCTTTTCTGCTGTATCAACACAAAAGCAATTGTAGCTGCTCATTGTGGTGAGGAGTGTCCTAGTCCCCAAGTCTTACTTATGTCAACTCAAAGCTCTTTAAAGTTATAACTGACAAAGCAGTGTTGGTCTAAACCAGGCATCCCCAACCTGCAGCCTTCCAGATGTTTTGGCCTACAACTCCTATGATCCCTAGCTAACAGGACCAGTGGTCAGGGATGATGGGAATTGTAGTCCAAAACATCTGGAGGGCCAAAGGTTGGTTGGGGATGCCTGGTCTAAACACTTGGGTTTTTGTCTTTACAAGGCTTAATATTAAACACTGTCCTCTCCCTCAAAAAAAAAAAAAAAAAAAAAGAGCAATGCTAATAAAGAGGAAAAAGTGAAAGTTGCTGCACATGCATTGATGGTGAATTAGAATACAAATTGTAATAGCAAGTCTCCCTTTGCCCAAGATTTTTGTGGCTAGTAAAGAATGAATTAATCTTCTGAGCACTAGGGAAATTGGTGGAAAAGCTCATCATATGTTGTGTAGCACAGTCTACTAGTTATTCCAAAGTATCTCCAGCCATTTACTTTGTTTTTCATTATTTCTATTTTCTAAATTACCTCAGAAGCCCAGTCTAAACTGTGCTCTTCTCTTGCTTCATATTCTGCTTCTGGCTCAGTTTGCAGTCTGCTGTTGGTGGCAGAAATGAGGCAAAAGCATTCTAGCAGCCTTTATAAATTTTCTTTAAAGGAAATAATGCTTAAGTTTCCATCCTTTGCTCTGCACAGACATAGGCAGCCCTATAAATTATCTGCTGCTATAACATAACCATATTTTTGTGTTCCATGAATGTCAAAGTGATGTGTAACAGCTGCATTTATTTCTGCTTATTGTTGAATGATTCCCGAAGGGTACTACGTTAGTTTATATCTGTGTGTGCTTTTCAATATGCTAACATTTCTTCTACAAATATAAGTTTAAACATTAATCTTTTTAAGTGGATAGGGCTTGTATCTGACATGACACATCACCTTTAAGGCAATATTTTAAAATTACGAGTTTTCATTTCAAATCTTTCACCAGCTGGTTATGTCAAAAACATATACATTGTATGAGCAGTCCCTGAAAGAAAAAATGTATGGTGAAATGAGACTTGATAGTTCTATGGCTGGTTGGCACCTCAATACCAAACTTCAACAATACTTGCTGAAAGAGCTCTTTCAAGAGGAGGCTAGGTTGTATAGTTGTTCAAATAGTTATTTGTCTTTGCTTTGCTTGCATATGAGGTTTTCCGGCCATTTCGGCAGTCACAGGCTGTACCTCCTATGGTGCCTTTGTGAGGTCACAGTAAATACGCCTTCAGAAATCCACAATGCACAAGAAACTGTTTTCTGTTCTTGCTCAGTTCCTGTTTACACTTGCTCAGCCCTCTCCTACACTGAACACACACCTCTGAAACATGCCCATATTTTATTAGATGCCAGGACTGGACATCCACACTCCCATCTATTCTTAACAGAGGAGAGGTGCAATGAGCTGTTTTCTGAGCAAATAAAGTTGCAGCTAATATAGGTATTTCCCATTGGTGGTGTGACTATTTTGTGCTCCTGTCTTTTTAAAAAATGTCATAACTATTCTGTGTTATGCTTTACCCCTACAGCAGCCACTTTGTGTGACTGGTGCCCATGGCACTTGCTCAAAATTCCAAATTTGCTTACTTGTCCCCAAAAGGCTGGTAGCTCCAAAGGAAGGGGGGATGTATGGTAGGCATGTTGAAGTGGTGACATTCTTGTCTCTCTACTGTAGACTTATGCAGAGAGCCCTTTTGTCAGCGGTAGTATAAAATAACGAGCCTTGGCAGCATATAGGTCAAACCTTGTTCGGTTAGTACCTTGTATGACCTTTGTTTAAGTTAACACCACTTTCAGGCTCAATTCAGGGCATGTTTTAACCTTATAAGTCTTCCATAGTTTAAATCGAGGGTGCCTGAAGGACTGCATATATACATGTGCCTACACTCGCCTTGTCTGGGTGATTTGATTTAAAAATTAGGGGGGTTGTGGATGGATGTTACAGTGGTGAGAATTTGCGTTTGGATAATATTATGGTTCTAGCTATTCCTGGCAACTTCTTGTCACCTTTACTCTTCCTCCTCTCAGGTTTTCTGTCTCTGCGTACCTTACTAGCAAAATATGTGCACCAAAATGTCAATCATAAATTGTTCCCTTTTCCTTTGCAGATCGTGAGGACCAATCAATTCTTTGCACGTAAGTAAATACATTTTGGAGCTTAGCTTTGTTCTGTGATAGTGTGATGACTACTATTTGTCAGATTCACTGGGAACAGGGGCTCCTAAGATGAGTTACACAAGAGTTAACATTTAACTTTATTCACTGAACGATCTCACGGGTGGCAGAGATCATTATTACCAAACTATGTACTGAAGTTCCTTTGCAGGAGGCTGGCTGTGGCATTCCTGCCTTAGTAGGAACTGGATCTAGTGTGTCCAGTGCCTTCATGGAGGTGAGCTTGGAACTGGGAACTTCACAGTTCACTGCTTGCTCTTGCAACTGTTATTCTAACTCCTGTTGCAAGCCAACTCTTGCTGCCACTTGTTACCATGGCTTTAGGATGGATTAGGCCAGGCATAAGCAAACTTCGGCCCTCCATATGTTTTGGACTAGAAGAAGAAGAAGAGGAGTTTGGATTTGATATCCCGCCTTTCACTCCCTTCAAGGAGTCTCAAAGCGGCTAACATTCTCCTTTCCCTTCCTCCCCCACAACAAACACTCTGTGAGGTGAGTGAGGCTGAGAGACTTCAGAGAAGTGTGACTAGCCCAAGGTCACCCAGCAGCTGCATGTGGAGGAGCGGAGACACAAACCCGGTTCCCCAGATTACGAGACTACCGCTCTTAACAACTACACCACACTGGCTCTCAATTCCCATCATCCCTGACCACTGATCCTGTTAGCTAGGGATCATGGGAGTTGTAGGCCAAAACATCTGGAGGCCCGAAGCTTGCCTATGCCTGGATTAGGCTATAAATCTAAGCATATCATTCATGTGAGATCTGGAAGAATGACTTCCAGCTATTTAGGGGTTTAGTGAAGGGCAGTAACCCCACTTCACACTATCTGCGCCATTCACGTGGTCGCCAAGGCAGTCACTGTCTTTTACCTCAAACATCTTTCATTCATAATTCACAGATTCATAAGGAATACGGAAGTCAAGAGGCAAAGGCACTGAAGATACAGGGGGAGATGAGAGGACTAATGAGGTCTTCAGTCTGTCTTCTGAGGATCATTTGTCACATAATAAAACCAGTGAAAAATGTAAAAGTTTTGGGTTAGTCAGTGGGAACCCCATACGTAACTAATAAGTTAATATCGGTGAACATATGTCTCCAGTATAGAACAAGTCTATTTGGCAGTGAAATATGAAAATCAGTAATGGAATGATCTAAAAGTGTTCTAAAGGCCAGGAGTGTGTGTGTCCTCTTTCATCAAGTATTCCTATTCCAGGAAATCTTGTATAGTTCACCATCTGGCAACAATACACTATTGGGGGGGGGCGCGGAGAATTAACTTCAATTTCAGCTTTGCAGCCACTGCTTATAAAGAGAATAGAACCTATAATTGACACATTGAATACCTGCTTAAAGTTATGCTTTTTTTCTTTTCATATATGTGGAAGCTAGATGGACCATCTAGGGGACGCAGGTGGCGCTGTGGGTAAAACCGCAGTGCCTAGGACTTGCTGATCGTATGGTCGGCGGTTTGAATCCCCGCGGCGGGGTGAGCTCCCGTCGTTCGGTCCCAGCTGCTGCCCACCTAGCAGTTCGAAAGCACTCCTAAGTGCAAGTAGATAAATAGGTACCGCTTTATAGCGGGAAGGTAAACGGCGTTTCCGTGCGCTGCGCTGATGCTGGCTCGCCAGATGCAGCTTCGTCACGCTGGCCACGTGACCCGGAAGGGTCTTCAGACGGCGCCGGCTCCCGGCCTCTTGAGCGAGATGAGCGCGCAACCCTAGAGTCGGACACGACTGCCCCGTACGGGCAGGGGTACCTTTACCTTTACCTTTTAGATGGACCATATGAAATTGATTATAAAATAGCAGTAATTTGGATATTGTACATGAAGCATTCACCACCCTTTAGCTAGATCCTTTAAATTCTGTTACTCCAAAAGGCAAAAGGAAACTTGGGGCTCTTTCTCAAGTGACTACTTCATATGCAGCAGTACATATTCATGTTTGTAGAAGTCTTATATCTGGCAACTTGAGAATGGTTGTGCAAATTTATATACTGTTCAAGGAGATTCCTTTTTTGGTTCTCAGCTTGTATATCACTGTCTCATCTTTCCTTTTCCCTATGCAATTGAAACAGGAGTGACAAACTGTTGAGGGAGACTCAAATGGTATTTCCTGAGTGGCGGAGGTGACTTCAGATAGAATTGTAGAATTGGAAGGGACCATGAGGCTCATCTAGTCCAACCTCCTGCAATGAAGGAGTGTTTTGTCCAAGGTGGGGCTGGAACCCCACAACCCTGAGATCAAGTCTCATGCTCTACTGATTGAACTATCCCAAACTCACTAGAGTTTTGGTTCTTTACCACTGGGTGACTGAAGAGTGCTTTTAGAAGTTAGCTCGGAATGTCTGGTTTTCATTATTTAAAACCCACCATCTAAGTTCTTACTGAAATACCTTTAGTGTGTTTTCAGTTGGAACAGCAAGCTGCCCCATTGACAGAGTTCCTTCAGTGAAAAGTGCTCTCAGTACCAAGTGTATCTGCTGTACAACAGTGGTTTTACATAAAACTCACTACTGAACAACTCAATTCAGCATCTTTTCACATCTCAGGAACCAGAAAGTACCTTGCAGTTCTCCAAACCTAGCATTAATAAAATTATCCTAGACATTAAGTTGTAGTGAAAGCCTGATTGTTGTTTCTCTTCTACAAATCTAGCTTTAAATTATGTGTGTTCTTGCAGAGGTGAATCAGGTGCTGGGAAAACAGAAAACACCAAGAAAGTCATTCAGTATCTTGCACATGTTGCTTCCTCTCATAAAGGAAGAAAGGACCACAATATTCCTGTAAGTTTTACATGGTATTTCCTTAATTTGTAATTGTTGTAATCTGTAAATAAGGTTAACACCTTGCTTTGAAGTCTGCTTCCGAGACCCTGTCCATGATAAACAAGTGTTGGAAAACAGGCCACTTAAAGTTGGAATCAGTTTGTAAGCACTGCTGTTTGCTTCATTATCCATTCAACAAAGTACTTGCTTTAGTTTAAGGGAATAGCCACCTAACAGTTGTGTTACAATTGCTCTCTGTTAGAAGTTACAAAGAATAAACAGTTGGATGCCAGCTTGGTAGATTTCAAATTGCTATGTGTACATAACAACCCTCTTGCTGTTACAATTGTCTTTGGAAACAATTCTTAAAATAGAAATATGTATTGTACAATACACCGTTGGCATTAGTTTTTGTGGTGCCATATGCTAAGTTCTATAGCAAAGCAAAGCATGTTCTTGAATGAAAATTCATTGCCCCACTTTTGTGCTCTCTTGGATATTGCAATGTCTCCTTAAGTTCTTGCTGTATTATAAGGATTTTTGTGATGTATATTTGAGATGTAAGGAGGCCTTCAAGTGATCCTGTACTATGCTTTTAGTGTGCAGTTGGCTGGCTGCTATTCTTCTAGATAGAGATGTGCCCTGTAACTGGGGACTAAAAAATTTAAAGTCGTTGGGCATTTAATAGATATAAATCCTAGGAGTCTGTTAACTCTGGCACAGGTAACTTTTAAGTTTTCAGTTCCAGGAACCACTTTTAACCCAAATATGCATTTGGGGACCCATTTCTTAAATTTTGCCATATATTTGCATCCTAATAGTCCCAGCTGTTATAACCCACATTGAATCAGGACACAACACACTCGTGGGTCCCAGCCTACCATTTGAAGACCAGTACTTGAGCATACCCCAAAAAATGGAATCCAAGGAAGGATTATTCATGGAACTGTCTTGGATCTCAAAGGCTAGCAATGAGTTTTGTGGAGCAAAATCGACAGCAAGATGAAGTATAGGACATAAAACCAGTCCCTTCCTCTGTTGCTGGGGTTTAGTCCCGTACCAAAATGGTATCTGAGTATACACTTGTTGTTCATGTGAATGAATGGTTGATTAACCCTTTTGACAGAAGAATAATGAATTTGGGATGGTGTTGTAGTTGGGCACAAAACATACCCTCTGTCCCTGGCAGTCCATATCTTGGTTTCCACTAGTTCTGGTGGTATAGGTTTGTGTGTACACTGTATGTATGCACGTGCAGAGCAGATACACCTTTCCTGCTTTATGGGGAAGTGAGAAATGGAACACCATTAAATCACCTCTGAAGACACTGTGAAGGCATACCACATTCTGTAGCTTTAGAACTATTACGGTATTTAGTTGCTACCCTCCTTTAATTCTGCAGCTTGCAACATTTAAACATCTGGTTGTGTAATTTTCATCTGAAAACTCTCTACTGTTGCCTTCCGAAACTTTTTCTTGTTTTGACAAACAATTGTAGAGCATGGTGTTCTTCTTTAAACTGCTATTGCCTTATAGCTGTGAAGAAGGCACCATATTTCGGAACATGGGCTTTATCTGCCCACAATATTCATTGTATAGTGTAATATAAATGAGTACTTGAGTTGTCTAATTGATGTCATAGAAGCACAGGATTGAATTTTTCACCATTGGTCTTAGCTGTGTTGCTTTCTATGAACCAATATTTGACATTGCATCTTTAATAAATAGGTTTTATTTAGCATCCCTTGTGTGAATAATCCAATTTTGTTAAAAGGCATTATGGATAAAGAAAACTACATCTCAGTTTGTTGGGTTTTGGAATTTTTTTGTGTGGCACGGTACCCATATGTAAACTTTGGCAATTTGTGTGCTACTGTATCCCAAGTTTGGGAAATGCTCTAGAGCAATACAGAGTTCTGCTTCACATAAGGAGTTTTACACGTTGGTGTTGTGTTTTCTTCCGAGTTAGGAATTCCCTTGCATGTGCAAAACGTTGCACACATCATCTCACAAAAGATAAGAGCAGCTCTTGCATGCACACATCTGTATGCATGTTGGAGGCCCTGAATGCACATCAGGCCTGTTGAATCCTGGCAAAGGAAACTAAATACACTGCCTAGAGACTTCTATGTGATCCAGAAAATAAAAATTCTAGGTGGATTTTTTTTTTGTTAGAACCTTTTGGAAACATTGTATTTAATTAAGTCTTGAGAGCGTACAGTGTATATTGTATTACCAAGCTATACCTTTTCTAAAAGAAACCAGTATCAGACCTGGAGTCATGAAATAAGATTAAAAAGTACTTTTAGTTCTTCAGCTTTCCTTGAATGAAGTTCACATTTAATTCTATCTGGCTAAAATTTAGCTGTTGCCACGATGAACATAGTGGCTAAAGAAAATATACTAGTATGTATATGAGAGTGATCTTGGCGATGGATGGGAAGGCAAGGTCAGATTTGCTAACATGTGAATTTGTTTGTTTACAACAAACAGCCCGAGTCACCTAAGCCAGTGAAGCACCAGGCAAGTGTCTTTTTTATGCTTCTAAACTTTATATAGGCTTAATCATTCTTGTTTTACATTTTTAGGAGACTACCTGTCAACATCCAATATAAGTATACAAGTAATTTCTGGTACAGGCATGCAGCTAAGAGTAAACTTCATTATTGCACATGTACAGAAACACCGATATAATTGTCCTTTGAGCGTGCATATCACTCAGTATAACTGACAAAGTAGTCAGGCACAGATTGTCCCAGATTGCTGGGCATTATTGTTCCATATTTTGCTGACTATGTGGGGAAAGCAGGAGTGTTTTAGTGCTGGTATGCCTAGATTTCCTGCGGCTCAGGATAAATCTGAACTGCAGTCGCCCTAGGGCTGGAACAGTAAACTCTGACTGCATAGATTCTTAGTTCTAGAGGCCAGTGAGGAAAGAGGGTATGCGAATCCCAGGACTGATTGTTCTAGATTCTTCTTTCTCCCCATTCTTTTTTGACTCAAGCTGTCACCTGCCTAATTAAATAAGTGACCTATTACTTCCTGTATAATGTCTTGAAGTGATGCCTTGTACTATGTACAGGTGTTGAAGTTGAAACTAAGATTTTTTTGAATGAATAGGAGTTCGCTGTGACTCTCTTGGCATGTGGATTTTAGGAGCAGCCTAAGTACTGCTGAAGGTTGAACCACCTAGGGTTTGGTATGTGGTTGAGGGGTTAGCTATTTGGTCCAATATGTGACCTTCAGCAACTTTGGTTGTATTAGCAAGGGAAAGGCTAATGCTGTTTACTTTCTATGAAAAAGCATACAAACAGATTCTGTTATAGCTCTTCCCTCTATAACCCTTATGGCCACTGCTTAATCAGTAGGAGAGCTTGAATGACTTCTTATCCATAGACTAGGGTAACTGGAGAATAACTCTTCGAGTGCAGAGCAAAACATGGGTGGATCTCCTTGGTCCGGATTAAACAGGATAAAAGTTTTTGCTACCTGGTGTCATATTCATCAGGTTTATTTTATACTGTGAAGTTGAAGAAGGGTCTGATAACAGATTTTCTATATTAAAAAGATGAGTAAACTCTCCTATAGGAACCCAATAAAGCCATTTTGTATTTTTAATCCCAGTGTGTTTCTGTAGGTTTCATAAGTTCATAACCATTAACATTCTGTTTCATTGTCATTTTGAACTGCAGAGTGGATCCCTGTTGTATGTGAGTAGCATGTAGCTCTTCTAGCTTCTCACCCCGCTCTCAAAATGAGTCAAATCACAGGGATGCTGAGAGCAAAGCCTCTCTTACCTATCATTACACTGTTGATTTGCATGAATATATTGCATGTTACCACACCTTCACAATATTTTGGATGCTTTTTCCAAGATCTCCCTGAATTTATGTGTGAAAGCCAATGTAGATCTTGCCTTTAGTTTCAAGCTTCTGTGATACATTGCAGAATAGGATGGTGGTCTCCATATGCCTCTTGTCTGTTTCTTCACATGAGACTGATTCATGACACCAAGACACGCGTGCCAGGCATTTTAGGGCCATAAGTAAGAATAACTAGGAAACTTATTTTGAAGTGTTCATATCAGGAATTGGGAACCTGTAACACTCCATGTTTTCTAGAGTCCTGTCATCCCTGACCATGTTGACTGGGGCTGATGGGACTTGGGAGTACACAAGATATGGAGGGCTACCAATTCCTCATTTCTGTGTTGTAGGCAAGCAATTGTACAAACCTCAAGATCTGACTTCATAGAGACTAAAATAACAGATTAAACCTGTTGTATTGATCAGACACTTGGGGGGTACAAATGAATGTCTCTCTTCAGTGAAGTCTGAAATTTGATTTTGCTTGCTGAGAACAGCTAAAGGCACACTATGCTAGTGTGCTTGGACTGTAACAGGAGGTAGCACCAGTATTCCATGAAATGATTTATCTTGGCGTATTTCAGTTTTTTGTAACTGTCCAAACTGAGATAAACTCCGTTCTTGACTAGATGTATTCCTGCAGACTCCATAGAGCTCATTTCTGCAGTTCATATTGTTTACAAACAATTTATGACCTTTTCTGCTTGTCAGATGTGTGCTCACTTGAATTGACTCTGAACTAGCTGTTTGAGCCCCTATTACTTGGTTTCTGTGTTTTGTTTTGTTTTTGTGCTTTTCAGTGCCCATTGAAAGGCATTTTGCTGGATAATCTCTTAGAAAGGAGGAACTAGCAAGAACCTGCCATGTAGAGTTAAGATGCAAAAGGCAACAATACGTTTCTTTGCTGTATGAAAGGGTTTTTTTTATCGTGGATATCAGCCAGCCTTGCACTTCCTCTTACTATAGATAGAATGGTGTAGTCTTAGTTAAACATTTAGAAAAAGCATGTTGAAATTACGTTACATTCTTCTGCATATACAGGGTGAGTCCTTTAAAAGAGGCCCCGTGGATACAGAGTACACATGTTCCATGGGGCCTCTTTTTAAAGACTCATCCTGTATAAAGCTCACTTGTTTAACTCCAACAGGTGAGTTAAGCACTTGCTTCTCTGAAACCAGTGAGTGTTTGATGTTAGCTGGATAAGCAGAGAATGTTCAGTCAAGAAACTAAGCGATAATTCTGTTCAGATAATGCACTTCTAAAAAGGTACTGTACAAACATTAACTAACAGTATGCAGAAATCTTTAACATACATATAACTGGGACCAAACAAAACCAATCATACTGTGAAATATTGGTATTTCAAAGCAGTTGAATGGAGGCCACTTACTGTTAGGTAACCTAGGTTCATACGTTTTCTACAAACAAGATTGACTGGAAAAAGCAGACCTATTAGCGGTGCTAATATTAATTTTGCAATTATATTACAGATACAATTCCACTCTGCCACACACCTTTGCTATCCAAGACATGGCAGCAAAATCTCATCTTTCACCAACTTGACTCCTCATTGGGCTAATGGATACACACAGGTGTTAACATGGACAGCAGTGGGGAAAGAATTCTCCCAGACATGTCTGAGCTGGCAACTCAGACTTAAAAACCTTTCTAAAAAACTGCAAAATTAGTTCTGTGTCCTGTGCTTGTAGCTGAAATACTGTTTCACCTCAAGTTTGAGAATAGCCAGAGCTAAGGCAACACTGCTCACTTCGGTCTAAAACAATCCTATAAGTTTTGTTTAGATGTGGGAGCAGAAATCTGTGCTGCACAGATGATTAGTTAAAATGATAAATGTCTACTTCACAAAGTTTTTTTAAAAAAAATCTTTGTGCATTACTAACGTATACTTTGTCAGGCCATTTAGCTGCCCCAGATACTGATCTCAGTGGAAGATGGAGCATCATTTTTTTCTTCAAAAATTGCCTGAAAGGTGGCAGTTTGTCAACCCTGTGCTTTATCCATTAGCCCTAACGTAAATTGTATCTATTTCTTTAGTTTTTAATACCATATTTTCCAACTGTTTTTTATGATGTCGTCCATCTCAACTGTTAACAGCATTAAGCATATTTTGAAGATGCTGTATTGAGAAGACATATGGGGTCAAGGCAATTGAAAATGGAAACCACACCTGGGAAATTGTGCTGCTCTTGGAGTTGCCTAACTTTGGGTTTGTGTCTGTGGTTTGTTGTTTTTTTCCAGGGTGAACTGGAACGTCAGCTTCTACAGGCCAATCCCATTTTGGAATCCTTTGGGAATGCAAAGACTGTGAAAAATGATAATTCCTCTCGTTTTGTAAGTTTTTAAATTTTAAATTTAAACCAAACAACCTTAATTAAATGCTAAACTATTTTTTCTAGGCAGATCTACTCTTAAGAAACCTGTTGAAATGCAGTAGTTCTTCTCTTCGGGAAGGGGAGAATCCCCCCTCCACTAATCTTGGTCTTCAATGCCCAGACTTACGCTGGGAGCAACCAAACTTGCATTACAAAGATACATAACACTTGGGCCAAAACAAATCTTGATTCAGGTGCATGAAATTTTAGATCATTTTTCTGAGTATATTCCAGCCCTTGTATATTCTCAGATAAGTACCAATGTCTGTGCCAGTTACTGGTCTAACAGTGCAATCCAATACATGCCTAGTTAGAAGTCCAGCTGAGTTGAATGGAGCTTACTCTGCAATGACTGGGTGTAGCATTGCAGTCTAAATGAGTCCATCCCCTGTTGTGTTGGTGTAAACATGCCTTGGATAAATAAGCAATTCCCTCCTGATTAAGCTCCATGTTTACCTATGATACATTTTTTTTTTAAAAAAAGAGCTCAGTGTTAATTTTTCCATGAGCAAGTCATGTAACAGCTGAAGCTTACAACAGAAAGAACCAATTTGTTACCTCGTTCTCTAGAAGAGAGGTAGCAGCGTATAGTCACTCCGTTTATTTAGTTTATGACTAGCCTTCCAATCTTCTTTCTTTATAATATTGATGCATTGTAGACTTTAAATGACTAATACAAGTTGAGCATCAGTAGTACCCTGTAGGTGTGCGTATACAGTACATGCAGGGTAGAATGGTGGAGACATAACGAGTCCCCACTCAGCCATGAAGCTCATTGGGTGACCTTGAGCAAGTCACACTCCCTCTCAGCCTAGCCTTCCTCTGAAGGTGGTTGAGAGGATAACAATTGTTATGAGGAGGAGCATGTACACCATCCTTGGCTCCTTGGACAATATAAAAGGCGGGGCATAAATATCATAACAAAATAAACAAAAAAAGTTTAGCATCATGACAAAGAGCACGATCTGAGAGTCCCTAGTTAAAATGTTTTATCTCGGCTGTGAATTCACTGAATGACATTGCGAAACACATTGTGGCCTACATCTTTTAATATTTGTAAGCACAGCCGAGAGGATGTAAAAAAACAAACAAGAGGCCTTTTCTTATAACTGGGTTGGGATGAGTTAGATCAACCAAATCTCAATCTGTCCAAAGTATGATGGCATTGCAGAGTAGAGTAGATGTAATTAGGCTTCTTCTCAGACGTACTATCTGAAACCTAATGGTAGTCCAACAGATAGGACATTGGCTAAAAGTTCGCAGGTTGCGCTGCTGTTTTGCTCAGTTTTTACAGGAGGCGCAAAGACGTGAATGCAGTAAAGTTTCTTTCCTGTAAAAGTCCTTAAGCATCTGTTTCCTATTACATTTTTCCTTTAAGTCTGCATTGATGTTGTGAACATAATCACTCCAATGGCTCTGGCACTATTTTTGTAATGAGTAGTTTAATGCAGTCCAGATGGTGATTTATTTTTGTATAGAAGTAATCTCCAGTAGTGAAGGTTTTTAAATTCTGATTTGATAAGAGAGAGTTCCTCCCCTGAAGGGGAAATGCATTGTGAATTATCTTCACCTGATGGAAGTGTAATAATAGTGATACACTAAGAAATGCATTCAAACATTGATTTAATGGATATAAAGGTAAAATGTAGCTGTAGTTGAGGGGTATTGCTGCTTCTCTTCTCAGTTTAAATAAACTTGGATGCATTGAATTTGTAAGGTAGTAATTTCTTATCTGTGTTTTTCCTACAGGGCAAGTTCATCAGAATAAATTTTGATGTTACTGGTTATATTGTTGGGGCCAACATTGAAACATGTATCCTGTTCTCAGTAGCTCATTTGATAAACTCTGATTATGGGGAAACCCAGCCAGATGGGCAGGGTACAAATAATAAATTATTATTATTATTATTATTATTAGGGAAAGTGTATTGATGACTTGGTTAAAATACAGTAGACACTTCTTCAGCGGCTATGTTGGAAAACTCGGGGCTTATGCAGAAGTGCACTTCCATTATTGGTTTGTAGAATAAGCGCCAAATATGCACATACCTTAATATTGAGGAAATTCTGGTGCATACTCCTGACTTCCAAGGTACACAATTTTTAAAATATGCCACAATAGGCTGGTCAACATTTATCCCAATTCTCAGTGCTGTATAGGCTCAGGTTCTGCTGAAGTAAATAAAGCTTCATCAGTTGAGTCATCTGAAGACCGGGTTACAAGGCTGTGTTCTGTCTTGGTATACACTGAAACTGCACCTGGGTGATTTTGTTGCTGGGAAAATTACCAATGGACTAGATGTGATAGGAAGTAATTAAAATGAGTAACTACAGCTTTTGTGGCTGGTTATGACCATTGCACAAAGGTCTGCAGTTCAGAATGCAGAAAGTGGAAGATTTAGCATGGAGTTCTTGCAACCATTTTGATTGCTTACCACATTTTCCTCAAATCTACATATGCTGTACTTCCAAATTCCCTACTTTTCCCTTTCTGAAATCCATTCAGCTGTTATAGCCAGCTTAAAAACAGTATGCAAGCAAAATGCCAATTTCATGGTTGGAGACACGACACTTTGCAAAGCTCCCTGAAGTATGAACTTCCTAAGGGCCTCTAGATTCTAGAATCAAGAGAGGAGCTTGCCATATAATTCTGTCAGCAAATAAAAATGGAGCATCTAGGCTTCATGGACTCAGATGTTGTATATCTTGCTCCTTTCTGTTGTGTTGAAATTCACTGTTGAAATGCACCCCTACGCAAAATGGCATATATATTTCCTACACAATACTTACCCTTCCCTTGATCATCATACCTTATTTTTTTAACACAAAATGTTTTTGTTCTGTCTTTTATTTCCTTTATAATACATACTTTTGAAATCTAGCTCCCTCAGTTGCTCTTTTCACATTCCCACTCTATTTTCTTCCTTCAACCTTATTTTAAAAAACAATTTGTTGTTGTTGTTGTTGTTATAAGGCTGCAGGCAAAAACTTTCCTCTATAACCAGGCCTTTGGCCTTTAACTATCTGTGGCCTTTTAGAAGTTGGCGGAATTTTTTTAATGTATTTCTTTTCCGCCTTAGTTTTAATGTATCTATATGGGGTTTTATTTTGTTGTTAATTTGGTTGTTGGTTGGTTGTAGTCCACTTTGGGGTGCCCTGGATGAGACAGAGTGACTAACAAATTTAGTAGATTATTATTATTATTATTATTATTATTTTAAAATGTCACATTTCCTTCATTTTCTTCAAGTCTTCCCTAAAGTACGATTTACTCATAGCAGGGTTATACGTCCAGAACTGCCTCCTCTGTTAGAGCTTAGCTCTGGAAGATTAAATAGTTTGAAAAAGGCCTGTGGCTATTGGCATATGCAGAGTGCATTTATATTGCCACTAAGCAATTGCAAGCAGGAATCATGGGTTGCAGAATCTTCCGAATCAGAGCCTGATGGCATTTAGTAGCCCAAGCACAAGCAGTTCTCAGTTTATGCACAGCCTGGAAGCTCAGAGGGAGTTCACCACATGCCAGGAGAACATTATCCCTCCTTTCAGTGATATCTCCTTGTCTTCCTCTAAGCTGGCTGTGAAGTAGTATTGCACCTCTGCTTAATTTATGGATTTTGCACTCTCTCTCTCTCTCTTTAAGACTCAAGGAAACAATTTTGATCAGATTAATTTATGAATAGTGCAGCCCGTGGTGGATGTAGCTCAGACTATTTGGAAGACGCGTAGGACCTCTAATGGTTTTAGAGGTACTAATCTTGCACATCAAATTCTACGCTGAGAATTTCTGGTGCTGATGAAGACACAGTGCAAAATAGAATGTGTGAAAAGAAATGGGGTGGGGGGGATTGCTGTTGTTAATTAGGAGTTTGTTTCCTTTTCATGGCAAAACTGCATAGTTGTCCATTACAATCCTTAATTGCTCTGGCTCAGACCTCCTAGAAAAGTCACGTGCCGTCCGTCAAGCCAAAGATGAGCGGACTTTTCACATCTTCTATCAGCTTCTATCCGGGGCAGGCGAACACTTGAAAGGTGAGTCAGTGCATTATTCTTTAGAATTTATTAGTTGCAGCGTTTAAACAGAAGCTGAACTGATTTCATGGTTTTACTATCTTTTTGCATATGTGAAGGGCACAGATGGCTCTGTTTGTAAGGTCATTTGTACTGGCGCTGTCCAAGATACCTTGGATGAGTGATTCCTAAATAATGAACTCTGCAGCTAGGCTTCAGTTCGGTATTTGGAGTTAAGGTTCTGTATTTGGGATGCTGCAGTGGTGCAGGCCTCAATGAAATCTGCATCAGCCATATTAACAGATCCAGCAGACAATTACAGTCTAAAGCTTTATAAAATTTATTGAGCCCTTGGCTGGACAGAAACATGTAAGCTTCAAGCCAGGCAGTTAAAGGAGTGCTGGCATCAGCTATCAAACTCACACTGGACAGAAGAGCACTCAAGCTGGGAATGGTGCCAAGGTGCTGCTGATAGGCCAAAGCAGCATGGTATTTACACTTTAGATGAAGCACAAATTATTGTGAGAAGGCTTCCACTTCTTCTTGGGATCATCAGCATTCCAGATGTAGATGTTCTTTGAGGATACTCATTTTTTAATTTTGTGTCTTCTGAAATATTGTTTGTCTACATTTGTCCTCTGGAAAGTTTTTGTTTGTTTCCAGCCCAATGTGAAAATGAATCTGGGTTTTAAAATAGTTTATAAATACTAGGGAATTGGTCTCTGAACTCTTTAAACTTTGTCATTGTTAGAGAATAAAATACTGGCCTGCCATAATGTCTTGTATAGGCTTGCCATATGTCAGGAAAATTCCTGTGATGTCCTGGTTTTGGGGTGTAAAAATGGTGCAGGGGGGAATTTTGCCAAATTGGTAAAATGTCAGGGAAAACCCGGATGTATGGCAACATGATGGGAAAAAGCAGCGGAAACAGCTCCAGAAGCTTTAAATTACTATTTTGGGGGGAGGTTTCCCCACAAAAGCTCAACAATTTGGGTTTGTTCCTTACAAAAGCCCAACCACTTTGCAGATGTCAGGAATTTCCCATTTTGAAATATGGCAACCCTAGGATTAAATGAATGGAAAATTACTTTACCCAGTGTCTTGAAGAAACCTCTTTTGCGTTTTTCCTCCTCAATACAGCTGATTTACTCCTTGAAGGGTTTAATAACTACAGATTCCTCTCCAATGGCTACGTGCCCATTCCTGGCCAGCAAGATAAGGATAACTTTCAGGAGACAATGGAAGCCATGCATATCATGGGGTTTTCTCATGATGAAATCTTGGGTATGTTTGAAATGGCTTTGGTTTTTGAAGCTGGGAAATGTGTGTTTTTACACTTAAAACCTGTAGCATTTTTGTAAAAATGCAGAAAGTAAGTTCAGAATAGTGTGGCATCGCAGCTTAATAAACATGGTATATGGCGCTAAATATGGAGTTGAAAGTGTGTACATAACGAGCAGTAAAATCTTAAAAAGTCAGAGACTTTTAATGGTCCGGGCAGGGCATTATGTAGTTCATTAACACTTCAAGAGTAGCATACATCCTAAAAAAGGTAATAACTTCTTGGTGTAGAACTGGATTACCCTAGTGTAGGATTTCAGTACCTTTATTTTAGGGTTTGTAGAGCCTCTGACAAATACCTTGACTTGTTGAAACATTGGACTTGTCAGATACAGCTATGATCTGAAACAGAGGGGGCCTGTCCTGTGGGTTTCCTGAACCAGTTAGATATTCTTCTTTCATACTGAACTTGACTGCCTGTCAAACATGTATACACGATGTATTTATCTGCTCTTGTCCTCTGCTCTTTTGTGTGCCTCCAGCTATGTTGAAAGTGGTGTCCTCAGTACTGCAGTTTGGTAACATTTCCTTCAAGAAAGAGCGAAATACCGACCAGGCATCTATGCCGGAAAATACGGGTAGATATATTTACAAGCACAGTAGACTTGATTTTAGTCTATTTTCCTCATCAGTGATTGATATCTGCATAGATGCTTGCAAAGAAACAGCTCCTTCTGTATCAAGGATAGCCAATGTGGTGCCATTCAGACGTTGAAGACTGCAGCTCCCATCAGCCCCAAGCAGCACGGCCAGGGATGATGGGAGTTGCAGCTCACATCATCATGTACCATGTTGGTTATGCCTGCAATATAGAGGCAGCTGTGGTTGTAGCGATAGGTCCTAGCCTTCAGGTACTAAGAAACTGGTACTGTTCACACATCTTGTGTTTTGTTCCCCCACCCCACCCCCAAACCTACTAAATACTGCAGAATCCCTGAGACTATGTTGAGGTATTTCCTCTTTGAAAAAGTATTTGAACTCTAACCTCATTAAGAGCTTATCAGCAAAGTCTTTAAAACTCCCAAGTAAAATGGTATGTGCAGTTGAATCGGTTTATTTTTCTTGGGTCTATACAGTGATTATGCTGCCAGGGACAGTGATTCTGGAGCCAAACACGACTTTTTGGAGAATTGGAGACCATAAATGCTAAGTTTAGAAAATCTGATCATTCAAGTGACAGGGTGGTATGCATAGGACTGACTTTATAATTTAATACTATCCGTGTCTAATGTTCCTCTTAATCATGGGAGGGGGGGAATCCTGACACAAGTAAGAATTTTCTCACGTTCTTAGTTCACTTTTGTATTCTCTGTGACAAGGATCATCTGTATCATTCAGCCCTTTGTGCTTAAGTGGATTTCTTAAGGGAACTTGTTAATGCATAGAGTAGTGTGTGACTGCCTTTGTCATCAGAGTGGGTTCATTATCCCCCCCCGCCCCCCCCGAGCGCTGATTTAATATTGGTTGAAATGTATGCTGTGACATGTGTGAAGCACAACTATATTTAATATGTATTTCCTGAATCTACAGAGTTTCAGTGATAGTTTTATTATATGCTAACACAGAGTTTTATTATACGCAAACCCAGGCACACGTTCCTGGTGAATGAATGCTAGAATTATGAACTTATTGCATTGGTTGTTTGGAAGGCTTCACTCGTTGAGTTGCAAAGCTTACTTATCGCCTTACCTTTCATTAATGTGAAGTACAGTGGTACCTTGGAAGTTGAACAGAATCCGTTCCGGAAGACCTTTTGACTTACAAAACATTTGGAAGCGAAGGCGTGGCTTCTGATTGGCTGCAGGAAGCTCCTGCAGCCAATCGGAAGCCCAGTCGGATGTTCATGTTCCAAAGAGTGTTCACAAACCGGAACACTCACTTCCGGGTTTGTGGCATTCGGGAGCCAAAACGGACAAGTACCAAGGTGTTTGGGATCCAAGGTACGACTGTACTGGTGTTACCCCTTGAGTGATTTTCAAATGGTGTTCTGGGAAATGCTGAGATTCCTCATTGATAGAAGCAGTAATGGTGGAAAAATTTCCTTGAAGGTCAATTTGCCCAACGTTGCCAGCGTTCCCCTGCAACATGTAGCTGCAGGGCAGTGGCTGAATGTGTGCTAGGGTGTACGCTTGGTTCATGTAGGGTAGTGCAAAGGCTCATTAAGCCTATATGAACTGAGTTGGCAGCCTAGAACATTCACTGGAGTCCTTTGCAATACACAGGGAGTACATTGTCAAACAAGTTGACTTGGAAACTGTTCCTTAACATTAGGAACTGTGGGGAAATACTTTTTGGGGACACTTATTCAGTGTAAAACCAGTTGTTGAGGTTCTGGTAACTGATTGCATTGTTTGTATTTGTAGTTGCACAGAAACTCTGCCACCTGTTGGGGATGAATGTAATGGAATTTACTCGAGCAATACTCACGCCACGCATTAAAGTTGGCAGGGACTACGTCCAGAAAGCACAAACCAAAGAACAAGTAAGCTCCGTGATGCAAAACGTTGAATCTTATTCCACCCAAAGTAGCCACCAATTTCTGGCCAGCAAACATTCTCACCATTTCTCTTTGCCCTGGGGGGTGGTTAAATATCCTGTGTGTTATAGTAAGACTGCATATGAGGCCTCGGGTTTCACCTGGAGCCCAAAAACTGCTGACAAGTTACTGTATTTTTCGCTCTATAACACGCACCCGACCATAACACGCACGTAGTTTTTAGAGGAGGAAAATCCGTAGGCATGCCACCCGTAGGCATTCCCTCCATAACACACACAGACATTTCCCCTTACTTTTTAGGAGGAAAAAAGTGAGTGTTATGGTGCAAAAAATACAGTAGTTATGGCATTTCAAAAGTGCCTGGATCCCCATCAATGCCTCTTGGTTGAGCTTCAGCATTGGAGTTCCAAATAAGGAGACAATTACACTGAGCATCAGTATGCTGGGTGCAGTGGTTGATCAGTGAGATACAGTTTGATATGTGTGTGTCTGTAGAAAAACTAGAAAGCCACATAATGGCTGGCCTTCTGTGTCTAGGTGGTACAATGTTCAAGCTTAGATCTTAATTAGAATATGACATACTCCTTTGGGATGAAGGGTGGGATATAAACAAAATAAATATACCTAGGAAATAGCACGTACATTATCTTTCTATTAGAAATAGTAACTGTGTTAAACTTAGTCTTTCTATTTTCTTATAACTTCTTCCAAATTCTTTTTCTAATTTTCAGGCAGACTTTGCTGTAGAGGCATTGGCAAAAGCCACCTACGAACGCCTTTTCCGCTGGCTTGTTCACCGCATTAACAAAGCTCTGGATAGGACCAAGCGACAGGGAGCTTCTTTCATCGGAATCTTGGATATTGCTGGATTTGAAATCTTTGAGGTATTTAGACAAATGAAAGAAATCTCCAGTACTTACTATATCGAGAGATTTTTGTAACATATATAAAATAGCATTGCAATGGATCTGGTAGCTCCAAATTGCAATATTGAAATTTCATGGATAAGATTCTACTCTACACGTGACCACATTTTTCAGTGGCTTTTCCTGACTTTTAAGCAGTCTTGGTAAGCTCTGAATGAGATGGGGTTTCTGTGTAAGAGATTAGCATGTCTGCCTTATTTCCTTGCTATCATAGAATCATGTGCAAAACTCTCTGCACGTTTGGCCAGTTGCTTGTTAAATGGTTTGCCCTGCAAAACTTACATTGTAGTATAACCAATACAAAAGCTGTAAAACTCTAAAAAGTTAACTTTCTTGGTATTTTCCCCTAGCTGAATTCCTTTGAGCAACTTTGCATCAACTATACCAATGAGAAGCTGCAGCAGTTATTCAACCACACCATGTTTATCTTGGAGCAGGAGGAGTATCAGAGGGAGGGCATAGAGTGGAACTTTATTGACTTTGGACTGGATCTGCAACCCTGTATTGATTTAATTGAAAGACCTGTAAGTTCTCATCCGTGTCCTTTTAACAGCTCATAGCTTTCTCAACCAAGATTTCTCTTTAATGTAAATCATTCCATACACCTTACCGATCCAAGTTTGTTTTTTGTTTTTCTAGAGGGGCTTCTCCGGGATTTAAGTGTTGAATCAAGAGACATTTCTGTAAAGTGTGCCTGTAGACAAATCCAGCAAGTGCTACCCTCCTGATTTGCATTTGTGGCATTATTATTCTGCTTTTCTAATTAAAAACTGATCAGGCGACTTAAAAAGCAAATTTATAATAAACAAAACCCAGCCAGAAAAATGTGTTATGAACTGAAATTCAGAATGATGTTCTTACAGGCAATACATGCCTCACTGGATATGATTAACAAGGCGCTGGTAACTTGGAACATGCCCAAATGTACTCTAGGCTTGCTTATGTCACACATTATTTTGTGAGCTAACTGAATGGTAGGGAACCCTGACTTTCAGTGTATATGTCACTGAGCTCTGTTCCTATTTCTCGTCCTATACCTTTAATAGCTCTTACTTCGGTTCTGATAATTTTGATTACATTTCAGGTAGCTCTGTGTTGCTATGAGACATCCTGTGAGGCAAAGCATCAAGTTGGTTGAACTTGATGCTTTAGAATTCTTGATATGCTTGTATCTTGTTCCCTTCTTGTATCTGATTTCAAAATCAACTGACTTTGGGGGGGGGGAATCCACCGCCATTAGTCACGTATGTCCACTTGTATCTCCCGTTGAAATGCGAATATGGATCTTATTTTTGCATAAGCACGTGCTCTGCTTCGGCTGTGTTGCTCAGGTGCAACTGTATGGTGAAAGGAATATCAAATGAGGGGAGGTGAGAACAGAATAGATTCTGGTAATAAAACATTTATTTATCTACTTGCTAGGCCAACCCCCCTGGTGTACTTGCTCTCCTGGATGAAGAGTGCTGGTTCCCCAAAGCAACTGACAAGACATTTGTAGAAAAACTGGTCCAGGAACAAGGAACCCATTCCAAATTCCAAAAGCCTCGGCAGCTGAAGGACAAGGCAGACTTCTGCATCATTCATTATGCAGGAAGGGTAAGCATGAAATGCTATATGATTTCTTCGGCATTTATCAGTGTGTCCCATTTGTGGGACTTCTGAGAGGCTACAGGAGCCTGTGTATCTTGGTATTTGAGAATAGGTTTGGCCTCCTGAGTCTGGTCATCAGGTAGGATTGGAGAGTGAAATATGTTGCTTCCAAACTGTGGTGCCCATTTTGATTCCATGCAAGATACTTCATGTGCTGGAGTACAGTGGTACCTCGGGTTACATGCGCTTCAGGTTACAGACTCCGCTAACCCAGATTTAGTGCTTCAGGTTAAGAACTTTGCTTCAGGGTGGGATAATTTTAATAAATAAGAATATTTTTTTTAAAAAAATGATAATAACCCTACAATTGGTTGGGGGGGGGGGAGGCATTTTCTCAATAGTAGCCTACCGCCATGTAAACACTGGGAAGTCGTGATCTCTAAAATGAGTTTGAAAGACTTATGTGTCACTTGCAGCAGAGGGAGAATCTGGAAAGTATCATATTAAGTGAATCCACTGTACACATAAAAACCCTGTTCAGACAACCCACCTCATGCATTCAATGTGATGGTGGAGTTGTGCCTGCTAGCCATACACCCTTGACAGTGTGGTACATTCAGTGTTAGTCCGAAAAGGGAGTTCAGTAAGTGTGTGCAGAGGTTCTTCACAATTTCAGCACTGCTTAAATGTCAATCACATATGAGGAGATGCAACTCATCCTCCCTTAAAAACAAAAAATAGGTTGGGAAGGTTGGCAGTATTTGCTCTTTATCCCACTTGCTTAATTCCAGGTGGACTACAAGGCAGATGAGTGGCTTATGAAGAATATGGACCCTCTGAATGACAATGTGGCTACGCTTCTACACCAGTCTTCAGACAAATTTGTGGCAGAGCTTTGGAAGGATGGTAAGAATCTGCTCCTAATCTATATAAGATGAGCTGGTAAATCCTGGTGGGTGAGTTGGGGCCTTCTCTGCAAAGCTAACACATGAATCCTTCATGGATTAGTTCAATTCCTCTGAGATTCCTGCCAGCAGCAGCAACAGGAGGGTTTGAAGTGCCGCTGCAGTATCAATTAATTTACTTGCACATGTGTCATTATGGGGTGATTGCACTTACATACATCAAGCTACTTGGCTGCAAGTGTGTTTTGAGTAGACTCTTTTCGTAGTCATTTAGGATAGTTTGAAAGTCTGTGTTGTGACTAAACGACTCTCAACCTTTCATGACAGCTAAAAGTACTGAAGCTGCTGTTTTAGTTATCAGCAATGGGTACACTGGTAAAACAGGACAGTAAACTAAGAATTTTGAATAATCAAAGTTTAAATAGCTCTTAAAGGTTGTATCATAATAGTACATTAAGTCTTTTTCTTGCATTGTTAATTTTCTGTGTGCCTGGTATGGCAGAACATAAGCTTGCTTAACCAAAAACACTTCTTAAAACTTGGTTGCGTTGCTTGGAGTGCTTCCAAGATGGTGTTATAATTTAGTATCCTTTTAATGCCTGCTTAACTCTTAGCTTCACATTAACTTAATTTAGGAAGAGATCTGATGGATTACACCAAAAGACACTCTTAATCCTGGATCCCTGTGTTCCATAGTGACCAAACAGATGCCTATGGGAAAGCACAAACCAGACATAAGGGCAAAAGCTAATGCTCGCCAGTAACTGTGCCATCTACCTTTGAAGACCCACAGAGGTTTGGACTTCCCAACTCTATTGACTGTTATCAGACTCCCAAAGTCGGCTTTCTGCAATGATAGATTGTTCAACCAATCTAGCAAGTTTGGAGATACTGCATATCACCCAATTGGTGGGAATTCTGTACCTGTTCCTTGGAAAGAAAAAAAAGAATGCTCCATCTAAAAGCAGAGCATTGTTTTCCTTCCAAAAGAGCTTGCAAAGCCCCTTGAGCAGCACTTCCCAGGCATCTGACAACCAGCTGATTCCTAGGTGCTTAGAAAGTGCTGTAGGAGGGGCATTTTCTACAGATACATAAAATATATCAAGGCAGCTGACAGCATAAAATACAATAAAATCTAGAAACATCTATAAAACATAATTTAAAACATCAGTAGATACTGGTTGGTTTAAAAAAGAAATGCATGTTGGGAAGGCCTGTCCAGAAAATACAGCTTTCAAGGGGCTTCTCAAAGAAGGGGAGGGCTGGTCCCTGCCAAACCCCTACAGGCCTGTAATGAAGGCCTACCAAACCGCAGACCTGTGAGGAACCACCAGGATCTCGGGGAGTGAGGTGGTGTATAAGGGACCAGATGGTCACTGAGGTACTTCGGGCCCAAGTTGATTTTGGCTTTGTGAGCTAACACAAGAACCTTGAACCTAGCCTGCTAGCAAAATTAGCCACAAATCAAGATGGTCAGCTTTCCTTATGTTGGGGACATGCTTAAGGCCCCTGGTAAATTTGGTTGCCATTGTTCTGCATCATTTTCAGGTCCACAAACAGCTTTTTAAAGATATAGCTACCAGCTGCACTATACAAGTGTGGCCCATCATAGATTTATACAAAGGTGCAATATTAGCAGTTTTATTTCCTCGCTAAGGTCAACTTTAGTGAAGCAAAGTAAACATGCTGAAGACAGAAGAAATGCTTTTGAGGTTTTATGGAGCCAGGTTTCAAGAATGTGTAATGACTATGATAAACGGCCATCTGGGAATATTGTAAATGCCTTGGAGCAGGGACCGTGCGTGGATTGTGAGAAGGGGGCATTTCCACGTCTGTCATAAGTTAAGTTGTAAACTTAGTAGAAGGTGTGCCTGTGGGCACTCTCTCAGTGCTTTTTTTCTGGGGGGACGCAGGGGTACACATACCCCTAAACATTTTGTGAATCTAAGTTTAGCCTCATTGAGGGACAGTATTTCAATATGAGTAGGAAAATGAGAGTACCCCTAAACATTTTTTAAGGAAAAAAGCACTGGTTTCTCTATTAAAGAGGTTGCAAACCAGCCCCAAAGTATGCATGAACACAATTGTTCCATTTCAGAACATTATTTCAGTAAACAGTTCCTTGTTGTGAAAGATGGAATCACTGTTCCCTTGTAAATCTATAGTCTTGACACCTGCCTTTATGTTCACTGTTTGGGCCCTGAAATCAATACACACTGCTGAAGATCCATCATTACACCATAGCGACCTGTTATGCACTTTGTTAAAGCTTGCTTGCAATTCAAAATTGTCTTCTCTTTACTAACTAGACTGTCTTGTGTATCTGCTCTTTGTTCTTGCTGTTTCTGTGCCATAGAGATTCACAATTTTCAGAGAGCTTCTTTCTATGACAATGTTACTGGTCTTCCTGATACACCAGGTGAATGAATGAAAAACAAAAATAATAACATAGGCCTCCTAAAAGCAGGACTTGAATCTGTAGGAAAAACATTTTTTTGCTTGTTAGGCAAGCATGAACTTTCATTTCATCCTAACCTTAGCGTTACCTCCACAAGGCAAATGTTCTTGGGCACATACCTATTTAGTTGCTGCTGCATACATAGTCTCATTTTTTGTACTGCACCTCTAGAAGCTTTGCAAGTGAGTAGCTGCATTTTGAAACACAGGCTTGCTTCTCCAACATACCCTGATGATTTTGGGTATTTGAAATTAGGAGTCTCGGTACTCTGGTTCGGTATGATTTGTACTTGTTAATGTCTGTATACAGTTTTTTTTTAATTGCAGTCAAAGCAAGTTTTCTTTATACAACTTGCTGCGCTGGCATTAAATGGCATGTTGAATGTTTATTATTTCAGAAGCTGCTCAAAATTAGTATTGTTGCTATTAAATGCCTATATTTTGAATGATAGCTTATGAGGGAAGTCCGTCAGTACTTGGGCCAGTACAAATTCTGCCAGGGGTATATGCTGCCCATTAATCTGCAGGAGCACTTCTAAACTTGAAGCAAATCTCAGTTAGGCTGCGCTCCTAAGCAGAGTTACAAGGAACTAAGCCCAGTTGATCGCAGTGGAATTTACTTCTGAGTAAACCTATAAGATTACCCCATTAGCAAAACTCTGTGTATTTTGGTAGACTTTAAAGCTGCTCTTTAGTCTTTGTTTTTCACTAAAAGTATTTTACGGAGCCTGCTTTGGCATTTTATTAGATTTTTACTGCCACCATTACGTGTCTGATCGTGCTTTTGTTGTAAGCTAAAATACATAAGCAGGGAATTTATGTATCTCCATGGGTGTATCTAAGTTAATCATATTGATGTAGTTTCAAAATGAAGCATGTTGCTTTTTCCTGAGTGGATCTGCTCTCATGCGCTGCTTCCTTGATCGCTAGAGGGGACTGATTTCTACTCCTGATAGAAAAAAAATGTATTTTGTGAAATACATGATTGTGCAAATACTTAAGAATATGGCCCATATTCACTTAAACTTGGGGGTTTGGTTACAGTTTGGCTCTTCCTTCATTGGAGGATGCAGCATGCATTACTCTCTCATTAGTAAATACTGTGACGTAATTTTATGCATACTTAATTGAAGTAGACATGGCAGTGGTTTTAGCTGCAGGATAGATTCTTGAACTTCATAAGTACTACGACGTGCCACTTGGTATAAGCAGCATGGCCAAGTTGTCTAAATTTTATTTGTCTAGGGACACAGGGGAAAGGACTCCCTGAACCTAGTATGAATTTCAACATTTTAGGCTGAGGTGCTTTTGGTCTAACTGGGAAGTAGATGTTAGATTTCTGGTGCAATGACTAGGTTAATTAGCAAGATCTTAGGTTGAAGATTTTAATGTGTTGTTTCCTATGAATACCCAGTACTTGTGGCTGTCCTGAGATTTGTTTATTTGCATTTCTCTTTTGATAACTGACCAAAAAACAATATCTCCTCCCCCTGTCCTCCTGCTCCAAATGTGTGCTTGGTTCCTCATGCCTTTAGAGTTTGGTTTATTTATATAACCCATAGAGGAAAACAATATAAATAATCCTTTCCCTTCTGTTCCTCAAAAAAAGTAAAGAGCTTTACAGAAGCTTTATCATTGTCACATACACAGTGGATATCTCAGGTGTACTGATATATTTGCTATGCCATACCCACAGAATGGCACTTCATACGATGTGGTAAAGGGAATGTCAGTGGTGAAACAAAGTGGCCTAATTATTTCTCCCCCCCCCCCCCATTTTCTATGGGAATATTATTCCATGTTTTCTTCAAGTTAAGCAGAAGTTGTTGGCAGGCTGATCATGGTTTGTTCCTAGCAAAGTTTGATACATGTCGTCATTTGCATTTTTTGGCTCTATTGTAAACCTTCCCACATATTCACTCACATTATTTGCGGCTTCTTGGTCTAAAATTCCTTTTACGTATGAAAAGGGAATGGCTTTTGGTGCATAAAGCCGTGACTTGTGCTTTGTAGTGCATCATGGCAAAAGCTACAATGTTCTGCCTGGTGTGTTGCTTTCAATCCTGCTGCTTCCATATGTATGTAGATTGCTTTGCCATAGTAGGCAGCACCTTCCACCGTTTGTCGCGCAGAGCATTTGTCGAACATTTTATCTCTCGTGCGCTGCCCTGTTTCCCGAATCCGCTTAATTCGGTGTTCTTGTTGCCTGCAGTGGACCGCATTGTGGGTCTGGATCAAGTCACTGGGATAACAGAGACCGCGTTTGGCTCGACTTACAAGACCAAGAAGGGCATGTTCCGTACTGTGGGGCAGCTATACAAGGAGTCCCTCACCAAACTGATGGCCACGCTGCGAAATACTAACCCAAATTTTGTCCGCTGCATCATTCCAAACCATGAAAAGAGGGTATGTGTTCATTTCAAACGTTAAAAGATGCTTCTGATTTTCCCTTCCCAGTCGCTAATACTTGTTAGGAGTGACCTACTCTCAAGTAGGACCCTGGTAGAGACACATCCCCAACTGGCATGTTCTTTCCCTCCTGGCCGATTGTTCGGGAGCTTCAAAAGCTTTCTCCAACCCGAACATCACAGCAACTAATGCCAAAAGGCATTAGCACACTTAGGGATCCGCAGAGTATTCGCAGTTTGTGTAACAGAACTCAGTAGCTCAGCATTTTGGCTAATCTACGTTTATTTACATATAATACACTCGGAGCATTCTGACTTAGCTCCATCCTCTTTCTCATCAGACAGCAGAGAGAGAGAACAAAGGACAATAGTCCCACTTCACGGAACACAGTAACACAAAACATCTTGTCTCCATCACTTCCCACACTGTGGAATGAAAACATACACCGTCATGTCATAGACAACAATCCCACGACTGCAGACACAGGGAATGAATCTCCAACAATACTATTGACATTTGATGTATTTGCTGACATGATAGGGTTTGGATTTCATGTTTTGCACAAGTATTCAGAACCCCACTTCATCCTTGTGAGTGGTTAGTTTCTTTAACTAGGTAAGGCTAAAAGCCAGAAGGATGATTACAAGGAGCTGCTAGTACTGTCCCGTAACAGAGCTTTTCCTCTGCCTTTAGGCTGGAAAGCTGGATCCGCACCTCGTTCTAGATCAGCTTCGCTGCAATGGTGTCTTGGAAGGAATAAGGATTTGTCGGCAAGGATTTCCAAACAGGATAGTGTTCCAAGAATTTAGACAGAGGTACTATAATAACTAGATTTGGCTTTTACTCCAGAATGCATGTTTAGAGCTACATCATTTCAGGTGGTTAAACCCAGTCTTCCCCCTCAACATAACCTTCTGTCATTAGTCAAGCATAGCATGGGGATTAAATGAAAATTGGTGCCTGTACATTTTGATCAGAGCTTAACTAGTTGTTTTCTTATTGATTGGTAGATATGAGATCCTGACTCCTAATGCAATTCCTAAGGGATTTATGGATGGGAAGCAGGCTTGTGAACGCATGGTAAGTCATTCAGTAGCAATCTAACATTGCTAAAAACCATTACCTTCTTTGCCTTATAAATTTTGAAACAAATGGGTTTTGGGTATTTGCGCAGATCAGAGCATTAGAGCTGGACCCCAACTTGTATAGAATTGGACAGAGCAAGATTTTTTTCCGAGCTGGTGTTCTGGCACACCTAGAGGAAGAAAGGGATCTGAAGATCACAGACATCATCATCTTCTTCCAGGCAGTCTGCAGGGGATACCTTGCCAGGAAGTAAGTGTTTATAGTAATCTTGGCAGACGCTTATATTTGAAGTGCAGATTTTGTGGAAATGTTCAGTTAGCTTAATCAAAAGCACTGAATTTGCAGACAGATGCATGGTTATTTCACTGCTAAAAAGCTTGAGAAGCAGTCTGATGGAATAAATTTATTGCCAGGATTAAAAAAAAACAAAAAACATGAGTATTGCCCCCTTGCACTTGAATATGGCTTTGGAAATGCTTTGATGTAGCTGTTAAAATGCAAACATTCCCAACTGAAATGGAAAACCTTGGTTTGTGTTCAGGGCTTTTGCTAAGAAACAACAGCAGCTGAGTGCATTGAAAGTCCTGCAGAGAAATTGTGCTGCCTATTTGAAGCTGCGGCATTGGCAGTGGTGGAGAGTGTTCACAAAGGTAGGTTGTCCACAAAGGGCGGTGGTGGTGGTGGTGGTGATGGTTAGGAATTTTCAGCAGCACAAAAGTGGAATGCCTCTTGTGTCATACTTTGCAGGTGAAGCCCCTGCTTCAAGTTACTCGTCAGGAGGAAGAACTTCAGGCTAAGGATGAGGAGCTTCTGAAGGTGAAGGAGAAACAGACAAAGGTAGAAGCAGAACTCGAGGAGATGGAAAGGAAACATCAACAGGTTTGTATACACAATCTGACCTATTCACAAAGTCGAACCTTATTCTAATAGCATGTATGACTTTATTATCTACCTAGGCAAAACTAACATCTTAACTTTCTGTGGTTAGATACATCTAGCTAGTTTGTGTAGGAATAGAAAGCATATTGTGTGATCAAATAAACACGCAAGGAGTTATAGCGAATACATTTTAATGACTGGCCTGGAGAAGGGGTATGAAGCTGCACAGTGGATCGCTTTTGAAATTGAACTCAATCTTTTCTGGATATATACATATAATCAGAGGCAGATTTAGGGCAGTGTAACTGGTTCCTCCACACTGGGCATGGAGCTGCAAGGGGCGTCGCAACTGTGACATAGCACATGTGCGGAACAGAAGGTGAGAGGCAGGGGACACTGAATTTTGGCCTTGCACAGGGAGCCACTGAAATTTGAAAGACCAAAGTATACCCCTGTATGCATACACACCCTCCCTGTATAGTTTCTCTCTATGTATATGGCTACTGATGGCAAAAATAGCTGGAGGCTGGTATAGTGAACAGGAGCCTGGGCTAGATAAAGAATATATTTCCCCCCTCTTGTTAGTTTATTCCTTCTTGGTTCCATCCTTGAGAACATCTGGAGGAATAGACACAAGATTACAGCAAATAGCATCACTCAGAAGTCTTTCCTTCTGGTAACTGGTTGTCTGTGCATGCTTGTTCTTTCAGTAACTTTTAGGACTGGGTGAGCTATGCAAGATGCTCCCATAACTATATAATAGTTGTTTTTGACAATATATTGAAGGAGGATTGGCAATACTTTCTTACTGAATTTGCAGCTGTTGGAAGAGAAAAACATTCTTGCAGAGCAATTGCAAGCAGAGACAGAACTCTTTGCTGAAGCCGAAGAGATGAGAGCCCGTCTGGCTTCAAAGAAGCAAGAGTTAGAAGAAATTCTGCATGATTTAGAATCCAGGGTGGAAGAGGAAGAAGAAAGGAACCAAGTGCTACAGAATGAAAAGAAGAAAATGCAGGCGCACATACAGGTATCCCTTGATGTGCTGATGGTAGGATGATTGGAAAATGTCAAAATTTTGGTACATTGACTTATCTTTGGTGAGACCACGTGAAAACTGTGGGCAAGTTATAATATAGCTGAGTTGAGCTTTCTGTTTTTTAAGGACTTAGAGGAGCAGCTCGATGAGGAAGAAGGTGCTCGGCAGAAGTTGCAGCTGGAGAAGGTAACAGCTGAAGCCAAAATAAAAAAGATGGAAGAAGAGATCTTACTGTTAGAGGACCAAAATTCCAAATTTCTTAAGGTGAGAGCAAATTGTGACACACTCCTTTAGAACTAGTGAATGTGGAAACAATAGTGCAATGCGTGAAAAGTGACTGCTGTGGGAGCCGTCTTGTGGCTCCTCAATCTTGTAATCCAGAGAGTGATTGGCATCTGTTTGTTGCTTGGATTTAGGACCCTCCCTGCCCCCCCTCCATAGAGCAAACTCTTGTCATGTGTTGTGCCGCTATCATGCAGTGATGTCATAAGTCATTCAAAAAGGGTGGGCTTTGCTGTTCATTCTATGAAAGATAGCTTTGATTTAATGGTCATCTTCTAGAGTAGCATTCTTCAGCCTTTCCAAGCCCAGGTCCCACCTTTAATCCCAACCTGCATTTGGAGACCTGTTTCTGTTTGTATGGCGGTAGTGCTATTCATCGTGACCTGAACATGCACAAGGGTAGTTAGTCACTGGTTTCTACACTTCCTATTTCGGATGCCTCCTAGATTTCATTCTCCCATCTCAAAATCACCATGAGCATTTTGGTCAGGGGGATGACAGCACATCTCTTCAAGTACTAAATAGCCCCTGACCCAGTATCTTCACCCACAATGGTTCTGTGGAGAAGTCTGCCCCTTTTGAGAATTGTAGCTTGTTGAACTTTATGATGTCCAGAGCAACCCCACCTCCAGTACTCCCTTCCTTGTCCTTGGAGTTTGCGTCCACTGCCCCCCCACTGGTGCTCTCTCAGTCCACCATTCCAGCTGGCCCATCCTGGCTCAGAAACTCAGTGTAAACCCCTATACACAGCATCCTTCTCCAAATACATTTGACACATGTGTTTACCCCAGGGAGCTCTCACCTCTCTGCACGCTTGTCAGTTCTACTTCTCCCCTATTTGAACCATTAAAAACATTTACCCCTCATCCCTGGGGAATGATATGTCCTGAACCAGATGATTTCTGTCGTGCCCTCTACTAAATATATCTGGATGAGCCCCGTGTTTTAATTACGTGGAAGTAATTAAGTAACAAGGCTTCTTTTCAGCTTGCCCTGCACGTTTTGCTTTAAAATCTTAGGAGGATCAGTAAAATACGGAGGGGCAATTGAATTGTCCTGTCCTGTCGCATCGTTCATGCAGCCTCAAGTTGTATCTGCAGAACCCATGTCTATTGCTCTGAGCCCATATATGTACTACCTAACGGTTGCTTTCTTTTTCTCAATTAGGAAAAGAAATTAATGGAGGATAGAATTGCAGAGTGTACTTCACAGCTGGCTGAAGAAGAAGAAAAGGCCAAAAACTTAGCTAAACTCAAGAACAAGCAGGAAATGATGATCACAGATCTTGAAGGTTAGCAATTTCAAGATTTGCCATATGAAGGGACTCTCAGTAAAAGTCGAAAGTATGCTAACACTGAACGAAAAACAAGCTTATCACTGCCTTTACGTGTATCATTTTCTGGGACCAGAGGTACAATAATAGTCTTCCACAGTGTCAGTTTGGCAGCTATTAGGATTGGGCATTTGGTCAGAAAATATTTGTTTGATCAAGTATTTTTAAAGCACTGTTGGAGCAATGATATTTTAATCAACTGGCTTGTTACTAAATAAAATCAGTGAATTTACAAGTTGACCTATGGTCTGTCTGCTCCCATGTACATGTTTACAACCACCACCACCACCACCCCCCAAATACAATAAAACTCAGTATAAAATAAACAAATCAACAAAATCCCACACAAACCATGAAACAGCCTTCGGAAACCAGCTTCAATACATTTTGGAATGCCTAGGGAGAAAAAAAGGTCTTCACCTGGGATTTAAAAGAAACAGGTCTGGTGCCAGGCAGGTTTCCCTGGGGAGGGTATTTAATATACAAAGGGCCCCAACCAAGAAAACAGGCAAATGTCAAACAGGGAAGGCAAACTTCATATGGCAGAGGGACTCTCAGGAGGGCTTCTTTCTAAATAAATAAATAAATAAATAAATAAATATAGTGAAGAGAACAAGAATTACAAACTGAATGTTCCCCCCTCCTTTTCCAGAACTCAAAGGCATAGTTCAGATAAAAACCATAGTTCATGCAAGCACTGAAGTGGAAAGAGGCTGAAAAGTTGCTAATATCAATATGAAAGAGAACGCTAATACATACATAAATTGTGGAATGCAGCAGGTGCAGTTTGTCCTGTAGAGTTTTTGTTCGTGTGCTGAATGAATGGCCACCAGTTTGCTATGAAAGTCTCCCTGCTCCCCCCTCCCCACTACCCGTATGTAGTTTCTGGGTCAGTTTTTCAGAAAATGCTATGTCACAAATTATGTCATACCATTTTTGTTCCTTTAAGGGGGAAGGGCTTCTGATGACAAACACATTTTCATCTGCTTTACATTTTTTTAAGTATTTTTTTTTAAAGCAACTGTTGAACACAAGTCGGTTTTTAAAGACAAGTGTGCTAAATTGAAAGCAGGCTAGTTCTTTGGTTACCTGTTTCCCCTGCTTTTTTCTTCTATCTGCCTCAGTATGTCAACAGTATGCTCCTGACTACTGCAGGGTGAAGGGGCAAGCAGTCTTCATTCTCTGTTACTGCTGATACATAACTAAATAGAAAAGCTAAGCTGTGACCTATCCACTGTCATATTCCCCTTCATGAAATATTTGGCAGTATTTGGTCAAATAGGAGGTCAGTGGACAACATTTGACCGGTCAGTGGGCCAACATGCTAATCCCAGCTTAACAAATAAGTTAATGAATTAATCAGGGTAAATACAGATTTTCAAATATTTGGACTTGCATCTCTTGGTATCTTGAGTATTTCATTATTACGAATGTCAGCACGAAGAAAACTATTTAGGTTAGCAGTTTGCTTTCAGCATTGCAAATGCAAAAGCATGTGTTCAAATGTTCCTTTGTGTTTTCTTAATAGCCATTTTGGCCGTTGGGCACATTGTCTTAATCTGACTTTTGTCTATGTTAAGTGGATTTTCAAAAAAAAAAGAAAGAAAGCAGCATGTCCTTCATTACTGGAAAATATTGAATCTTATTCATAGGAATTGGGTATTGCTGTGTTGGCCCTATGGAATGACAAAAGAGGAGAATGTCTTTGTTTTGTACCAACTTCTGCATTCCTAGATTGTTATGTTAGTGCAAATATCTAGGCACCTGGCATCACCAAAGCAAATTTCACTCCTATGTACAGTATACTGTTACTTATAGAACTTCCTTCTTTCTCCTACTGGGAGACCAGAGCCATGCCAACAAGAACAGGATCCCTTCTCTCACTGGGGCATTCCAGTTTTCATACCCCTCCCCCCTTCCTTACTCCGAGTTGCCTTCCAGATCTCACTGACCTCTCTCTCTCTCTCTCTCTTTCTCTCTCTCTGCAATTTTTTAAACATCACTATTTATGCTGCACATTAGAATACTTTCTGGAAGTTCTTAGCATTTATTTTTGCTATCTCAACTTGCTTCAAAATTGAGTTATTTTTCTTTATCCCAATGTTCTGTTTATAAAAATTCCCCCTTCTGCTTTTGGCATTTGCTGATGGATTATGTTTTGAGAAGAAATACCATGAAATATTTGCAGTGTTACACTTGCAATATCAACAGTATGTGTAACCCCCTTCTTGGATTTAGATGTGCAGTAATTTTTGGCTGTAAAACGCATACATCATAGAATTCTGACTTTCCATACACATTTACTTATTTTTGTGTCCTAATTTGGGAATAGTTTCTGCCTACAGTGCTGTGGCCACCTGACTTGATTCTGAAAGTATTACAGTTCTGACATTTAGCTAGATAGGCTGAAATTGAGTAATAAGGATTGCAACTGACATCCGCCATATTTTTGAAGTTCATCTTGCAATTTCTTAAGCTAGTCATAGCCTTTCCTTACACTTAGTAACCTGATACTGGAAGAAAGTATAAAGGTGTCACCATATACCACTTCATTGGCAGTCCAAAATGGAAGAAAATGTCTTTTTACAGATTCCCAAAGTGTCTTCCTTATTGTTTTTCTCCTCTGAGGCAACAGAAATCCTATAGTTAGCCTCCCAAGATCCTGGCTTAACTTAAGAGATGGATCTCTCCCAGTTCCTATTTCTTCCCTCTGCTTGGGAAGTAGACTTTCCATGAAATCTTTAGTTGAGGACCAGAAGCTTATCTTAATGAACTGAAGGTTTTGTTTTGCCTCTACCAGCAACAGTCAACAGGCAGGAGTTTTTAGTCATCTTTTTGAGACTGAGTGAGGAGATTCTATCCCCAACACAATCTCACCCAACAGGAAATTGGCACATTTCCCACCTCAGCCTCTTCTGTGACCATCAGCCATTGACTACATATTTCAGACAAGCTCCTCGGGAGAGTTACCGTATTTTTCGTCCCATAGGACGCTCTGTCCCATAGGACGCACCTAGTTTTTTTGGGGGGGAAATAAAGGAAATTTTTTCCCCTGTATTTCCCCCCCAAAACCAGGTCGGGGAAACCAAACCAGGTCGGGGAACAGCGGTATGGTGGCGCTCCGCCTCCCCGCTGTCCCCCGAGCTTGTGGGGCTGGCTCTGGGGAGAAGCGCGCTTCTCCCCAGCGCCAGCCTCCAAACCAGGTCGAGGAACAGCAGGATGGCGGCGATGCGCCTCCCCGCTGTCCCCTGAGCTTGTGGGGCCGGCCGATGTCTGCCCGAAGTGCGGGGCGCTCTGCTTCAGCGCGCCCCGCGCTCTGTGCAGCAGGCTGCTATCCGCAGCCTAGGGAGCCCTGCGGATGTCTGCCCGGCGTGAGGGGCGTTCTGCTTCAGGGCGTGCCGGGTGGCAGGCTGCTATCTGCAGCGTGGGGAGCCCTGCGGGAACTCCCGCAGGGCTCCCCAGGCTGTGGATGTCTGCCCAGTGCGAGGGGCGCTCTGCTTCAGGGCATGCCGGGCGGCAGGCTGCTATCCGCAGCCTAGGGAGCCCTGCGGGAACTCCCACGGGCTCCCCCGGCTTGCTGATAGCTTCCTGAAGCCTGGAGAGCAAGAGGGGTCGGTGTGCACCGACCCCTCTCGCTCTCCAAGCTTCAGTGAAAGCCTGTATTCGCCGCCCCATAGGACGCACACAGATTTCCCCTCCATTTTTGGAGGGGAAAAAGTGCGTCCTATAGGGTGAAAAATACGGTACTTTTCAGTAGTGCTTTAAATAACCAACAGAGGTACTAAAGAGGTTCCAAATACTTTTCAGTTTTCTATAGGATTTCTACAACCAATAATTGTAGAGTACTTCTGGATACTCCAAAGATTCTTCAGTGGCTTTTAGCCAGATTTCTACAGTCAACTTCTTACTAGCAAATAGTTCCTTTTATTTGATACAGATGGAAACTTGTCGGTTGTGCTTTCCAGAAGCTAGAGCTAGCTGCCTGCAAGAGTCTCTTTTATAGTCTCCAGAGAGCAAAGGAAAGCACAGAGAACCCTTTTATGCACAAGCTATGCAATCATGTTTCAGAGTAGAAACTTTTTATAAACTAAATATTCCTTAATGAAATGCATAATGCATCAGACCCAAAATGCATCAGGTTGTCATTTAAGATCCTTCTATTCCCTGCGAAGTTATTGCCTCAGCTAAGTGCTCTTTTTCTTGTCTGCACAAATGCAGGTGCACACACAGGCATAACTACCTTAGAAGTTACTGTGGAATAAATTGATGTTTTTCAGGAGCTTTTGGACAAGAGGGTTCTAATCATGGTCTCCCAGGGCTAGTCAAGTTCTGTTCCTTAGCTGGTGAACCTCTGCTCTTGTCAGAGAACAATCAGGCTTCCTTACTAAACACCTTGATTTGTACTGTCATCAAGTTGTGATTTTGGTAATAGTTTGAGGACTTTGTGGGGAGAAGTTCCTTTCCTTAAGAAGTCTGCCTCCCAGGTTCTAGAGATAGGTAGCCCAGGATATCTTGGTCCTTGGCACGGAAAAGTCAAATGGCAGTCCCATCACTGTGATAAAAACATCAATAGTCATTATTACATAAGTGACATACAGAGTTGTTCTAGTCCCAGTTTTGTTGCCTTGGAAGATAGCAGAAATTAATCAGATAAGAAATGAAACATCACTGTTACTCTCTAGGGTTCATTTATGTTCTTAACAACACTGATTTTAAACCCAGACTGCATCGTTCTTCATGTTGGAAGTGTTCAAACAGAATGCTATTTGAAACATGATAATTTCCAGGAGCTCTGTCCTATGGTAGTGATCTGTAAGTTAGATGCTCTAAATGTGTACACTGAATTCTGGCATTTTCACTTGGGATTGATGCAACTCTATGCCCCTAAATCTTGAATTAGCCATTTGGTTGCCTTCATTTTTAGCAAGTTCAGCCTTGGCATGCTCTCACAAGATAGTGTTTAGGAGACAAAAATTCCCCACTTACCATGATTGTTTCTCCTAAAGAGCGCTTGAAAAAAGAAGAAAAGACTCGTCAAGAACTGGAAAAAGCTAAAAGGAAACTTGATGGAGAAACAACTGATCTACAGGACCAAATTGCAGAGCTGCAAGCCCAGATCGAGGAGCTAAAAATCCAGCTTGCCAAGAAAGAAGAGGAGCTGCAGGCTGCTCTTGCCAGGTAGAATATGCAAAGATAGTGCCAGGTTATTTGGTATTGTAGGGTGCTATTAAGCTATTACTGCATATTTCTGCTTTGTTGGCGCTGGGGTGCCGTGTAAATTGCACACTCCACAGCCCATCCCAGTATCACATGTGTTTTTTTCTGAGTATCACCAATTTCCTTTCATGACAGGGAAAAAATAAAATAAAAATCAGGAGCAGCAGTGGGCCTGTGCAGATGTCAAGGAGTGTGTGTTGTCAGGTGGTGTCATGGCATCTGCAAGGACTCAAAATCTAGTCACTGTTGCTATCAACGCCATTTGATTTCCACCTCTTATTAGATCTCCCATCTGCGACTAGATAGACAGAATCCAGTACACTGCCAAATGGTTCTTCACTGATAAGTTTTCTTGTGGAAGTCTAGAACTCCTACTTGCACTCCCAACGTTATTTTTAAATTTATACCCCGCCCATCTGGCTGGGTTTTCCCCAGCCACTCTGGACAGTTTGTATAAAATACAATAATCTATAATACAATAATCTATTTGAATAGGCTTTTTGCAAAGCCTGGACCCCAAGCTTCATTCTTATTCTATAAATTGTGTTGTGTTTCCAGAGGGGATGAGGAAGCTGTGCAGAAGAACAATGCGCTGAAATTAATACGAGAACTTCAAGCTCAAATTGCAGAACTGCAGGAGGACCTTGAATCAGAAAAGGCTTCACGAAACAAGGCTGAAAAGCAGAAGAGAGATCTAAGTGAGGAGCTGGAGGCACTGAAGACTGAGCTGGAAGATACCTTGGATACCACAGCAGCTCAACAAGAGCTCAGGTTAGTAGAAGACTAGATACATAACAAGGAATGTGTTCATAATGCTTTGATTCCTCATAAAGAACAAGCCCTATTCTGGTTAATCTGAATTCCTGGCTACAACTCTCTGGGAGATGTAATGATTTTGTTGAATCAAAGCAACAGTAATGACTTACATCTGTGTAAAAACTCTCACACAGGAAGAGTTTCCAAAAGTAACGCAGCACTCCTTATATTGTAATAAACTTAGGACTGCCTCATGTCTTCTGACACAGATTAATCTCCAGTTTGGTGTTTTTTGTAACATTTAAGTGGTGGTGGCTCTCCCTTGCCACAGAAATCTGCCTTTGGGGAATAACAACTAAAACTAAAACTTGGTTATTCTACCCAAACTGGATTCTTCTTACCGCTACTTCTGGGCAATGCTGGTAGATTGCTTGTTTCTGAAAACTATCTTAAATTTGCATAGAGGCAAAAATCGTTGGAAAATAAACACTGTGGTAGAAAGCTGCTCAGACCTTCAGATCTTGACTTGCTGGGTATTCCTTAGGACAAAGCGTGAGCAGGAAGTTGCTGAACTGAAGAAAGCTCTTGAGGAAGAAACAAAGAATCACGAAGCCCAAATTCAGGATATTAGGCAGAGGCATGCAACAGCCTTGGAAGAGCTCTCGGAACAGCTTGAACAGGCCAAACGAGTGAGTGGAAGATGCACGGGAGACTGCCTCAGAGCCCTTTGTATATACTCTGTTGGGTTCAGTTGAAGGAGGGCAAGATATTCATATATTAAATAATACATTCAAACAGATGTTAATACTCTTCTTTCATAATATAATCTCACAGTGGATATGGCTGCCATTTGTCTACTTAAGTCAGTTGATCTTGCATTTTTTTAACCAACCTATCAGCAGTTTTGAACAGAACAGCAGATAAACGTCCAATAGATTAAGGATGAAAATGCAGTAGTCTTTGCTACCTATCTCAGAAATGCAAGCTCATTTGACTTTGCTCATATGGGTGTTGCTCACAGATATGCACCTAAAAAATATAAAGTGTTAAGATTTGAGTCGTCTTGCGTCCCCTGTAGAATTGTGATCTACAGTGGCAGCTCCTGCTCCACCCTAGGTATATATTTCTGGCAAATGAGGCCTCACTTTTATGATTTAATTGCTCACATAACCATTGTTGCAACCACTGTTATAACTGTAACCGGTAGCATACGTGTCCGTGTCAAATTCATGCATTTGTAGACACTTCCGCAGTAAAGTGTTAAAGTTGTGTTGCAATGCAATATCTAAAGCTGTTCGGTTTCAAAAACAAATTCATATTGAACTTGAAGCAGCTAAGAATTCAAATCAGATGGCCAAACTTGCGGTTCCTCAAATGAAGAAGCCAGTGAATTTTAGTCTGAATCTAGAAAAAATATTTTTGCTGCAGGTGAAGCCTAGCTTTCATATTGCAGGTGAAGTGTAATTACCTTTCTTTTGCTTCTAGTTCAAATCAAATCTTGAAAAGAACAAGCAGTGCTTGGAAACAGATAACAAGGAGCTGGCCTGCGAGGTGAAGGTGTTGCAGCAGGTTAGATCTGAATCGGAGCACAAGAGGAAGAAGCTGGATGGGCAGGTACAGGAATTGCTGGCCAAGGTTGCAGAAGGAGAGAGGCTGAGGACAGAACTTACAGAAAAATCAAGCAAACTGCAGGTAAAGATTTGGATGGGCGATTCTTTAGCTTTTTCTCACGAACTCTTGGTCAGACTACACAGTTTAGTGAACATCCTTCTAAAATGCTCCTGCTTGATACAGATGTAGTATTTTGAAAAATTGGTGTGGCATTAATGTCAGATAATAGGACGGGAGCTGCTGCTGGTAATACTTTGTGTTACACTAGTTATCCTTTGGTGAGCACATGCAAAGTTTCTGCTTTGCATTGATATGGTTCTTGAAAGTTGAAATAGTTTTAAGCTCCTGAAAAATGCAACGTTACTGTTCCTCTCGTGGCAAGGAGACTGTTTATAGAGCTCTAGTACCATTTCCCCTGTCTTGAAGTGTCCATTTTCCCCCATGCAAGTCACATCCTGCTCAGAGAAACACTTTGAAGTTTGAGAAAGTTACTTAAACCATCAGAGTGAAAATTACTCCTCATTCTGCTCACTACAGATTCAGTAGAGTTAAAACTAAAGAATCAGTTTCTTAGGGAGGCTGTTGAAACTTTTTGTGGAAGTTTTCAATAAAAGTATTCAAAAGTTCATAAGAAATGTAGGCCTTGGGTCAGGACTATGCTCCAGGGCCTTGCATCCTTTCCGGCCATTTAGTATATAACAAACATAATGAGCAGTATAAATGTCAGAGAGATGGTTCATGGGTGTAGAATACTTTGGGGAAAATCTGTACCAATCAGAAACTGCTGCAATAGGCAGAGGAGAATAGTTTTAAAATTCTCTTACAGTTTATCATAACACTTTAGGACTTATCATGAAATATATTGGAAGTGTTAAAGGACGGTATTTTATTTTATTTATTTTGCAGTCTAAGCTGCTTCAGGAAAATTCTACAGTAAAAATGTGCACAGGGTCAAACTTCTAAGTAAAGTAAATTTCGAGCCTTTCAACTGCCACTTTATTTTGAAGCTGTAAAAAAACTTCACTCATGTAATACACAACTGCCCAGTCATGCAAAGAGAACTGAAACACTGTTTTCCAGCTAATTCCAGTTTACCATACTAGATTAGATCAGGTCAGGTCAGAGAACTAGAACCCTATAGGAGTTCTGTTAGCTGTGTTTGACATAGGGCAGCAGAACCAGAAGCAAGCATGCCTAAAAGGTGGATTATACAACTGGATTACTTTAAAGTAGCTGCAAAAGAAATGTCTTGTAAATGGGTGCACTTGGGCTACTTTTGGAATCAATAGAATGCAGTTGCTGTTATCAAAGTACTTGTCAGTGTCATGGAGGAAACAAATAGCAAGATTCTCCTTAGTTCCATTGCAGTTTCTCAAATCTGCTGCATGTTCTAAAGCGAAGTCTCATGTAAATAGTCGCAGGCATAGCAATGAGACATCAGAACATAGATATTTCAAATATTGGCTTAGATGAATACTGTTATGAATATCCTATACCGAGGATGTCGCTTTGGGAAAACACATTTTCTCACAAGCAAGATGTGAGTACATTACCTCTAGATTCCTTTGCTTTGCAGAATGAGCTGGAGAGCGTCTCAAGTCTCCTGGAAGAAGCAGAGAAAAAAGGCATTAAATTTGCCAAAGATGCTGCCAGTTTGGAGTCTCAGCTACAAGATACGCAGGTATGTCTAAAATTCTAGAATGCACGTTTGTTTGAAATTCTTTTCTGCCATTCTATTCTCCCATAAGTCAGCAAAAAAACCTATATATAAGCCAAGCAAAAATTAAAATGGAAGTACAAGGGGCTGGTTGTAGTTGTGCTCTTCTGCTCATCTAAGAAATTTTGATCCAGTGGACACCTCAGCTAACTGAAGAGCAGGGGAGACCTTTTTTGCAGCTGCTCACCCTGCCAAACTTTGCTCTGACATATTGGAATCCTCTAGAACAATGTGGATAAAAGCTGCAGTGGGAATTGGTGAAAATCGCCTCCCCTCCTCTTTCATTAGTGGGGACCTCCACTAGATCAAAGGACTCCTGTTCATGGAAGGGCACAAGCCAATGCTGCCCTGAGTATAAATCAGTCATTATACATAAAATCAGAAGAAGAGAAGCAAATTAATTTCACTTATGAAGGCCCTGCAAAATAGAAAGGTGTTCACGGCAAGCTGGAATGCTAATAAGAGGGAAGCCAAGCTGGGCCTCCATGCAGCTGTTAGAACGGCGGCTGCTGTAGTGCAGATAATACAACTCCTGTGAACTTACATGCCTGTTTCTGAAAGAGTTAAGGCCCAGGCATTTCTGAGCAACAGGTGTGCAGGTGACCCAAAGTGTTTTCAGATCTAGAACATGGAGCAGCACCCTTAGATGTTCTTGGTTCATTCCTTATCTGCACAGTGGAAATAAAGGTATTCTGTCTCAAGAGTTGTGCTGAAGATGAACAAGACAAGGTTTTTAATTGCATGCTCACATTTAAAATAATGGATTCCCTTGCAAGGATTTGTTCAAACCTTTAACACAACTTTGGACATTTTATGGCACAGGATCCCTATGTCCTTTTGATGCTTACACTTGCTTCTGAGAAGCATGATGGGTAATACAGCAGTGGTAGCATCGCCCAGTTTCCACTGTAATGCATGACCAGCTCTGGCAATTCTTAAGTTCCCTTTTTTTGTTGTGCAATTAATGTCATTTTCCTAATGGCAGCAGTCTCATCCCGTTCCCTGACAATAAGATGCTGGGATATTTCCTCATTTTAACGGATGACTCTTTTTGGCTGGGACCAGTTAACTGCTTTTAGATCTGTAACGATGCATCTCATTACCAAATTGTATAACAATGAGTTAATGCTTTCAGATTGCACCAGCATAAACTTGACATCCTTACCCAGCCCCGTACCATCTCACAGCAAGGAAATATCCCCATTCCATACTGAACACCACCGCGTCAGGCTAAGTTCAGATTCTCTCAGGACAAGTGATAAACATGAGTGCGTTTTTCATTCCCACAACAGGAGCTGTTGCAAGAGGAGACTCGCCAGAAACTGAACTTGAGTAGCAGGATTCGACAGTTGGAGGAAGAGAAGAACAATCTGCAGGAGCAGCAGGAGGAAGAGGAGGAAGCCAGGAAGAATTTGGAGAAACAGGTGTTGACTCTGCAGTCTCAGGTGAGAAGCCATGGAATATACGGGCAATTGCACATCTCTGTGTTTTTCTTCCAGCCAGGTTTGTCTTAGACTAGTTTAAACTGAATTGGCTTTTCCTGACTCTTCATTACTGTATCTCCAGTACCGGAGCAGGGAAGCGTCAGGAGCTATGAACTTTTGGCAAGGCGCACCACTCCTGATTTCTTGCAAAGCATTTCAAGGTTACACCAGTCTATTTACCTGTTAGCTTGGATAGTGGATGCAGCTGCCTTGGGTATTCCCACCAATTCAATACAATAAATTCAGTAAAAGTGGATCTAGTTCACACTGCAGTAAAAACAAATGTGCAGGTAGTCTGTACTACTGCAGGTGGCAACTGACCTGAATGAAGAAATGTTTCTCCATTCTATCTGGTTCTAGCCTAGGCATCTGCTGTCCTTGTGTGTAAGCCCTCACCTGCACACAGCTTTCCAGTGAGAACCTTGCCATCTCAATGGAAAACAAGCCAACTTCCACTTGCACAACGCATGTCTGTCTCTTTGCCAAACACAGAAAGGTCATAACGATGTTATTTTCTGTTGCTCATTAAACTCAGCTCGCTGATGCCAAAAAGAAGGTTGATGACGACTTGGGGACTATTGAAGGATTGGAGGAGAACAAGAAGAAACTACTGAAGGACATGGAACTTCTGAGCCAGCGTCTTGAAGAAAAGGCAATGGCGTATGATAAGTTGGAGAAGACCAAGAACCGTCTTCAGCAGGAGCTGGATGACTTAATAGTGGACCTTGATCATCAACGCCAAATTGTTTCCAACTTGGAGAAAAAACAGAAGAAGTTTGATCAGGTATGCCACTATATAAATCCTCTTGCTTTCTTCTTGATGATACATGTAGCAGTTAGCTATTATTTGCCCAGTAATCTTGTTACATAGGCATTTTCATGATCTACCTGTGAGCTGTTGTAATATCTAAACTGGTTTTCAGCTGGCTACTTAACTTGGGGCTTGCAGGAATCCTAATGCATTCTTGAGAAACAGGATCAATATTGAGGAATTGGGGAGAGGAGAAGAGATGCACTCTCATCTCTTACATTCACTGTGGTTCCCCAGAGCTTCTCAAGGTTGAGATGCAAAGTATCAAACTACCATGGTAATTTGGAAGCTAAGAGCTTGAAATCTATATTTATGTCTGACTTCTTCCAACTTTGCATATGTTGCGATGCTCAGATGCTGGCAGAAGAGAAGAACATATCTGCCCGCTATGCAGAGGAAAGGGACCGTGCAGAGGCCGAGGCAAGAGAAAAAGAAACCAAAGCCCTCTCTCTAGCGCGAGCCCTGGAGGAAGCTTTGGAGGCCCGTGAAGAATATGAGAGGCAGAACAAGCAACTCCGGACAGAGATGGAAGACTTGATGAGTTCCAAAGATGATGTGGGCAAAAATGTGAGTGGTGTACTATTTGCATGACTGAGAATGGTGCAGTACAGTTTGAACAAGTGCTTCAATGGTTGTATTTCAAATTGAACTTTGGGCAGTTGGAGCACATTCATTCTAATGTTCTGAGAAGACTTCTGGAATTCTGTATGCTTCAACAGCTGCGTGCACTGGAAGGTTCTTAAAACACAAACACTCATAGTTCTAGGGTTAAAGTTGCACGTCTTTGTGAATTTTTGTCATTGTTGTAACTTCAGCTTTTACACTCTGTTGAACATAAGAGCTCTGCATTCTCTACTATGGTAGTGTCTTCCATCCCTGTGCTCTCCAAAGGCAGAAGCAAATGTGGCATGAGCACTTGTGTATGTGTTCTAGGTCGGTGGTTCCCAATATTTTTGGTAGGGCAGCCCACAAGTGCAAATCTACTTGGTCTGATGACCCAACAGTATATTGTCGTGTGAATTTTGGACCTCAGGTCTTGGGGGGAGGCATCATTGGCATGCATTTTATCTGCAAGTTTGGCAATTTTATACCTATTACTTGAGGCATCCAAGCAAAAATCTTACTTAATGCCCCTATTAATGTAGGATTTGTTGAAATAATTATACTGCTTAAGAAGCTACTCACAGGTTGTTGTTGTTATTTTTTTTAAAAATGGGAATGTAAGAACACTAATCATTTGATTGCGGCTGTAGGTTCATGAATTGGAAAAATCCAAGCGCACCTTGGAGCAACAAGTGGAAGAGATGCGAACACAGTTGGAAGAGCTGGAGGATGAGTTGCAAGCCACAGAAGATGCCAAATTGCGCCTGGAAGTGAACATGCAAGCCATGAAAGCACAGTTTGAGCGGGATCTCCAGGCTAGAGATGAGCAGAATGAGGAGAAGAAGAGGCTCTTAGTAAAACAGGTAAAGCTTTTAACATACGGAAGTAACCATACTGGTGGTTATAAGTTCTGTTAAGCAAGTGTCCCTCAAACTAAAGTGGTAGATCGTTGGATTTTATTAAGCTTTGAAGATGGAAGCACAAGTCCTTCCAACCCCATTCATGACAGTCTAGCAATTTCCATGCATGCTTGATTATTCCTTTGAAAGGGCAGTGGCTGAAGCATTCTCAAAGTGCCAGATTTTGTTTCATTTTGGCTTTTTCCCCACCCAGGTTTTGTAGGGTGCATAAAGCTGAAAATCTCTGGTAAATAAAGCAGAAAATCTTAATTTGTATTAAGTCCATAGCGATTTATCATAATCTTGCATACGTGTGTAATGCCTATGGATTCAGTATTCACTGAACCAGTGTTAGAAAAATGCCAGGTGGGGGGAAGCAGTTTGCTGGCTCTGTGGTTTACATGACGGAGGGCAGGTAGAGTGAACATGGATCATGGAATTTATAGCTTCCTTTCTGCTGTTGAAATTAATGTACAGAGTGCTGAGCACTATGAATATGGAAACAGTCAAGGAGGACCTGTTGATTTATCAACTGTAAAGGAGGACTGTAAACTGCTGGCTTAGGAGTTTTGCTTAGTGCAGATGTCCTTCAACAGGTCTCTTTCAATTCTAGTATGGGTGCTGCTGACTGGAGGTTCTTATTGAGGTAGAAATAGGTGTTGCTTTCTACTGCATGCAAGCTGCTGTAAAGTCTGTTAAGAAAATGTCTTTCAAGTTCTGATTCAGGAAATTATGCCATATTTTTTGCCTCTTTTTTAATTTGGTTTTGCGATAAAACACATTAAGTTGTTTATGAGCTCTTCAGTAGGTTTTTTAAGGGTTTTTTGTTTTTTTTTTGCATAGTTGATCATAAATTACTTTCCATTTTGCTTTGAAGAATTAATGAGACTACACAAAGCTTTTATTGTCTCCATTTTGGGAACCAGTGTACCATGAACAAGTGTGCCCTTTTGGCCTTACTATGAGGTTAACAATTACGGTTGGCTTCAATAACCTGTAATATTAAGCTTTTGCACAGGAGCTATGGATCAAAGGAGATAGAAGCTCTTGGTGAAAAACTGCTCATAAAATTACTGGACAAGTGAAAACATAGCTGATTGTAGCCCATGTAGCTCTTCTGCATTTTTGTCTGCTTATATGCCCTCTGCTTGGCTTGTCTCGTGAACAGCTAATGCAGATTATCAGAGGTTTTCTTTACGGCATCCTCATAAGGGCATGTGGATCCTATAGTCTGTGTTTTTATTTAAATACCGCACAAATGTTTCCCCTGGACTTCATCCTTCCTTATAGGCAGCTCCAAACTGGGGGACTTTTTTTGAATTCTTTTCTTTTGTCTTCCTGTTTTCCTTGTTACTGATTTACCCTGTAGGTCCGAGAGCTGGAAGCAGAATTGGAAGATGAGAGGAAGCAGCGTGCTTTGGCTGTGGCATCCAAGAAGAAAATGGAAGCAGATCTGAAAGACCTAGAAGCTCAGATAGAGGCTTCAAACAAAGCCCGCGACGAAGCAATCAAACAGTTGCGCAAGTTGCAGGTGTGCACAGCTATTCCAGAAATAATTTAATCAAACCTTGGCCCCCAAAGTCCTTATCAGCTTCTCCTTACTGTAACAGAGAAGAGGACCTGGATAACCTGAATATAATTAACATTAATAGAAACAGGATCTAATCAAAACTGGATACTCTAGATGTGTAGAGTAAATTCTGGCCATGTGATTGGTTGGCCAAGTTCTCAGAATAAATGTCTTGGTCTTAAGATGCCTTTTAAATTTCAGGCTCAGATGAAAGATTATCAGCGTGAACTAGAAGAGGCCCGGGCATCTAGAGATGAAATCTTTGCTCAGTCGAAGGAGAATGAGAAAAAGCTCAAAAGCCTTGAAGCAGAAATTCTTCAACTGCAAGAGGTATGGCACGGAAAGCTGCCTGAGATATACCCATGGCTTAAGGTGGAGATAGGAATGTTTTGACTCTTAACATTCTGCAAGTTGAGTGTGTATATTTTACAGATGCTTTGCAGTTGAGTGTGTGTGGTTTTGGCACAACTTTTAAAGCGTACACGCTGAAATGGTTCATTTGTTTGAAGTAGTTGATTTGAATACTTTTCAAGGATCTGGTAGAGTCAGGCTTCAGTATCAAACTCTCTTGGGCTAGGGCAATGGTATAAACAAAGTCCAGGTAATATGTGAGCAGGGGAACTTCACAACATGGTTAAACTAGGCTAGAAGCAAAGCATATTAATTTCTTAAAAGCAAAAGGCTTCTTGTGCAGGCCTGTTTGATAGTGATATTGGGCACAACATGGTAGCTTTCTCTTCCTTCCCCCCCATATGTTTGGAAATGGTTTTGCTTGCTGAAGCTAGTGAGATTCCCATGAATATATATTTTCAGGACCTTGCTGCCTCCGAGAGAGCCAGACGCCATGCAGAGCAAGAGAGAGATGAGCTGGCTGATGAAATTGCCAACAGTACCTCTGGAAAGTAAGTAACTCTGGGTAGACTTCTCCACCTATGGCAGCCATTATGTGGCAGAAGCGTTCTGTGTCTGCAGCAGTTGCTGCACAAACCTCAGTACGTGTGACAACAGCCTAATCTCTTAGCTGAGTTTGTAGTGATCCTCTGTTGTCCCCCTGTGTAGATCTGCCTTGCTTGACGAGAAGCGCCGCTTAGAAGCCCGAATTGCACAGCTGGAGGAAGAACTAGAGGAAGAGCAGAGCAACATGGAACTCCTCAATGATCGTTTCCGCAAAACCACTCTGCAGGTAACCCCTTTTGTGTTAGCTGGATGTTTTCTACTTGTCTCCCTAAAGGGGTGAGAGTGTTTAAACAACTGCTTGCCTTTCTTAAAGGTTGACACCCTGAACTCTGAGCTGGCCGGAGAGCGGAGTGCCGCCCAGAAGAGTGAGAATGCACGCCAGCAGCTGGAGCGGCACAACAAAGAGTTGAAAGCTAAGCTTCAGGAGCTGGAGGGTTCAGTAAAGTCCAAGTTCAAGGCAACCATTTCAGCACTGGAAGCAAAGATTGGGCAGCTCGAAGAACAGTTGGAGCAAGAGGCAAAGTAAGCACAGCACACTCTGAAAATAGTGTTTCCAGGAGGCTGAATCATGATTTGATTTTGAAAAAGCAGAATTTATTCTGAAACACCTTTTCTGGTAGCTGTTAATGAAACAAGATAGTCATCCAGCAAGAAGCTTGCAAGCCCAAGGAATAATCATCATCCAGTGCAGGCATTTGTGTGATCTTAATCAAGTTTATTTCTGATGGTGTGATTTATTTCTTTGATGTTAGCACTGCTTGATGCATGAATTGTTCCTGTAGATCAGTGGTGGCCAAACTTGGCCTTCCAGGTGTTTTGGGACAGCAATTCCCATCCCTGACCACTGGTCCTGTTAGCTAGGGATGATGGGAGTTGTAGTCCAAAAACAGCTGGAAGGCCAAGTTTGGCCACCACTGCTCTAGATGGTTATGGGAACCCACTTCATCATCATCATTATTAATTTTTCTATTATTTCATTTATGAATCTCTTCTAACACCTCAAAGCAATTTCTAATAACTTATATAAAACAGTACATAAATAAAATAAGTTAAAACAATTGCATATATAACACAGTTTTAAAGACAACTGTAAATATAAAAACAGCAGCACACACATAAACTCAGTTCAAATCCAAAACAAATACCAGTTGGGATACAGATTTTAGAAGGTTTGTTGAAAGTGGAATGACGTTAGCAGGTGCTGATAAGGCAACAGAGACGGCACCTGACTGATATGCAATGGAAGGGAGTTCCAAATGGTAGCTGCTGCCACACTATAGGCCTCATTCTGACATCATATGGAACAGACCTCCTAAGTGAATGATAATTGCAGGTTGCCCACTTGTGCTGGATGCGGTGATTAGTTGGGTATGTAGGGAATGAGGCAAACTATCAAGTATCCTGGTCCCAGGTTCTGTAGGGCTTCATACACTAATACCAGCACTTCAACCTAGCCTGGTAGCTAATTATTCTCACTAGTGCTTTATTTTTCTGCTGTGGGTTCATGGAACCTTCACCTGTGGTTGGTATACATTTGGGCTCTGTTGCACTGACTGGTCTGTTACCTTTTTGACATCAAGTTGAGTGATCCCACTCTGTTGACTTACCTTAGGGAGAGAGCAGCAGCCAACAAGCTAGTACGTCGGACAGAGAAGAAGCTGAAGGAGGTGTTCATGCAGGTCGAGGATGAGCGTCGACATGCAGATCAGTACAAAGAACAGGTGAGGAACTACCTGTGCCACTTAGAATCTCTGCTGTGGCTAGCCGACTAGAGAAAATTTTCCCTGCTAATGCACATTGGGAAGCATAGTAGGTTGTTTACAACAGCCTGTATTGTGGACAGGGAAGGAACCTCAGAATTGGAGGCTGAGAGCACTCCCTGGTGACTTCCCTTCCTTGGCCACAACCTCTTTCTCCAGGCCAACCCCCCTCACTGGTCCTTCATCGCACTCTCCGTGTTTTTGCATGGCTGAAATGTGTCTTTGAACTCTGATAATGCCTCCCACTTGTCTGGATGAAGGAAAGAAGGTGTGTGAGAGGGGGTGCAGAAAGTAGCCTAGTTAAAATTCAAATTCAGCGTCCCACCCACTTTTGCTGCTGTTCCCCACCCACCACTAGAATGTACGCCCAGGAGGGAATGTTCCCCTTGGGCTGAAAAGGTTCTTCACCCTTGGCCAATAACCTCCATGAAGTTCTTTAAGTGAGCAGGCGTGTGCACATCCTGCAGCATCTCTGCTGTTATGGATCCCATTCACTTGGGTGTGGAGTCCGGGGGGCTTGTGCAAGCCTCTCCTGCAGCCCATTCAAACTTCTGCTTCTCTGATCTGGAGTAATTGCAAATGACTGAACTATACCTTCAGGAGAAGGGTATTTCTGGAGCATGCAACTTCTTGCCATAAGGTTTTAAAAAAAACAAAACTCAGGTAGTGCATTAGAGAAGAGTTCAACCAAAGTTTTGCCAAATCCATGTGAGCAGCACAGGCAGCCAAGGCAGTCAGCACTGTCTGCTTTGTGAAAGTGGACGAACTCGTCAATCTGCCCCATGAACATCCCACAGTGGATGGAGACCGAAAGATTGTTACGCCGCTGCCAGAGGTTCTCTGTCTCGAAAAGGGAGTGTAAGTGAAAGAGGACCTCTAATCTCATCTGGCGTGTCGTGCGGATGTTTCTTGCATGGGGCCTGTTTCTGATAATGCTCTGTAGATGGAGAAGGCCAATGCCAGGATGAAGCAGCTCAAACGGCAGCTGGAAGAGGCAGAGGAGGAGGCAACACGTGCTAATGCCTCACGTCGTAAGCTGCAGCGTGAGCTGGATGATGCGACTGAAGCCAATGAGGGTCTTAGCAGGGAGGTCAGCACTCTGAAGAACAGGCTACGGTGAGTCATGTGGTGGAAGGAAGGTCAAGGTAGGTGTGGGCAAATGCTTCGGGGCAGGTCGCTTTTGAGTTGGTGAATCAAATGAGCCCCACACAACATTTCCAGTTCTTTCCCTCCCCCAGTTTGTGATAGCTCACCTCTAATGTGGTCCAGAATTTAATGGGAGGGTCTGTTGAGTAGCCAGAATTGAACATTATGCTTGAAATTTAATATAGCACTAAGTGGGGGATGTGGCCCTCTCAACAACAGGACGTTCCCCAACCCCCCAGAGCAGATTAAGGGGGGGGTGAAGCGGGAGGGGAATCCTGTTGTGTGCACGCACACAACAGTTTTGTTGAATCCCACCCCATGTCTACAGGGTCAGATCATTAGCTGATTGTGCCAGGTAGGCTGAGTGCAAGCTGCTTATGACAAATGGCCCTACTCAACTCCTATACCAATGAATGAGAGGGCAAAGTGATGTATCGTGAGCTATAGCCACACAGGTAGCAGGCATAGTTGTAGGCTTAAGTCTATCACTGGAAACATGATTTAAGTGGTATTGTGATCCTCATCTGTGAGCGCTATGGTCTCAATGAGGGGGACTCCTTTATTTTAATGTGGCATGGTGGGTAGCTAGACATCCTTTCTCTATGTCCTTCCAACAACCCACTCCTTTCCCTCTTCCTCGTAGGAGGGGCGGCCCAATCACGTTTTCCTCCAGCCGATCCGGGAGGCGCCAGCTGCACATTGAAGGGGCTTCCCTGGAGCTTTCAGATGACGACGCAGAGAGTAAAGGCAGTGATATCAACGAGCCGCAGGCTGCCCAAACAGAGTAGAGCCTCCCCCACACCATGTCTTACAGCGGGCATTCCCGCCAATGTGACTTTTGCTCCATGCATTTGGAAGAGGAGGAAGAAGAGGCCCTTACTGGCCACCAAATTGCCTTGTGGCCCTAGACTTGCCTTAGGCAACACTGGCACACTACCTGGTCATGCAGGTCAACCCCAGCATACTGCTGCCTGGCTTTGCCATGATGTAGCCTGCTTTGGATATAGGTACCACTGCTTCTTTATATGTATTAAAACTGTCTTCGTTCAGTGCTCTTTGTCTTCAAGGTATCCATTGTAAAGCCATTTTCTAAGGCACTGGGCGATAGGATTACCCCTCTGTCCCTTCTGATACACCATTCCCAAGCAGAAGTTTCTGACACTTTCCTCTTCCCCTTTTCTATGCATGTTTAGCTGTATAGCAATCACTTGCTTTCTTTTGGTCTCCAAAGTTCTGCTTATGTACCAGCCCCGACTGCGCCTTTTTCCTGAACATTTTACGATAGATTTAGGTGATTGACTGTGAAAATGCCCTGAGGGGCTTCAGGGGGTAACGTACAGCTGAGAGTAGCATCTCTTCTAGCCAGCAGTTGGTGCTACATAATGAGCACTCTTCAACTGTGGGACCTCCAAATTGGGTTGGTGCTATGTCCTGGCAGATTTGAGACCAAATAAGATACTAACCACTTTCTTCAGTACTATTAATAGTGCTCAGCGCAAATTGGATAGTCTCAGCCTGGGAATTGGATTACCCCCCGCAGCTACCCAGCAACTGTTTCCTTGCTGGGGGTAGAAGTGTTAAGATTAGAGCCGCTCTTGCCAGCTATCTTGATGCCCAAGATCAGTGTGTCTGCCAGAGGATAGCACGAGGACATTGCCTGTAAATGGATACAGCCTGTGGAACTGCTCTCTCCCTTTCATTTGGACAGTGTTAACTGCACCTAGCTTAGCATCCTTACTGTTTCATAGCTGTGAACTGACATTTACAGAAAGTGCCTTAGACACTACAGTACTAAGACAATGTTACATATATAATTTGCCTATAACAATGATTTAATGTATTAATTTTATCATATCATGTTACATACACATCTTCTCTAGTCCAAGTGGTATTGATATTCAGTGATGAGGAATCAGTGTTAACTATGAAATCTTGATCTGTTGCAACATGCTTGAAAAAAATACTTTTCTTTGGTTACAAGCTTTAACATCCGTTATAAAGCTTTTGTTTCTGTGCATTTGGGTATTTCTTAATCCTAACTGGCTGTTGACCACCAGGCATCTGACTGCAAATACCTTGTTTCTTTGTATCTCCATATTTCTAGACAATGATTTTTGTAAGACAATAAATTTATTCATTCTAGAGACTCATTCATGCTTGGGCTGCTTACTTAGAAGAACTCAAGATAGAAATGAATAAATGAAACGTGCAGGTTTGTCCCTGTTGATAAACTGATGGTGCTATAAAAGTAAATGATAATATTAAATACTGAATCATTTTTAAATTGTAGTTAAGTGATAGACATTGAGTTACTTCAATAATTCATTTTCTTGGGTTTTAAATTCTTTTAGCATTTGAGAAACATGTATGCAGAGTTCAGCAACCAATACATAATGCAAGGAATACTAGTCACAATAACTTGGGGGGGGGATGCTGCCTCCCCCATTCCTTAATTTAGAACAAGGGAGAAGAACCTTTTATCTGTAAGCAAAGTTTGACAGGTTGATGCCACACCTGTCAAACTCCCTTTCCCTTTAGATTTTGTTTACTCTTGTAGCAGTGTGTAATGAAGATGATAAATAGCTTTGCAACTGGTATATAACTTAAGGCAGTACCCACACACCACTTTACCAATGATGACAGTACAGGAGTGGTGGATTGGTCCATTATTAGTGGTGTATTTACATCTAGGAAAAAAAGTCCTACCTGAAGCTTGGTCTTTTGGGTGTGTACTTTCTTCAAGATAAGAAACTATGAAGATGAATAGGAGCACATGCTACTGCCAATCATGGGGGATGTTGACAGTAGTGAAGCATCATGCAGAAAGTTTCGATTTTGGCTGGAAATCTTACTAGAAACCATCAAACTTGAATTTCAGCTGCTAGCTGTGCAAGACCTGAATCCTCCGTTCAGTTGCCATCTTGACATTAAACAAGTTTTAAGTACTCTTCTTAGTTAGTTCTTAAGTGCCAGGAAAGACTAAGTTACACTGTCATGTGCTGCAGGAATCCAACATAGGTTAGGCATGTAGGAGAAGAGAGCCCCCTCCCTGGCTGCCACAATTCCAAAACACATGAAAAAGGATGCTCTTTTTGATCAGACCACCTCCACATCCAGCTGTAGATACACTCACTTCCGTATTTACCCTCTACTGACAGCTAGCCACAGCTGTGGAAGGAACATGTGTCAACTTTATAAGGGGAAGAGCCTGCTCCACAGCTGCCACAGTGACACCACCCACTCACCAAAACAACACACAAAGCATAGGCAGAAGCATCTTTTCTGCAAAAGCCAATGTGTCCACATTAAAAGATCTTTATTTTTGGACCATCTCTCGTTGAACCACAGGATGGCAGTCACCACAGAAATCTGATACACTGTCCTAGGGAAAACATGCCTCAGAGATTCTGAATAAATAAAGCTACAAAGCCCAAGTTATGTACAAATATCTTAGGCAAAGATATTATGTTTACAAACCTATGTACAGTAAAACAAATGTAAACAGTAAATGCAGCAAAGGACACACAAGAAAAGGGCTGACAAAATCCAAGCTGTGAGTGGCAATTTGCCCCTAGCCTGCTCTGGCTTCTACTCCCTTCTCTTTCCCTTGCTCTTAGGCAATTCCCACTAAATCTTACTAAGAAGCCAGAGCCCCAAACCACTGGTTTATTGAAATAAGATAGGCAAAAGCCAGCAGCATAGGATGAAGCTGACTAATTTTTAAAAAAAATTAAACAGGGGTGTTGCTCTACTTTAAAAATTACCAGCTTTGGTGAACAGAGACATAATTGCACAACACACACATTTCTTGTGCTCCACAGAGGAGATACCACAGCTAGATCTTTAGCAGGGCTGCTCCATCAGGTCTCAAGCCCATTGGATACATCATCATATCATTGGGAGTATCGAAGGTCCATACAGGTTCATCCTGCATCCCAAGTGTATCAGCTGGCCAGAGAAGTTCTAGGCCTTCCCTGGCTTCCCTTGAATATGAGCTGTCTCATCCAGAAAGGGGGCAGGGTGGGGAAAAGAAATACAGCACTGGGATCCTGTGTGCCTATGTGCAAAGTTTGGGGAGCAGTGGGAGGAGGTGGAGGAGTTGCTAAGGGGCCATTCAGCATCAAAGTAGGCCCAACTTAGCAGAGGTACAAAACTGGAGGGTGGGGCAGCAGGAGAAGGTGATTTAGGCAAGTGCAACTCCAGCATCCTGTGAGACAGACATCAGCGGTGACCACGTTAAAGAACGTCCACGATGGAAATAGAAGAAAATAGACTGTATTGACATAAGGAGTGCTCTGTGTGTGCTGGGATCTTCTCCAGGCAGCTTCTGAGTGCTACAACCCACTCAGCTCCAGCAGGGGGCACTAACGGAAAAGTTTTGCAAGCAGCTCTTGTTCCTTCACGAACTAATTAGAGTCCCATCATTGCCTTGCAACCCATTCATACACTAAGAGGGAGCATGCCTGGTGCTGATGATGGTCTGGACCCTCCTAGACCTGGTGGTGGGCCTTGGTCAAAGCCATTGACTGCCCTGTGGAACAGTAAGAGAAAATGGTTAACAAGAAGTACCAACAGATAAAAACTGCACTTGTTGCGCCACGTCACAAACAGATGCAAAGCTGAACTGTTTGTCTTGCAAGGGCTAGCCAAGTGTGTAAACTGAATTGCGAAAATCCAAAGGACTGTTAATCCTGCAAACTAAAGGCCAATAGTTCAGTTCCCAAAATGCATGCAGCAAGGGCAAGTCCCTTGATTAACACTTCTGTCTCCTTTTAGAATAGTCTCCTTCCATTTGTTTTCAATTTTGGTATGTTTGTTTATATTTTACAATTGTATAATTTGGGGGGCTAACTGCAAAAAGGCAAAGTACACATGTATTTTCTATATATTCAATAGAAACATCTGCCTTTGGGGCTGTCATCAGGGGTAACAGGGCTTTTTGCTTATCCAGAAATACACCAAATGCTTTGTAAGCATATTTGGCCATACGAAATGGGTATTTTAGTGTGGCAGCACCTATACTTTGGAACTGCCTGCCTACTGACACCAGACAGACACCTTTAGTGCATCCTGTTCTACACCCACCTGCTTAAAACATTTTTGTTTAGACAAGCCTGTTCAGTCACAGATGTTGACATTTTTTAATCTTATAAACTGATAATTTTAATGTTTCTTGTAAACTACTAATGTTTCACTACCATCAAGATGTGCATAAATGCCTTTGTATGGTATGTTGCCTTAGCATTACCACACAACCAAACACAGAAATTATCATCCAAGTTTTCCAGTCTATCAGAAAGCTATGAGAAGTATCAAAACGCACAATATGCATTGACCAAACATCACACCTCCATGTAGAGGTGCTCCCTGCTGCCACACAAATACCAAACCAACCTCTGTTTCTACCTCTTGCTCTTAGACCTAATCTCCATTTGAAAAACTAGAGGAGGAGACTCATAATTTACCACAAGCCCCCAGAGCTAGGCTGCATGCAAATGTGGGACACTCTCCTGTTGCTGCAACCCAGAAGAAAAGCAAAAACGAATTACATAAAGAAGGATTAGGTGGCTCACAGAGCTAGTTAAATCTTTGCTGTGGGCTGTGTTACAATAGCTAAGAAATAGGTCTCAAATTCAATTATTCAAAAGTTGCAGAGTGACAGAAGTGTTTCAGAGTTAGTTTTGCCAATGAATTGGAATTCCCATTGGTTCAATCTATCTAATTGTGTCCTACACCCACAGCAAGCTCTTCATTCAAGTAGAGGTTTCAGTGAATGGAAGTCCCCTTTTCTCCTGCCAACCCCTCCCCCCACTTCAAGGGCTCCCCAACTCTCTGGAATGTGTGTGCACACAGTGGACTGCAGAGGGAAGGGGGAATTCATATAAGCCTCTGATGGATCAAGAAACCATTTATTAGCAGAATACAGTGGTGCCCCGCAAGACGAATGCCTCGCAAGACGGAAAACTCGCTAGACGAAAGGGTTTTCCGTTTTTTGAGCTGCTTCGCAAGACGAATTTCCCTATGGGCTTGCTTTGCAAGACGAAAAACGAAAACGTCTTGCAAGTTTGTTTCCCTTTTCTTAACACCGTTAATACAGTTGCGACTTGACTTCGAGGAGCAACTCATAGAACGCGGTGTGGTAGCCTTTTTTGAGGTTTTTGAAGACTTTGGTGATTTTTGAAGCTTTTCCAAAACTTCTTTTAAACTTTTAAAACTTTTTTTGGGGTTTTTGGATTTTGGGTTGGGGTGTTTGGAATTCAAGGACTTGGTGTTGGGGAGGGGTTTGCAAGAATCTGGAAGCTTGTGTGGTTTTTTCCTGCATTTTTATGTTTTTCTGTGACCATTGGGCAACTCTGTTTTTTTAAAAAAAATTCTGGATTTGAATTTCTGTGTGGTGGGTGGCTGGGGGAACAGTTGGGGAGGGGTTTGCAAGAATCTGGAAGCTTGTGTGGTTTTTTTTCTGCATTTTTATGATTTTCTGTGACCATTGGGCAACTCTGCTGTTTTTTTAAAAAAATTCTGGATTTGAATTTCTGTCTGGTGGGTGGCTAGGGGAACAGTTGAGGAGGGGTTTGCAAGAATCTGGAAGCTTGTGTGGTTTTTTTCTGCATTTTTATGATTTTCTGTGACCATTGGGCCACTCTGCTGTTTTTTTAAAAAAATCTGGATTTGAATTTCTGTGTGGTGGGTGGCTGGGGGAACAGTTGAGGAGGGGGTTCTTCAGCAAGAAGCAAAGAGTGGAAGAGGAACCTTCTTCGAGTTGTCCCCAGAGTCTTAGAAAATGTACTGTACACTTTGTTGATTTTTAAATGTTTTTCTGTCATGTTTAGAAACTTAATTTATTGTTCCTTCAATTTTTGAAATGCTCTTTACAGTATGTGTGACTTTAAAGAGCACTTAATAAACTCTTGTTGTACCAAATTTGGCTTTGTTTGGACTTTTTTTGACCATAGGAACGCATTAATTGGATTTCAATGAATTCCTATGGGATTTCGTGCTTCGCAAGACGAAAAATTCGCTAGACGAAAAAACTCGCGGAACGAATTAATTTCGTCTTGCGAGGCACCACTGTATAATTGGATGCAACCCCCTAGCTACTTTTAGTGTGGTAGAGACAGAGAAGATGTTTATGATGCTAATGAACAGAAAGTGTCCTGGGAGAATGGACAGATCCATGGCATTGGACATTGAGACAGGATGATAGAACATGTTGAATGACCTAGCCATTATATGCTCCATCCAGGTCAAGTGGTTTTGCACAAATTGCCTGTGTTTTCAAAATTTGCAATCCAATCACCAAGAATTGGAGTGATGGCAGATTCTGTACTAGAAGGTGGATTCAGAAAGTTCCAGCAAGGTCATGGTTATGCATAGTTCTATGCTACCAAACCTACAGGCAGGGGACAACACTTCTGGAATACAAACATTCACTGATGAGGAGTCCAACTCCTAAACAGACCTGAACTTGTTGACTAGTATTCCCAGATACACTAATGTGGTGTTACCCACAAAATATGTACACATCCCTTTGAATATACTGATGTTTATTTCCAATTTCAGGTTTTTAAATGTACTGGGCTTGGGCACAAATTAAGCACACAGTGATGATGCTGAAGTGAAACCCAACATATATGTCCAAACTTTCTCCCACTACATAGCTTGTCCATACTGGACAGAGACAATTCCTACACAGATTGCAGCTGGAGGCTGCATCACAGCTATGGAAGTTCACTTAGCACTGAAAAGAGATTGTCTTGGTCAATTGTACAATTCACTGATTAGCAGGTATCTAGTGGACTGCTAGGGCTTCCCAGGGCAAGCTAAATGATGGTGGTGTGAGCCCTACAGAGAAGAAAAAGTATTTCTAGGTCACAGATATTCTGAAGATGGCTTAAGGCAATTATAGGCTAACCTGTTCCTACAAAAACCACACAAAGTGCTGGGGCTAGTCACACAAGGAATGTCATGGTAACAGCTGAGAACCGAGGTACAAGACTGTTCAGATCCAGGCCATTCACTGAACTGCAGTTCTGATGCAATAAAGCCCTAGCGAACTGTCGGTCAGCCATTTCTAGCCTACTTATCTCCTTAGGACTGGCTGAGGCAGGAGGCCCATTAAAGCCTCCCTCTGCCTTCCTGATTCAACAGCAGATTGAGCTGGAGAAATGCCGCATCAATATGAGCAGGCAAAGCTTCTTGCCTGTGGCATACTTCTCACTCAAACAGCAGAAGTGACTACATTCAGCAGTGACTTCCTCTCCCCTTCTTAAGCAGAAATCTATTGACAAAGAATGAATAGGGAGGTAGGGGAATGCCCTTCTCCCTTCAAGGCCTTTCCCCTCCATTTTTCAATGAAAAAGAAAGGACGCTGTGGAAGAAAATTTGAAACTTATGAACTATTTTCACTTTTGGAATTATGGACAGAAGGGTCAAACCTCAGCACTGGGCAAGCATCTGCTTTGCCTGATGAAGGTCCCAGGCTTAATCTCCAGGTAGAGCTGGGAGAGGCTCCCTGCCTGAAACCCTAGAGAGCCAATATATCAGTGTAGACAATAATGAGCTACAGGGACCAATGATTAGGCAGCTTTCTGTATTTGAGCAAAGGGACTTCAATTCCCTCTCCTCATCTGCAACAGACTTCCACACAGTCAGAATTTTCTCTGAAGGGTCTCTAAACCTTCTGGAGCAGATTTTGGAGGTCTGTTGGTGGCAGGGGCAGAATGGAAGAACAGGCAGGTGAAATCTTGTTAGGGGAGTGGAATTCCTCCAGCACTGGAGCCAACTTAATGTGAATGACACCTTTTAATACAGGGCTTTAAAATATTGTTTCATCTTTATCTTACTTCCTTAATTTCTGATGTAAAGTGTTAGGTACTTTTTGAAGACATGTACAATTCTTAATGCCTATTCCAAATTCCTCCACTTGAAATTTGAGCATGAAATAAAATGATGCAAATTAAGTACACACTGAATTAAGAAACAAGCTAACATGCAAATATTGTTTCAAGCAGCAAACCTTCAGTTCACAAATTATGGAGAAGGAAACAGAAAATTGGAATCTACTGATCTTTCAGAAATGATCATGATTAGAAACAAATTTCATTGTGGGAATTTTCAAGGTTGTGCTTTATTGTTCAATTAGGGTTTCATGTGGCTTATTTATGGTATTTTTACCCTTGCCTTCCACACTTGTTGTGTGCTAATGACTAAAGAGCTCAATCCTGTTACACAGATGGCAACCATTTTAGGCATGTCCAACTGACACATGATTGCAGACGCACAGGTCCTTTTGGACCCGGATGAAGGCTTATACGCACTCCACTGACGCTTATGGGGGCTGGGAACAGAACCCCCGCATGAAAATGTCACCACCTGAATATAAAGCAGATATATATGAATCTTGCTTGTGATATGTGGTATCAATCCACTATCCCCTCATGTGTCTCCAGATTATTATTATTTTATTAATTTGGGGTTTTTCCCCATTTCTGGATAAATGCTATGGACAGTGGACTGTTTCAAGGCCTAATTGTTAAAAACTTTCATTTTGCTTATCACGATACTGATTGTTCCTGCTTTATGTGATCATTCATATTTTTACAAAAAACAGTTATCTTTATGTAATGTAAGGTTCAGCAGGTAGTAACTCTATTTCTGGGCCTATTTGTAATTGATGCTCAAATACAGCTAAGGCATTTGTTTTTAAAATTTCATTAAATTGTACTGTTTGCTAAAGTACTAACTTTACACAATACATTTTATATTCAAGTTTGAAATTGATGAATAAGTACTTATATATATATATTATTTTGTCTCAAAATTTCTAGGGGTTTGTTTTTCCATGGTTTGCAAAGTTCCAGAAGTTTCATTTCTGTACACAGCACACACCTCAAATCTGGCACGTATTTGTCGCACTCAAGTGGCATGCATGAAGAGGACAAGAGTTCAATAGAAGTATAGCATCCTGTTACGTAAAATCTATAAATCTAGTTACATGGCAATAAAAACCAAAAACCAATTCAGTCACAAGATTAGTATCTCAGCCCCACACATCCCTGATAAGTGACACACACTCGCATCTCCACGCATCAGGCATCACACCAAAACAGTTGCAATTACCCATGAAATGCGCAGGGAATCTGACCTATCCAAAAAGGAGAGATGGAAACAATTCATATTGAAAATATCTGTTATGTCAAAAGACTTCCAGGCATCACTGATGAAGGTGAGGTTCTTGAAGTCAATTTAGGAACTAGTATTAAAGCCAAAGTGGGGAATTGCTTTCCAAATTCCACCAAGCATAGCACTAAAACAGCAAGATTAGAGTTGCCTAAAATCAATCCAGTTTACCATCTACATGTCTGCCTTGCTCTGGGAACACTTTGCTATTAGGGGTTCTGCCTGCACAACTGGCATTCATGTATACTGTATATATTTCTAATAATATAGTCAGTGGTCCTTGATGGCCTACCAGAGACCATTTTTAGTACTAGCTTGTACAACATCAATACAGCTGTGTTTAGAATTTGATAACGCTGTACATTAATGCTAACATAAGATACAAAGACACCAGCATGGAATTCTGGCTTGGGCTGGGATCTAAAGTGTGCTCTGCTGATGGTGCTCTCATTCTGCAATAGAAACGTGTGATACTACAATGCAAGCAATTGTACTCTTGGCAATGAGATCTAAAGCAGGATGAGATATAAACCCTCCAAGGATTGCATACACACACCTGCCTTCATATCACATGCATTCACTCCCCCAGCCAACTTGGCTTGAAAACAGTATTTTGGGGTTTTTGAAGCCCAACTCCTGGAGGAGGGATGGATTTTCTGGAGATTGCAAATGGGCTGTGACAGACCATCACAACAATTAGGCTTGAGAAAAACCTTCTCCTGATGGCAACAGAAGGCTACTTATCAAGTTTAATTGCAGAGCACAGGGTGTTTTGGTGCAAAGGGAGTATTAACACTTTCCTTCCTAGCTGTGTCAAACTGAAATGCTCTGGGAAAAGCCTTTTTTCATATTTAATTGTAGCAGGGAAGGGAACACTGTAGGCCAGATGGGGAGGTCTTAGGGATGACATATACCCCACAGGCCTATGGTTCCTCATCCCTAGTCTAACAAGCTCAAAAGACAAGTTTGCATGAAGTCATCTCAGCCACTTATCAGCCACCACCAATTTTCAGCATTACAAGGACATGAATAACTGGTTTATTCTCTGGTTCAGTCACAATTTCCAACTTCACTTAAGCTCACTTGGCTTCAAGTTTCAACAAATGACTTAAGTTAACTTTCCATATAAGAAGCCCTTAACAAGTTGTTCCTGCATGTCACTAGGTAGGATAGTACCCACCACACCCCAGTTTAATAGCCACTCAATTCCAATGCACCATAGAGAGTCAACAGTGTAAACAATTGCTACTAGCAGAACAGCGGCAAAGCCAACAATAGAGCAATGTGTGAGTTACCTCAATCAGTCCCACCACCCAACCATAGGCCATTCATAAGGCAGCAGCAGCAGCAGATTGGGTTGGGTCCATAAACATGCGTGGCTGTTTCAGGATCCAGCGACAATTGGGGGCAGGGAGATGACTACAGGGGCTAAAGAAAGAGAGAGAGAGAGAAAAAGAAAGAAACAAACAAACAAACAGGGGAGAAGGAGAAAAAAGAGCATGCCTAAGCTCACTTTCCATGCCATGATAAGCTATACTCAGCCCTAGCCAGCATGGCAATAAGATGGTAGCCAATTCACAATTACTCAGAAGGGCTTAACAATAGGCAAATAAATAAATAAATAAATAAATAAACACAGGTGGACTGAAAGGGAGGGTGGGGGAGAGACAAGGAGAAGCAGCAAAGGAAGACGGACAGGATGCAAGGCCACAGAGTGTCAACATCGGGGCCAAAAGCAGAAGGAACTGAGAAAAGAAGTGTGGCCTTTAATCTTCTCTGCACACTCCTGAAGAACTTGAATACCTCCCTGCTTGCTGCTCAAGAAAACCCTGTGTGTCTGCTTCATGGGATATAGCTTGTTGTTGTTATTTGTTCCCCAGCACTACCTTGAAGACAGGATCACCAGATCTCTGTTAGACATATTCTTCAAGAGACAAGCTGCAAGAATCCCCTAACCACTGCCCAAAAGTAGGACTGCAGCTGCCTAACAGTACTGTTTACCAATTCTGTTGTTTCAGTTCTGTACTAATTACTATAAACAACAGGGAGTTCTGCACTGAATAGGATATGGCATAGTGCAAGGTGAGGTCAGGGACTGGCAAAAAAAATAAAAATAAAATAAGAGGACCAAATAGAAAGAAATCATTTCTGCAAAAGTGCAGAATGAGACTTGGGAAAACCTGAAGAGAATTTTGGAGAGAGACTTGTAAGAGGAAAGCCAGGGTGTTCTAAATGAAGGGATGAGCAGAAAGCAAAAAGAGGAGAGGGCAACAAAAACTAAGCCAATATAAGATGAGCTTAAACTGATAAAAAGCACAAAGGACCTGAAAAGAGACATGAGACGATGACTGATGCAGCAATAGAGAGATAATACAAAATATACACAAATCATGAATACTTCCAGCGGGTCAACTGCATGTTGCATTACACAAACCAGCCCAGCATGCAGCCCAGCATGGAGTGACCCTTTCCTACCTTACAATCTGCTTACTGTTCACAGTATGGCTCAAGATAGCAAGCGTGGGTTTTAAGAGGCTTGCCTCTGGATTCATGACCATGAGAAGCAAATCACACATTGAAGGCACACCCAATTCACATTGAGACTAAGTGTATCCACAAGCAATTTCCTATCCCACCTTTGTGCAAATGGCAAAGATGCAGCTTGCTCTGTAAGCTATACAGAAAACATCATTAAGCCAGGCACAAAGGCAGCCAGCAGAGCTTCTACTTTCCCTTTCCCCTCCCAAACTTCTGAAGGACTCAGCTGCTTATGTGGATTTAGTTTTGCACATGAAAGATGTACCACACTTTGCCCTAATCACACTTAGTCACATCTAGGTTAGACTGCTGTCTTGAGGTCTGTCAGGGGCTGCCTTTGAAAAAGGTACCAGAAATGCAGCTGTTAGATTGCAACTGGTGCAGGTTGCATGGAACATAACACTTCAGTTTTGCAACAACTTCATTGCCTAACTCCCTGTTTATGTCACCTAAACAATCTCTGTGCAAGATAATTTAAGGATGACCCTGATCCTCCACAATCCAAAGTATGGGGAAAGGTGGCATAGGGCAGGGCTTTCTTTGCAGTGGCTCCAAATCTCTGCAAAAAGATTAGGAACATGGTTGACCATACACTATTTAAAACCTCACAAATGCTCAAGGCAGCATAGCTCCCGAAACTTTTGAAACAAACAGCTCTTAACTAGAGCTGGACCAATATTTTTGGCACAGCTCTTTTTGCCCATTTGCAGGGGAGGGACATAAAAGGCTAGAATAATTTTTGCCCAAATTGGGAAAGAGCAGAAGAAATTTCTGAGAAAGTTCTCTCAGTGGAAAGAGTGGAAAGGGCTTGCTTACCTTACATTTTATAATGAAATTACCAAGAGTGTGTATCATTTCAAACATTAACAAGTTTGTCTTCCTGTACTTGATATGACAGAGGAAGAGAAACTCTGTAGTCCTTCACATTCTCTATGGCAGTGGTTGAGAAAACTCCAGCCCACAGGCTAATTTGTTCTGCCAGGAGTCCTTAATATGGCCTGTAAGCCATTTCTCCGAAGCCATGCCCACCTGCCATCATATATGATGCCATATATGAGGTAACGATGCAAGAGAAAGGAATAACCAGGAGCCTTAGAATATACTCCCAACTACTCTTTGGCAAGTGGGGCTTGTATGCAGCACCTGTTAAATTTGGCTGATCAGCACCAACTTCAAGCCTCGCTGCAATCTTGCTTGGCGACACAGTTTGACTTTGAGCTGTGTTGCCTAGGAAAAATGGGTCACCTGACATTGTGATATCAAGTGATTGACAAGTGGGCAGGACTTTGACACTGCAGCTGTCAAAGTGTCCCACTGCGGATGGGGGAGCTAAGGATCTGGCTTACCAGCCAAATTCTATTTCCCACCACTGCCCTATAGTTTAAAAAATAAAAATTTGGATCAGGACAACTTTGTGCAGGAATGGGTGAGTTAACCCAACCCTTCCCCTTCATGATCTTACCTAAATCAGAACATCCACAACGGCATGACAGTTAACAGTCAGGAAGAAAAAGGTCCTGTTGACCCTAAACCCTCTGCCTCCTCATTCTAAGAAGTAAAGTGAGTCCAAGCCAACCACTACGCACAAAATTTTCTTCTGTCCATCTTGAAATCTAATGGAAAACATATTCATTTTCCCAAGGGGACAAATGGTCCAACAAATATGAGGGTGGGAGTTCAGCTCACCACCATTACTACAATATTCTGTTAGACATACGTGGTAGCCATGATGGAATACTCCTGAGTTTCACTGATGGCATGTGAAGGCTAGGTTGTTTCTTACTTAACAAACTTCACTTAACTCTTGGAAAGAAACCAAAGCATGAAGTGTCACAGTAAGCCAAACAAATCTGACCTCATGATGCCTTGCTTATTTTGAGTGATGTTCCACTATTTGCTATTAACTCCTTTCCCCAACTGTACAGAACACTCTAAAGGGCCCACTACAATTTCTTGAAGGTTGCCAAGCCAGCTTCCTAGTGCTACAGCTTAGGTGCCAAATTGGAGAACATGAAAGCTCAGATTCGCATCCTCAGAGGGTCAAGGTATCCTGTTCTCTGGGCTTAACAAGAGGCCTGTAGATGATGGGCTTCCTTAAGTTGCACCCTATATCCACAGGAAATATGTCCATAGGCCAAAGGTTGGAAACTTTTGTCTATTAGCATACAAACTACATCCCTGAAACATCGAGCACAACCAGAACTTACGCTTTGTCATAGAATGTCGTGTGTCCTGAATGACAGAACTTCATGCCATTGCTGTTTATCATGCTGCTGTTTATGTTCCCTGAAATGTAAGATTTCCGCGATGCCTGGTCCTTCGCAAAGTTTCTACAAGCAGCTAATTTCGATTCCAAGGCCTGAGAAAGAAGTAGATAACAGAGCTTTTTATTTAAAGTAATTTGCCTTAATGAGGGTTTAGGAGAAACAGAATCAACATCAGCAGATTCAACAAAATATAAGATGGAGCAATGACTCAGGGCAGCCAGTCAATCTTCCGATTCCACTTATGTCACATTCTTAGTAAGAGAAGCTGATTTGAAAAGTCTGCTCTTGAATAGAACATGGATTCCCAAATGCAGGACAGGCCAGAATTCTTCAGAGGAGAACTCCCTTATTGAAAAGCCAAAATGCCCTTCAAAATGTTAAAAATAGTAGAAATTGAAATTTGCATCATTTTATGAGAAAATCTTGGAAAAGCTGGGAGCAGCTGGCAAAAAAGGTAAGAACTAGAAGCATTTGTTACAGGAAAGTAGGAATACTAGAAGAATATGCAAATAACCATCAGAGCTGGGATGTGACTGGAGAGACAACAGACTATGGGGGGATACTCTGAGCTAACCAGCTAACCTCTTTAATGGGATTTGTGAGATAAATGCTCTATGATTTCATTAAGCATTGCCCATCCATTTTTGCACTCCTCAATGCGCACACACACACATACATGCATTCTGAATTCTGCAATGGGCAGGGTGAGAGAGGGGTAGAGAGAAGACAACAACAGCTTGCCACTATCTAGGGTGAGTAAGCCAGCAGCACACACTTTGGTTCCCAAGAGAACTAATTCCAACTCTCTCTCTCTCTCTCTCTCTCTCTCTCTCTCTCTCACACACACACACACACAGAGAGAGAGAGAGAGAGAGAGAGAGAGTTGGCTCAAACATCTTGAAGCAGATACCTTCATTCACAATGCTATTAACAATGCATTTGTTTCAATTAGCATCCTTGTTTACAGTTCATCTCATAACGAAGAGTGTGACAGAATCAGTATGCAACAGTATCAATGAAAAGTCCTAGGCTGCTTTAAACATAGCCTGGAACTCTGAAAGAGAGAATAAATAAGTCATGCATGGTAAAGAAAGGCTCTTACCCCAACTTTCCTTAGGAGATCACCTACAATATTGAGCGCAGATATTCTGGCTGAGGGAGTAAGGGGACTGGTACCAAAACCGTTGGGAAGAGCTGCAGAAGGGAAAAGACAAGAGACTAGTCACATGGATGTACATATGAACAAAAAAGGAAAAAGAAGAGCATGACCACTCATGTTCCCTGGCCCCTAAGAACAGTTGCTCTCTGGGAAAATATCACCACTACACATATTTATGAAGACCAACTATCTCAGTCAGTTCCCTAAAACCTTATCTCACAATCTTCAAATATCTACATTGCCATTATATCGGATAGGGTTTTATAACAAAAACAAGAAGCAATGGAAAAATAATCAACCATTTTATTTGTATGCCACCTTTACAAAGTTAAAAATATGCTCAAGGCAGCTTATTAAAAAATGTAACAAAAGTAGTCATAAAAAAAGAAACAAAACATCAAAAAGTATACAACCAAACTGAACGATTTCCACATAAATAAGATACAAAATAAAGATACAAAAAAACCCCAGAAACACATACACACCACAAAAAACCCGCTCAAGATTCTTTCAGCAGCCTCAGCTTTTGTAGCTGAAGTCAGTCAGGGTCACACCCTCCCAGGCCAGGTGGAAAAAAATAAGTCTTAATTAATACACAAGTAAATCTTTGTTGCTGTATATGGCTCAAAATTTGTTCTTTAACTTCTACTCTGAGACTGGCCCACATTACTACAGCTGTGCAAGAACTGGGCAAGTTCTACATTCACACACAATGTAAACAGTAGAACATTCAGAGCATAACATGTGTATTGTGTTCTACCTTTTGGAGAGGGAAAGCTGTTCTCACAGCTTTTCCCAACAGGTGTTGCTGGCAGTGAGAGTGATGCTTGGACAGCTGAATCCATCTTCTCACAGTCCAAGGTTGGGGAACTAGGCGCTGACTTCCTGGTCACTTCCTGTTGCCTTTCCCGTACTGCTAATTCTTGTCTTAAATCTGTAAGTTTGAAGAAGAATATATTGCAGATGTGTCCCATAACACAGAGAACACATCCACCTTACCCTCCAACTTCTGTTGTACTCATTTCTCTGGAGATTCCTACCATCTCAGAGTAGGTTTGTGAAGGCCAAATGAGACACAAACAGAACGTTGGCTGGAGCTGCATGACTTGATCTCAAACCCTAACTTGGACAAGACTTCCTTTGAACTAAAACTTGACGTCAATAATGAACAATTTCCATTGTCTATCAATGCAAGTTACACAGAAGTAGCATAACTAATAACCCTTAAGCAAAGGGAAACTGCCCATCAGGTAAATTCACCTCCCTCCTCCCACTAGCTTTTATAAATGTACTCCTTGGCAATCAAGCATCTGCTTGGCTGACACAGCATATTCATATTTTGAATAGCACCTCACACTTCCATTGTGGAAAAGACAATTTTTGTTGAAACGTCAAAAGAACCCAAGTCTATAAAATATACACAGTCTTATTTTATTTTACCAAATTATAAGTGCAGGCAGCACACCACAACAGGGAGAGACAAGAAGTCTGTGCAGAATGGCACAGCAAGGTCTTTTTAGTGTCTTGCCAGGTACTGGTTGCCAGGAGCTGAGGCTGCCTCAAAGCAAGCAAGCAAGCAGGCAAGGGAGCCCAGTCAGCCAGTCCACCAGCCCTTGATGTTGGGAATGGACAGACAAGTCCCAGGACCTTGTGGGGCAGCATGAAGAGACACCTCTCTTTGTGGAAGGAGAGCAACCCAAGAGACCAGGGGCGGCAGCAGCTGCTGCCCAGACGACTCCCAAGGAGAGGGGAGAGGAGGCTAAGGGAACACTCTACAAGGAAGCGTGTTTGAAAAACGGTGAGTGGCTGCCAGCTCTGCAGGCAAGTGGTGACATAACTGGGTTCCTGAGCCTCACAGGGGTGCCACAGAAAGAATGCTGAAGGTGCCAGACATGCCTTTATCTACATACTGCTGAAGCCTCTTCCGAGAAATGTTCCATAAGTCAGGGATTTCCAAAGGAGATTACATAAGTACAGATGGGTTTCAAAGTTACTTAATATGTATTTCCTCATCAAATCTGGTCTGCTGATGTCCAACAGATCATTGATTCGTGTTCTGAAATATGATAGCCACTACATAAAGCATGGCTGGGAAACCTATTTGCCTCCACAGGTCAAATCCTTATCAGGATCAGCCTTGTAAGCCAAATATGACATGACATCATTATGACATCACATGATTGATAGGTGGGCAACGCCACCCATCTCTCAAAATACCTTGTGTGAACTTTCCAGGCACCCACCTGGCTGTTTGGTGCTTGGAAACCAGTAGTAGTTCAAAGCCCTTTTACTGTTTCTATGAACCTCCCAGTATGGCTAGGAAATACCTGCTTTCCAACATCATAATATATTGCCAGCTAAACTTCACGATATGACAATATATTACAATTTGGCTTACATTTGTACCCACGGTTCATTCTAAAAGTTCCTATTTATTCCTTCACAACCAGATTCCATCTTCATTAACTAAGCATTAATTTAGCAATACCTCTTGCTTCATCCTTCAGCCTTTGTACAGAAACTAGCAGAGATTCCTTGTCATCTAACTCGCTTTCCAAAAAGGCATTTCTCTCAATGGCCTGATTCAGTCTTTGTTCAAAGTCTTCCAAGGAAACAATTGTGGCCCTAGACACACACAGAGAAAAACAGAGGATACAGCTCTTCAGTGCACATTCAAGAGTCACTTCTAAAACTATCATATTATAAGTCATGGTTAGTTTGTGGTCAGCAAACTTTCTGAATTTATTTGCAAGGATGCCCTAAACCCCTGAGAGCAGGATTTCATTTTAAAGGTATTTGCGGCTCCTATTCATGATGTACAACATTTAACTATTATATATACTTAACCATAAATAAAATAAAATAATATTTTTGGCACATTTGGTGCCAACCTGATCCTGTGGGCTGTAGATGTAGCAGAAATCATTGACCACTTTCCTCACAGCACATTCTGAATGCTAATTTATCCTTCTGGAGAGAATCAGTCCAACCAGGCACAAACACTACACACATACATATATATTTTTATGGGGACTGTGCAAAATAATTTGTTGTATAAATGGAAATTATAGTCATTGCGTGTTTTACATTAATGCTTCAAAATTCAATCATATTTTTTGCTAACCCAAGAGGCTACCACATAAAAGATGTTTTGGAAATATGATAAGCACTGTAGATGTTTTAGTTACACAACTGCATCAGCATCAATTCACTATTTATAGCATACAAGGTTCTTTGGAAGCTACTGAAACAAAAACCTGAGCAGCAAGGCAATATAAGGAGTTATCTGTCTCAGGAAGGGAATAGACTACCACCCAACACCATGACCCTTACCTCTTAGCACGCTCAAGGTCATCATTGGATTGCTCTAGCTCTCTCACATATTTATGCAGCTGGTCTTTAATTGCCCGGGTCTGACTCAAGTCATCCTCCAACAAAGACACTTGCTTGTAGCTTTGTGAATACTGGTGCTCAAGCTTCTCCTGAAAGCACAAGAGAAATTAACAACACTTTGAAATTAACAAAGTGATTTAGAAGCATTCCTGCTACCCCCTGTGCTGCTTCCTCAAACACACATTCATATTTGCAGATACATTTACAGACTACCTAGCCAATACAAACAGACCAAGTCACACCCAGCAGGACTTAACCCATTTTCTTCTCTTTTTCTCCTCAACGCCTACCACATTTCTGAAAAGCAAATTCACATATGAGATGTGTAGCTACAAGAGAGCCCCTCAGGTAAGAGGTTCATATTGATAGGGACAGCTCATCTTAAGGAATGTAGTGGATACAGTATGCTCAAGCCCTCATCTAAGACCATAAAGCAAGCATGTTTTTTCATTATACTGGATGGTTGTAAGTAACCAAGTACTCTTACTACAGAAGATCCAAGTTACAGTACCTTTAGGTTTATGGGAGAGAATGCAATTCTCCAGAAGCATGTCAAGGCAGTATGGCAGTTCACTGTGTCTTTGAACTGCAACTAAACTCTTATAGCCTTGCAACCAGAGTGCTGCCAACAGCAATGCATACACCTTTCTGATAGGATTCTGCCAAAACATCTTCTCTTCCCACAGTGTACTCATAGCACCAAGCAGTCCTTTCACGTGTAAAAGGCATTTGAATACACCAATGTTCACTCTTAAAAGCCCTTTAATAGACATTGAGCACTAGTTTTAAGCTCCAAGGCTTGTTAGGCTGCTCATTTTCCAGTGACTTTTGAAAATCTGGTGGGCTAAGAGACTATAAAAATAAGAGAAAGGATAGGCCACAATTAACTGGCCCTGAAACCTAAGTGTAGCTTTAGAACAATGTCTTGATAATGAAGTGAGCTATAAATGCAACGATAATTTCCTATTCCAGATTTGCCTCCACCAACACTGCTAACAGATGCAGTTGTACCTTTAAAGTTTCCACTTCTTGCTTTAATCTTTGGTTGTCTGCTTGCAAGTCCCGGTTCCTCTGTTCAGCCTGTACCAGCTGAGCCTCCAACTCTGCTTCCAGTTCTCTGCTGCCCTCCTGAAATTCTGCCAGCTCGTCACGGGCCTCCTGGAAACTGTAAGAAGAATGGTGATGATGAGTGAGGCATTACTCCAACCATGCCTCCATCCTGTCAATATGGTATTAGCAAGCCCATAACTACTTCTTCCCAGTGACCCTCAAAAGGACCAAAAGTTTTTACTGCTGGATTATGTGAAGGATTATTGTGTGGAGGTTAACCACGATTCTTGCTGAAAGCCTACTGAAAGAACTGCTGCACACTATCTATGTGCATCCCCATAGAAAGAAAAAAATAATCTTCCAAACAATAGAATCCTTTGTGTCACTTGAGACACATGCTTATTCAAAATGCTGTGTCTCTTGTGATGCTATACTGTTTAAAGTTAATAAAGAGATTAATAAACAAGTTGTTTGGACACCAAGCAGTAGAAATCCCTGGGGCCCCAGAGAGCTGCTGTTTCCGCCTCCCCTTTAGTGCACTTCTCTTGCATCTAACTTACTCTCCCAACCAGTGGAATATTTGTAGTTTGCCCTTCCTTTTCCCCTAGCAACCAGAATCCATCTTTCCTGTGGTGAGTTCACCTGAAATCAGGTGGAGGAGGAGGAGGAGTTTGGATTTGATATCCTGCTTTACCACATCCCGCTTTACCACTACCCTAAGGAGTCTCAAAGCAGCTAACAATCTCCTTTCCCTTCCTCCCCCACAACAAACACTCTGTGAGGTGAGTGAGGCTGAGAGACTTCAAAGAAGTGTGACTAGCCCAAGGTCACCCAGCAGCTGCATGTGGGGGAGTGGAGGCAAGAACCCGGTTCACCAGATTACGAGTCCACTGCTCCTAACCACTACACCACACTGGCTCTCCCTGTAAGTTATTTTCTAAAAATATTACTACAGTAAGTGTGGCTGGATGTTAAAGAATCCTGTCCCTGCAAAAGGCAAAAGTGAAGGCTTTGCAAAGAGGCTTAGGCATGTCTCCTGCACTCATTCACAATTCACTGTATAGTTAATTTACTATACAATGGTCTACAAGTCTACTCAGAAGCAAGTCTCTTCAAGTTTAATGAGGCAGCGTAGGCTTTGGTTTAGGGTTGACACTGTGGAAAATCAGGGTTTGTATTTATTTTATTTAAACAATTTATTTACCACTTAAATACATTAGCATTTAAGTAGTTTGCTAATATATGCCTTTAACATCTGTATGACAAGCTGAAATGGAACAGGTTAAGCTGTTTCTAGTACAGAAATATAAATATGGGGAAAGATTAATCATGAATGTACTCTAATTTTGGGTTATGCCATGCCATTTATGCAGGGTGCCCAGAGCATTCTCAAAATTCAAAAACTGCCCACTGCTCCAAAAAAGCTTGCAACCCCTGGCCTAGCTTCTGTTGCCCACATCTGGGTAACCACTGAAAGGTATTTGTAAACTGCAGCCAGTTTACAAAATTGCAAAATTGAGCAGCTAGATTGTTGACTTGACTGGGATCAGATGGTCTGAACATAGTAAGACCGATCTGGCCTGACTACATTGGCTAACAGTTAGTTTCTGAGTGCAATTCAAAGTGTGGGTTTTGACCTATAGAGCCTTATGCTGCTCAGAACCCGCAATACTTTAGGGACCACTTCTCCTTGTATGAACTTACCCAAACCCAGGGATTTTCAGAGGCCCCTCTCTGTGTGCCTCTTCAGAGGGAGGTATAGAGGGTGACAACCTGAGAATGGGATTTTTCAAGGGTTGCTATCCATTTGTGGAATCCTCTCCCTATGAAAACCTAGCACCATCACTGTCAGCTTTCAGACACCAGGCTAAGACATTCCTATTTGCCCAGGCTTTTGATTAATTGGGATAATACTGTGGTATGTTTTCTGGCCTGTTTGTGGTGTTAATATTTTATTTGGGTACAGTAGGCTTCAACTTTTTTACAATATTACTGGATGAGTGCCTTTAGATAAAAAACTAAGTCACTTTGAGACTCTTAAAAGTGATGAATAAACAAGGTACTAATAATCTGAGGATGCTGTTGAATCCTTTTTGCTATTGCTAAAAAAATAAAAATTGAAAACCACTGCCAATCCCCCGCAAATTTCCCAATAGAGTAGTTTCTACCCATCCCTGTGTTAACTCCTTAAAAACTCACACCACACACCTTGTTCAGGAAGCCAACATCACTGCTTTTTTTTCCTTTCCTTTTTCAAACCATACTGCTCTAGGCAAGAAGAAGCTAACAAGACTACAAGACTATACAAAAATTACCCACCAAGTCAGAACAATGAATCTACTATCTATCTAATCTGGGGGAGGGGGGGTCTGGTAGCCCATAATGGCTGTCTTTGTCTTTCATTCCATACCAGTATTCAGGCAGGAAACTGAATTCATTCAGATCACGCATGTGCTGGGCTGCTATCATGCAATAGACAAGAATCAGAGGCTTAAACAGCATCCTAATCACTAGAGGGAGTCAGAAGCTCCTATAATCTCAGAACGACCTTATTTACCAAAATTAGGCTGCACTGTACCTAAACTAAACTTCAGTAAAACTAGAACTTTTAAAGATATACAGTTTAACCCCACAGTGAAGCATGAGACAATCTGCCAAAGGCAGCAATCAGCAGCATTCTTGAGATGATAAAGGACCCCATTGTTTGCAAAGGCAGATTTCAAACAGTGCAAGGCCACTACTGACAAAGAAATTCTATTCCTGCATCCCAGAGCACATAGCTCACAGCTTTGCTGAAGACACGTGGCTTCCAACCACTTGCTTCTTACTGCTGCGACAGACATTTAAAAGGTTACCTCAAAGAAAGCAATTTAAATGCATTAACTACCTAGAAATGAAACTCAGTATACTACTACTAGAACCATACCTTTGTTTATATTTCAAAGATAACTCCTTCCAGTATGCAGTTTCTTCCTCTGGACATGAGAACTCAGGGATTTCTTCACAGTCCATGATCATGGTCACCTGCAAAATCCAGAGTGTTTAATAGGAAGCTCCTGATATGGCCTACTGGTTTCAGACAAGCCCCAGGACTCTCAGCATTCCAAAGCAACAAGTAGAACTATACCTCACCTTCTATTCATCTCAAAAGAAATGAGTATGGGTGATTGGCATATTTTTTTTATCAGCAAATAAAATGTTTTAAGTCTGGGTCATGCTGGCCACATGACCCAGAAGCTGTACGCCGGCTCCCTCGGCCAATAAAGCGAGATGAGCGCTGCAACCCCAGAGTCGGTCACGACTGGACCTAATGCTCAGGGATCCCTTTACCTTTACCTTAAGTCTGGGTTGAACCAGGCCACCAAGAGTTCTCTGAAAATGCAGTGTTGCATTTAAATTGAATCCCACTTTAAATGTTTTGGGAAAACAAAATAAAAACACACCCAAAATGTACCATGCTATTCAAAGAAGGGTTAACGGAGTTGGAACAAATCCAGCTAAGGAATATGCAAATGATCACATTTTAAAGCAAGCATTGGCTTTTCAGCCAGGTGGTAAGACCTGTAATTACTGGAACTAACACTTCTATCACCCACTGAGTAAGATCATAGAAGTAAAGTCTGGTCAGCCATTTAAGCCGAGCAAAGGTTTGTTCCTGCCCTACAGACAGTGAGAGGCTGAAAGGTTTCAAACTGCCCTTTCTCTAGCACCTGAATAATGAATAGAAATTGGCAGAGTGGCTCTACAACATTATCTGTTCAGAAGCACAAAGATAATGAACTGCTTTGACATGCCAACAAAAACATAGGGTAGCACTTCAAGAGTACATTGAAGGCATAGATAAAGCACTATAGCTGATGGAGGCTAGAAGCTCTACTAGAGGTATGGGGAATCTCCAGACTGTGACCCAATTAGGCCCAGCATGGGTCCCAATTTAGCCTGCTATCTCCCTTATACTACACAAAACTTGTTCCAAATCTGACATGGTATGTGACATCAGCTGAGGGCAGGTGGAAACATGGTTGCCAGTGCACAACCTTAAAGTAGACTCCTGGTTGTGCTGAGAGGTGCTCAGTTCAAGCTTCCTGCTATCAACTGTGCTATTGATTTCTAGCAGAGAACTTGCACAAGTGACGCTGATACAAAACCCCACTCATATATTAAGTAAAATAGAAACATCGCCACCCGATCCCACCCACCATGGCCCCCTCCACCTCTTCCCCCCTTTTCTTCCTAATATAACAGTAATGTCTCAACAAATGAAACTGATCTGTAGAAAATGTAACTTGAAAAAAGGCATTGCACATACTTTTATAAACCAAGAAATCTTTAATAAAAAATACATTAAACAAAAAAACTGTGCTATTGATTTCCTCATGGGGAACTCCACAGTCAATCCTTGAAGCGACCTGCAAAGAATGCAGAAGCATTTTTTGCAAGCTCCTTGCAAAGAACCCTGGTCAGCACTCCCCCTAGTGCTACGACCCTAATCCAGATCACTGAAGCTTTTTAAAATGTTAAACATAGGCAATCTCTCATAACACATCTAGTTTAGCCCTCTGTAGTGCACGATTCCAAGCAGCGTTTGTTCCTCCTGTTTTATTTTTCTTATTTAACAGGATTTATATAGCACTTGATCAAAACCTCTTAGCAAGTTACAATAAATATACATTAAGATTACCAATAAATTTAGATATCAAAAGCAAGTTCAATTTTTTTAAAGGCCAATAGGACTCATTATATATAATTTTTTACTGCCCTTAAATCATATTCTCACAAAAGTTTGAAAAATAAAATAATAATAATACAATTAAAATTTAGTCAGCTGCTTCTTTCCAGAGGACTGTTAAAGCCCCCATTCCTTCAACAGATGATCACTGCTAGCATCTGAGTCAATGTTGCAGCCACTCAACTACAAAGAAGGCATTTGTTTTACTAACTTTTGAGGTGCCACACAGGAAGGAATGAACTGCATTCACGATAGCTTTTCATCCTCCGCATGTATATAGATTCTAATGCTGTTAACCAAAGAATACTGCTGAATTCTGACAAGCATCAATAGCCATTTCTCCCTCCAGGGAAACAAACTGGCGCATCCCACATTTCTGTGACCCACATTTCTGACCTGAACATTCAAAGCACACACATAGTATTCTACTTCATCTTACTGTACAAAACATGACAAAGAAAAAAACGTAACAGTTCAGAACTACAGTTCTTAAATAGCAGTATCATCTGAGGCCAGTACTTTGAGAAAAGTATCATGCATAATGATAGTGGAGAAATATAAACACTGAGTAATCAAGAACAAGGTACCGTATTTTTCGCTCTATAAGACGCACCAGACCACAAGACGCACCTAGTTTTTGGAGGAAAACAAGAAAAAAAATATTCTGAATCTCAGAAGCCAGAACAGCAAGAGCAGCGAAAGCAGCGATCCCTCTTGTTGTTCTGGCTTCTGGGATAGCTGCGCAGCCTGCATTCGCTCCATAAGACACACACACATTTCCCCTTACTTTTTAGGAGGGAAAAAGTGAGTCTTACAGAGCAAAAAATACGGTAAATGTATTTCCTGCCCAATACTTTATAGATACAAAAAGGGTCAAGGTGACTTATAAGTTAAATATAAATCTATTCCATATACAGTGGTACCTCGGGTTAAGTACTTAATTCGTTCCAGAGGTCCGTACTTAACTGAAACTGTTCTTAACCTGAAGCACCACTTTAGCTAATGGGGCCTCCTGCTGCTGCTGCACCGCCGGAGCACGATTTCTGTTCTCATCCTGAAGGAAAGTTCTTAACCTGAAGCACCATTTCTGGGTTAGTGGAGTCTGTAACCTGAAGCGTATGTAACCTGAAGCGTATGTAACCCGAGGTACCACTGTACAGGACAACTTTTAAATGATAATTTTATAAAAACAGTATCATAGTCCAATGGACAACAGATTGGAGGTCATGGAGATGAATATTTGTCACTGGGCTATGATATTGTTTCAACTTATGGGTTACCTTTTTATTATTAATTTATTATTTAATTATTATTACCTTGACTTTTTTGTGTCCATCTAGAATATAAATGCTGACCTATCATTTCTTACATTCTGTTACCCCCATTCCAATCACACAACTGCACTGGATCATAACCAATGCACCTGATCCAGTACAGTCTCCCTGAACTGGGACAAAGAATCCTAGCATGTAAACAGACATCATTGCAATAAGTGACTCAAGGAACAGATCAAATTGCTAAGTGGCATTTTGGGACTTGGCAGACTCTGCCTTCTCAGTGTGGTAACATCAATGGTGTTTGTGCCAAGGTACTATTTAAAACAGTCTGCACCATTCCAGGAATGAACTATTTGTGGGTTCTTCCACCCAATAGTGTGCTGTTTTCAAATGACTTCTTCCAAGGACTTCACTTGGATTTACAGTTTAAATTTAAAGCACCAAAATGGCAACATGAGACGCTTCGAACAAGCATGACTGAAGTAGTGCAACAGTAGTTTGCTCTCAGAGGCCTCTCAGAAATGAAACTCAACAGGTCTGGAAAAATACAGTCTGTTACAAGCTGATTATGTTGTGGCTTAGGCCTAATAACATGGATAGCACAATTTCCACAAAAATGATAATTGGCAACCATTGTAGAGAAGGGATTTCAAATGTAGTACATCTTTGCTTGCAAGTTTCCAGGCAGCCTCTTCGCAAATCAGTCCTAAGCAAAAACACCACAGAAGTATGGAGGAAGTGAAAAACTAAGCAGATGAAGAGACTTCAAAAGCAGGCTATGGTCCTTAGAACAGGTAGTTTATGAAGCATGAAGTCAAATCCTCCAACAGCATTGACTGACATTTTGCAAAGTCTAATGCGAGTACAGTTGTACCTCTGGTTACGTACTTAATTCGTTCTGGAGGTCCGTTCTTAACCTGAAACTGTTCTTAACCTGAAACACCACTTTAGCTAATGGGGCCTCCTGCTGCTGCCGCACCGCCGGAGCACGATTTCTGTTCTCATCCTGAAGCAAAGTTCTTAACCCGAGGTACTAATTCTGGGTTAGCGGAGTCTGTAACCTGAAGAGTATGTAACCTGAAGCGTATGTAACCCGAGGTACCACTGTATATTTGATTTGTAAACTCTGTTTGGCCAATTAATAGAAAGGAAAGGAAATAAAATGTAAATGTGCACTAAGAATGCAAAAAAGTCTTCAAGAATGGGGAGTCCTCAACAGATAACTCTCTTCTCCCCCTCCACTCTGCAGCTCTAATCTGAAATCTTCAGAAACTGCTCACACTAATGAAATTCCCTGTCGCAAAATGCACCTAGAATAGCAGTTTCGAACACTGAATGTGAGCCATACACCTAATATTAAAGAAAGTCTCTACTGCACTCCAGTCAAGTAATTAGCAGCTTGAGAGCATCCCAAAAGAACTTTTCTACAGCTTTACATGCAGCCCCCGGAACATAACCCCCACACAATATGTGAACCTACTATAACTGCTAACTATGGCTAGCTAATTTCAATCTCTGATTTAAGGGCTAATCGTGGTTTCAATTTCCAAATTAAAGGCAACGTATGTCTAGTGGTAACTATGGTTACACTGGAAATGCTTAATTATACTTAACACTAATCTGGGGAAAGTGTGGGGAGCAGTTGGAGGGGGGATTGCCAGTTGGCCCAGCATAGCGTCTGAACAGAATTAGGAATAAAGTCCATCATCCAGAGGCACTGCCACAGCTTCTGTGTTGCCTTCAAAAAAGAAAAAGGATTTGCAAAGCAGAGGTTCAAACTGAAAAATAAGCTTGTGTGCATATGTACCACTAAGTACAATGTTCTAAAAAATGTTATCCACAGTATTATTCCTTAATTGCATTCTTACAATCTATGTAGGAAAGCAACTAGAAAATGGCACAGACACACATCTTTGTGATGTGTAAGATTAGAGCACAAGTTTGAGACAAATGGACAGCAGACAAGCTTGAATTCTGCCAGATACATCTCTAAGACTCCTCTCTGATCACATCCCAAAGACACATCTTTTTAAGGTCACTTCATGTTCACTTCACTGCACATTTTAAAATGCATGTAGGAAGCAGTCATAAATTTATGAGGGGGGGACAAATACCAAATTCACATTTTAAGTGGCGATTACTCAAGCAAACAATTATTTATCTTCCTCAGAAGTGTGTTTTAGCATTATCATAAGATCTAACTCACTTCAGAATACTGAATCATACGCTTCTGGCAACTGGCTGGGAGAGGATGTCAGCACTTCCTGAAACCTGTGTTTATCAGATGCTGCTCTGGAATCTACAGAGATTAGTAAGGTCACATGATGATTACTCAATGAAAGGTCTCAGTACTACTAAAAACAACCAGTTTCATCAAGGAAAGGAAGAATTTACAAACTGCAGTCTCTGATCACCTCTTCACTGATACCAGCTGCCCAGTAAGCTTACAAGAAAATGATGAATGAAGTTGTAGAGTACCAAAAGAAGAGAATAAAACTATATCCACCCATGGGGGCAGAGCAGAATAAAGTGTGTGGCACATGTAGAGAACCAGGGCAGATCTGGGTTCAGAACAGGTTGCTGTTCATTTCCTTTTTGCACCTGTTCAAATAAAAACAACACCTCTCAAGACTATATGATGGCAAATAAGAACTGTAAAGAGAATCTACACTGCAGTTGCATTTAGATGTACATGGTAAGCTATGGTTATGGTTTACCATGGATGCAGAGATCATTCTTACTTTACTTCTCCCTACTAATGAGCAGCAGCAACAAGCTATAATCCTTGGCTCAACAGAACAGGGGACTGAGATGTATTTTTCTCCAAAGAAGCTGCTGTTTGGAGCAACGCAAAACTTGATGCTCGGTTTGGACATTGGGTGAGAGCCAACATGTTAGTTGTGGAAGTAGTAATGTGGCACAGCTTAACTGCCACAAAGTACAATAAAAGTAGCAAATAAGCAATATATTTTGAATGTGCAAGTCACTCAATGGATTTGGCTGTTGCTCTGAATAAGATTCCTGCTACCAGGATGGCCATTGGATGAGTGGTTGCTACAAGTGAGTATGAACCATAACACTTAGCCAAAGGTGATGGTTTGTACTTCCACTTGCAATCAAAAGCAATTTCTGCATTCAATGTGAACTAGTAACCATGGCTTACTGTGAATTACCCAAATAGAGTTCTGCATTTATAATTTTTAAAAGCCATCTGCAAGAACAAGGAAAGCAAATGTGTGGTGTGGTAGGGGAAACTTAACATGATTCTTTATACGATGACCTAAGTTCTTCTGAGAAGGTTTATTAAAATTAAGGATAGCATTCATTCAATAGGACCCATGGAGGGGAAGGTGGGAAGTCCAGCGATTCAGGGAAATATCTAAATATGGATATGTAATTTGTATTGTTATAACTCTATATTTGTAAAATCAAATAAAAATTTCCAAAAAAAGGTATAACATTCATTCAATCTTTCCCTGCCATTTTACTGGGGGTGGGGGGGAGGTTTATTTAGTGTTCCTCTGGCAAGTACATTACTCAAACAAAAACTACCTCAATTGCAATAGCCTCAAATGCACATTTATGTCCAGTTCCTAAACTTAGATACAAGAACGTCAGAGAACCATTGAGTGGGGGCGGGGGGAACGACCTATCAATCTATAGTCATTTGTCTACATTTAGAAGCACAGCATTATGGTTCCAGACTTCAGTTTTTGAGACCAGTTAAATGTTCTCACTGAACTGGTTTACTAAAATGCATATATCCTTAAAATGGCATTAACAAAATAAACTCAATATTTGCCACAGACAGCACACAAACAACTTCCTTGCAGGATATGAAAACAGAATGCACTTTAAATTAGGAATCAGTTCAAGAAACTGATTCTAAAGTCTGAAATATCTCAATACTGCATACACAAATATAGTACTTTAACACAGATTAGTTTGTGAGCACTGTGCTGTGTTTTACTTTCTTTTTCATAACAGCTTATTAACCTTTCTAAGCCCCAAATATGAAGGAATGATGCACATACAAGTTTTATATACACCAGACCAATAGCTGAGTTGCATGGTCTCCTTTCCCTTCCTTGGAATAGTAACTGATCGTGATACATCTAAATCTAGTGAAACTTTCATCAACTTATTTCTCCCGTAAAAGCTTGTTTGCTGTTGCCACATATCAAAGTTTGTATTGGTCCCAGCATTAACTTGAAAAGCACGCACTTTGTAAATGATGCAATTTTAGGCAATCAGAGTTCACATGTCCTCAGAGCTGCAGAGTCTCACTCTCTCTAAACTCAGTTGTGAATCAGCCGCTCCCTCCCCTTTGCTCTTATTATTGCCAAGCAGCAAGCTTCCTGGGTGCAGCTCTGACGCTCTCAAGTACTTATTACAAAGCTCTACACTTTTAAAGAGAAGTCATCCTAAATCAGACCCTAACTGCATATTGTGGCCAGAAGCCACACTGCATGCACATAGTTCAATGATGTAAACTTCCCCTGACTTTTTTTTTTAAATGAAAAGTAGCAACTGGAGGCAGCAATAATAAATAAAGGCAGGAGAGGGCTCTTACCACTTTCCCTGCTAACCATTCTCCTTCCAATATCACCCATGCAAGACTGCACCCCACCACTGCAACATAAGAGATACACGTTCACATATTTTCACCTGCAGTGAGAAAGGAAAGCTTGATGTGAAAGAATTTGGAATTTCACCTACAGGCACCTAAACAGCAGCAGTTTGATACCTGCAAGTCCACTGCAAAAAGCAATGCTGAAGACATGTATCAGCATTTCAGTCTAATATGTATTGTTGCAGATAATGTATCATAAAGACAAATTGACAAGAACCATCCACAATAGAATATTTGCCCATGTTATAGAACCAGCAGTGTGCCCATGCACTCAAGACACAGGACCAGATTATGATGTGTCATCTTGACAGAAGACCACACAACAATGATCCACTACTGCTCCACATTCATTTTCAACCTCCAAGCTCTCAATGAACTCACAAAGAACCTACTGGTGCCCGGCTATTTCCCTACCGATAAAACCTGCAGGATGTGTCCACTTTCTTCATGGGGCCCTAGGACTGGACTATACTGTAACCACACAAGGCTTTTAACTGAAGCTATACTGGAGTTCCATGTAATCTCTGGCTTTTAAGGTTTGGATGGAACCAGAAAAATTAAGGGTTATGTTTTCAGCATACAGTACAAGCCATTAGGCAAAGAGGTCACCAGGCATTTGAGAAATCTGCATCAATAGTTATAATAATCATACTTATTATTAACATTTATTCATCACCTACAGAAGAATGTCAAGTAGACTAACCATGAAAAGACAAAATAAAACATCAACATTACACATTTTAAAATACGTAACACAAGCAATCATTAAGTATATCACAGCACAATTAAGAAACATCAGTATGTCTTGACATCAGTATGTTCACTAGAAAAAGTGACCAATGAAATAACAAGTTAAAATATACCCCCAAAAGCAGGAAAAGTTTGGTCTTTGCCTGGTGCCGAAAAGATGTTAATGAGGTTGCCAGGAAAGCCTCTTTGGGGACATCATGCCAAGACTCTGACATCAAATCTATCCACATCGTGAAAGGTAAACTAAAGGCTTTCACTTCCTATCCTATCTGAAGTAGCTGAACTCTCAATGAAGGCTTTACTTTCCAGAGTCTGAACCCCATCTCATATCAATCTGCAAGGGCCAATACCATGAAAGCAGCTGTATCACCATAAATTTGAGTGTAAGATATGTCTAATACCAACAATGCAAAAATTGCCTCTGTGATTGCAGAACATGGTTTAAGACATACGCAGTAAGGGCAAAAAACCGGATGGGTCAGGGAGCAACGAGAACAGCAGCAACTAAGATTTTACTCTGCAGCTGTCTCAAACAAAAAGCCTTCAACTCTTTGGGGCAGAAAACCATAATTAGGATTTGCTTTGCGTGATTTGGTGGGTTGGTGTTTTTTGTTGTTGTTGTTTACTTTTGATCTACTATAGCCACCTTCCAACAACTTGATTATCTCCAAAATAAAATGCAGCATCTGTAACCATACCTGCCTCTTCCCTCCACTAAGCGAAAGAAAAATATTTTCAGTGACTCATGGGAACTTAGTGCTCTGACATCAACAGTATATTTGTGTATCCTAGCAACCATCTGACAGCAAAACACCTAAGCTTTTCTCTTTCCCAAATTTGGCAGGCTAGTAGTTAAAGATTCTACAGTGAAAATCAACATTAACAAAGGAGGAGTTGTTTGTATAAAACATCTATTATCATTATTACAGTACTGGTGCACATGTAGAAGACAGACCATATCCAGTGTGATCAACTATTTGACACAGGAGAAGGGTGCAGAGGGAGTGGAGGGAAATGGAGGCAAGAGTAATAAGGGGAGTGGGGGAAGATATGCTTTCAGTTCACTTCAGTTGCATATAATGGAAGCAACCTCATTTTTTGTTCTCATCCCTATTCACATGTAAGAAGAGGGTGGGGGTGGGGAGGTTACCGGTTTATATTGTTTTTGTTCTTTGTCTTGTATTTTTATGATGTGCACTGCCCTGAAATCTACAGGTGAGGGGTGGTATAAAATTTCATAAATAATAATAAATTCAATTTCAGAGTAAAAGGAGACCCAGGGCAGTGGAGTTGAATCCTGACCCTTCCTCACCTTATCTGTCCATTTCCAATTACTGCAGGCTTTCTCCCCTGGATGAGGTGCAACACAAGAAGTGAGCCCAATGGGAATTAACAGAGGAAGACATTATTCACCTCACCTAGACAGCCTTCGGATGTAAACATTAAAAACATACGCATTTAATATATACCGTGTTACATGTGACCAAGTAAGTGTCTCAGCATGTCCAGCTTAACCTTAAAGGGTTAAGCCAAATCCTTAAAGTGGGCAGTCATCTTTTTCCTATCACAACACACAAAGACTCAGAAGGAAGGTCATATACTCTTTGACACCTCCTAATTTAAAAGCAAGGTTTACTCGCTTGGGAAATTCACAAACATCCCAAAAAAGACCTTGCAAGAGACGGCCGAGTCACTCCTGGGAACAGACTTCAATACTGGAAGGAATCCAAGCCGCCCAAGATTTTACACACACGGGGATTTGGGCCTCGCTTGTCGTAGAGCCTTATCAGCTGGAACAAAAGCTGCGGGAGGTACCTGGCCAAGGTTGCCAGAGGCAGGAAGAGAAAGGAAAAGTCAGGGCGGCCACAGGGTTGGCCAGGAGCTGGAAGTCACAGGCCAAACGCCGAAGCTCAAGAGACTGGAGCCCGGAGCGCTTAAATGGAGGCCTGAGAAGCGGCAACAGGATGCCCGCTTCTTACGAAGCGCAGGGCTGGCACGAAAGGGAGCTGGTGCCGGCGGTGCAGAACCGGAGGCAGGCCTTCATCTGAGGCCGGGGCCTACCGAGAAGTGGGGAGGGCGGCGGCGGCAGCGGCGGGCCGTGAGGTGAGTCACGAGGCCAGCAGCAGCAGCCGGAACCCTTCGGCGTTAACGGTCCAGGGCAAGGGAGGGCAGGTTCCGGGCGGGGCGCCGAGGCGTCACAGGGCGGCGCTGGCCGACAGCGTGGCGGGCGGCGGTGGCGCCACCAACAGAGGAGCGACAAACGGCCGCCTCCTCCCCTGCCTGAGCGGTGGCAGGGAAAGGAGGGCAGCGAGTCCTCGGGGGAGGGGGGGAGGAGGGAGGCCGCCTGCCCGCCGCTCCCTGATGGATGAATGACACGGCTTCAAGCCAGTGACAGTCGGCCATGGCTCCCCTTCCGACTAATAGAAGGCCGGCAGGGGCGGAATCTGCCCCGTTGTCGCTTCGCAACCAATCCGGCACGAGCTCGCGACGAAGGAGTGAAGCAGTTGTGCGCCCGGTGGGGAGGGGGGGGGAGAGATAGGACCGGGGTGGGGTGGGGGCTCACCCGGCTTCGGCGGTACCTCAGCCCCGCTCGCGCACTTCAAAGAGTCCACCCACTCTCACACACAACACACGCTCTCTCTCTCACACACACTTGCTCCTCTAGACCCACCCTTGTTCCTCCTCGCGCTCCTCAACCGTCCAGCGGCGCTCTCCTCCTACCACTGCCGACGCCGCTGCTGCCACCGCATCGCCTCAGTCGCTGACACAGCTCCGAACCCTGCCTCATCCGGGCAACCCACCGCCTTGGCTACGTCACAGCAGAAGGCGAGGTCCGCCACGAGACAAGCACAACCCCGCTCGGGGGCGGAGCCAGCCAGCTTGAACGGCAGGCCGCGGGAGAGGGGGCGGGGCCGTGTAGATATGGTCACGCCCTTCTCGAGCGCGCGCCGTGGCTATTCTGAGACTCGCGCGTGATACTAAAAGCAAAATTAAAACTTTAATGTTCCTGTAGTGGTTTTGCTGATTTTATTGCGACAAACCAACCCACTGGCGATCACACATGTAGCACAATCCAAATATGTACCTTCCAATGATACTTATCACCCAGGTAAGTGTGTGCAGGATTGCAACCTAGTTGTGTGTTCCAAATATTCAGTGTGATCAATCTCTTCCTACCTGCATGGTTTCCAAGACCAATCAGAACGGATTTTGTTCCATTTCTTCCCTATACCTATCCAGCAATGTAAAAAGAAAAAGAAAAAAAGAAAAAAATGTCTTACATTGTTAATACTGTATAATAAATAGTGGGTTGTTGGGTGTGTTCTATTTTTTCCCCTTCTTTTTCTTTTGCTCAAGTGATGCTTAGCTCCTTTCACTGGTGGATAGGATGCATATAGCAGGACCCAAGAAATAATACCTATCACTAGTACAGTACTTAGAAGAGCTACACAGGATGCTTGTTTGATTCCAGGTGTGATGCAAAGTGTGATTCTGACTTACAAAGCCTTAGGGTGGTATCTAACTAAGCTTTACTCAGAGTAGGCCCATTTAAATTAATGAACATGGCTAAGATTAGACCACTGATTTCAGTAGGTCTGTTCCGAGGGAAAAGGTTAGTTGAATCCCACCCATAAACTGCAATATTATGTACATTTACATGGGAAAAACAGTGGGACATATTTTATTAGAGAACATGCATAGATGTATGCTACTAAAGAGCCTGAGACTTCCTACTTCTTGATGAAGAAACTGGTTTCTTAAAGATGAAGCGCTTCTACCAGTGCCCCTTTCTACACAAAAGACGTATTTTCTGAACAGAACAGCGTTAGTGTTTCAGGAAGATGATGTAGTAGTTCATGCTAAGCTGTGTGAGACATTCTATCTTGTTCACAGGAAGTTAAAACAGGAAGGAGACTTAGCTGTGATCTGTTTCCTAGATATGCCTGCCAGTATTGAGATCTTCCTGAGATAGTTTCAGAAACAGAAATAGCAAACATTGTGTGCTAAATTTGAAGAAGAGACTGGCAGAAAGTGGCCAGACCTATCGCTAGTGTTTTTAATTTTCTTTCTTAGTTTCCTTAACTCTGTTCTGAGGTATCCACCACCTCTTGTTTTTCTCTCCATTCTCAGCCACTGCTTGAATTACAGAAAGGCCAGAGGGAGCAAAACCCCCTTAATTTTTCACTGATCCCCTTGGCTCCTGTTTTTAAAATCACATCACTACTGGTGATGAATTAGGCATGGAAGATCAATGGCTTGCTTGTGGATTTCATTGAGGGTCCCTGAACCACCCTGCTCCCCTAATTTGAACATCGTTCCCAGCATTGACAGGATCCATCTTTTGCTCAATATCCATTTTTTTATTGCCCAAATTGATCCGGTACATGTTTGACAATTCCAACTTTTCCCTCTTTGGCTTTCCTGTACTGGATCTTGATTCTGCCCCTGCTCAAACTCTACTGCTATGGCTCTCCATTGTTCTTAGGTAATGCATTCAGCAGACATCCTTACTTAAGCCACTCCCAGTGCACCAATATCTCTAAAACACCAGACAGGTAAATGCTGCTTTAGTGCCTGTTAATTTCTGATGATTTGAAGTAGCATTATATGATGGAAGGAACTTAAGAAGAGCCCTTCTGGATCTGATCAAGGACCCATCTAGTCCAGAAATCTATTCTCACAGTGGCCAACTAAGTGCCTTTTGGAAGCCTGTACGCAGACCTAGAGTGCAACAGCACTCGCCCTCTCATGACCACAAGCAACTGCTATTCAGAGGAATGCTGCCTCTAGTGCTGGAGGTGGTACGTAGCCGTCATCACTAGTAGCTGTTGATAGCCTTGTCCTCCCATTAATTATCTAATCCCCATTTAATAATAATAATAATTTATTATTTATACCCTGCCCATCTGGCTGAGTTTCCCCAGCCGCTCTGGGCGGCTTCCAATCGAGTGTTAAAAACAGTACAGCATTAAATATTAAAAACTTCCCTAAACGGGGCTGTCTTCAAATGTCTTTTAAAGATAAGATAGCCCATCTGAAGGGAGGGCGTTCCACAGGGCGGGCGCCACTACCGAGAAGGCCCCCAGTCTGGTTCCCTGTAACCTCACTTCTCGCAATGAGGGAACTGCTCCTTCAGGTATACAGGACCGAGGCCATTTAGGACTTTAAAGCTTTGAATTGTGCTCGGAAACTTTGTGGTGGAGAGAGGGTGTGGTGTGGTGTGTGTGTGTGTGTGTGTGTGTGTGGTGTGGTGTGTGTAATATATATATATCATATCCCCACTTCCCATTTTTCTAAACTAAAAAGTCTAATATGTGGTAATTTTTCCTTCGTCTCTGAGCTGCTTCAGCTTCTTGACCATTTTGGTTGCTCTTCTTTGAAGTCTTTCCAGCTCTGCGATATCCTTTTTGAAAATATTCTAGGAGGCAGAACTATATAACTGCTTAACTGTGGCTGCATTGTGCCTAGTGCTTAACAGCACTGGACTCAGGACAGACCTTTAAAGAAGACCACTTACTGCTTCCCAATCCATTAACTCCTGTCCTGTGATGGCCACTATTACTGATAAGACCAAGACCAAAGTATAGTGTCTGGTTCAGACTGAATAAATGAAAGTAACTGGAGCACCTGCTATTTAGACTGCAGTCCCCCTAAAGGGACGAACCAGAGCCTTTCCTGCAAGACTGAGAAGAATGAAGTAGGAACTACAGGTGCCTTGCTTTCATGTAAAAACTATCCCTAATAGCTGCTTCCCCTTATGTGGTACTGGAAGTGACTTGGATGGTTTCCTTGCTTGCTATGGACTTCGTATACAGTGGTACCTCGGGTTAAGATCTTAATTCATTCTGGAGGTCCATTCTTAACCTGAAACTGTTCTTAATCTGAGGTACCACTTTAGCCAATGTGGCCTCCCGCTGCCGCCGCCGCGCAATTTCTGTTCTTATCCTGAAGCAAAGTTCTTAACCAGAGATACTATTTCTGGGTTAGTGGAGTCTGTAACCTGAAGCGTCGTAACCTGAAACATCTGTAACCCGAGGTACTACTGTATGTTGTCCAAGGTTGGTCTCAGTGGAGGACTCTGGGCTCTCAAATTTCAGCAGGGCACTGTGTGATGCTGATATTTGGCACCACTCACACCCCAGCATTGTTGTGGCACCCCCTGCAGCCCAGGGCCCCACGCAACCACACCTGTCTCACCACCATAAAACCATCTGAAGGAGCGTCTCCACCCCCATCGTTAAGCCCAGACACTGAGATCCAGCGCTGAAGGCCTTCTGGTGGTTCCCTCATTGTGAGAAGTGAGGTTACGGGGAACAAGACAGAGGGCCTTCTCGGTAGTGGCGCCCACCCTGTGGAACACCCTCCCTTCAGATGTGAAGGAAATAAGCAGCTATCCTATCTTTAAAAGACATCTGAAGGCAGCCCTGTTTAGGGAAGTTTTTAATATTTAATGCTGTACTGTTTTCAACACTTGATTGGGAGCCGCCCAGAGTGGCTGGGGAAACTCAGCCAGATGGGCGGGGTATAAATAATAAATTATCATTATTGTTATTATTATTGTTGTTATTATTATTATTATCATCTCTCCTGGCCCTACCATTAGGCCAAGTGAGACAGTCACCTCAAGCAGATGCTCAGCGGCAGGTGGTCCCTGGCTGTTTCTCCTGAACCTCTGGCTGCACCCTTCAGTTGGAAGGCAGAGCTGTGTATTCTATGTGGCCTGCCCTACACCCCCATAAGTTGCAGGATGATCTCTTGTTCCTGAAACTGAAGTAAGATTCAACTATCAGTCCAGTCAACTTCTGCATATGGAAAGGAGGGAGCAGTGTATCTCTATCAGAGGTGCCAACTTCGAGAGAGAATGAGGGCCCCGATGTCACGTGTGTGATTTCACATGTGACATCAGAACACTGGGAGGAGCCAGGGGCGGAGCTGAATGCAGTGGCAATGTGGCTTCAATGGCTGGTGGATTCTCCTCTTTCTGCCACCACCACTGGCCAGGGGCTGCTTCCCTCTTCCTTCCCCTCCATTTGGGGGGGGGGAGGAGGAGGAGAAGAAGATGGCCACTGAAGACACACTGCACTAGGCTCCATCCTTGGCCTCCTCCTCTCCCTTTGAACATTGGGGGGCCATCCCCCTCCCCAAAAATAAGTGGGGGAAGGTTTCGGCCCGTAGGAGATGGCGCCCCTGATCTCTACCATTGGCCTCAGGCATCAAAATGTCTTGGGCCAGTATTCCATAACAAGCCATCTGGATTCTTGAAGCTCAATGATCTGAAAATGCTGCTGTCAAAAGTCCAGGGAGATGTTTGTGATGGCTGTAGCGACATCCCTGCATTCTGCTTACAACATTTATGCCCTTAACTGCCTCCCCGCCAGAGCTGAGATAGTCTGAATGCCATCTCACACCAGGAGAGCATGGCTGCAGATGGAACTATCTCTGAAGGATGGAGAGGTGCAATGGGCCTCTCCTCTGAGACTCTGTTCTCTTCACTGCCCCTGCTTTCTCCTCCTTAGTTGCTGCACCTGACACATGGCAACATCCCTTGCACATTTGCCTTTGTCCGATACTGACGGGGCTTTCATAGAATTAACAAAGAGACAGTGTTGGGGCCCCTGTTTCCAAACTTGCATTTAGAGGGGGCTGCCTGTCTGGTTAACACTGATTTAAAGTCGATGTTTGTTTTCAGGGTGTGTGTGGGTTTTTTTTTTAACTTCTTTTGCTTGCACCCTGTTGTAATCTGCAGTTGTTCCCATGCATTCTCCACGGGCTCCGAGTCCCAGGGCTCACAAAGGCACAGTCACTTAGCATTAATTCTCTCCTACTCCGAACAGCCACTGCTCCTCTTTAGCCGTGGTGGGGCTGTGCTTCCCAGGCAGAACCAAGTCATCTATTGAAAAGCAGTCCAAAGAAAAGAGACATAATGGATTCTATTGAAGTGGGCTCCATCTCATGGGGTGGGGTGATGAGAGCACAGAGGGGCCTGAGAGCAGAGACTAAGGAGTGTCTCA